ACAGTAAAGTTCAGAAGGAAAATGTGTAAAATAATCCACCTGATACAAAATGAAATCTTGATAGATATAATCTAAGGAAAGGCTGGACAGACCAAACAGATACAGATTGAAGGAAAATAGACTAAAGTATAACATCTCTCTCTTTCATCAACCCAGAGTGGATATTCTATCCTCAAATAATTTAGTTCCTATGGTTTCAGGTGATTCTCCATAGTTTAATTCTATTGCCTTTTCCCGTACAACCTTGTTTCTCATTATTATTATATATGAGTCAATTTGGGCATCACCTTCTCTAGAAAGCATTTCCTGGCGTCTCCTCCTCATATCTCCCTTCCTTCTCCATGCTTTCATAAGATCCTGGGTAGACCTCTTTTCTTGTAATTGTTGTTGTCGTTGTTTAGTCGCTAAGTCATGTCTGACTCTTTGCGACCCCATGGATGTATAACCCGCCAGACTCCTCTGTCCATTGGATTTCTCAGGCAAGAATACTGGTGTGGGTTGCCATTTCCTTCTCCAGGGGATCTTCCCAATCCAGGGATCTAAATTGCATCTCCTGCACTAGCAGGCCAGTTTCTTTACCACTGAGCCACCAGGTCCACTATATTTTGACTGTACTTTTCAGCCTGTCTCAATAGGCCATGACCATAGAGTCTTTTATCTTCATAAAATGTTTGGCATATTGTGACTACTCATTTCATTGTTGAATGAATGAATGAAGCAGTATTTTTGGGTGGTATCTTTTGATTCACATTATAGCCTCTGGAAGTACCATTTACTAAACAGATTACAAGAGTTCACTTCTACTTCAGGGCACCCAGTACCCAGGCCATTTAGGATCATTGCAGAGACATTTGAGAGGACTGGCTAAGCCAGAAATCATAAATTCTCAGTTCTTGCAGTCTTAGGATGTTCCAGATTGATTTGTCCTTGATGAAGAATGGTAAATCTGTATTCCTTAATTTGGCTTTATCAGGTCCTTGAAATGTTATCTACATCCCAGTAGTAAATGAAGGGGCTTATAAGGATGAGAGCACTTTAAGGATCAGCTAATCAAAATTTGGAAGGACAATAAATTATTATTTATGTATTTGCACACTTTCACTTTCAACATTCTAAAACTTAGAGCTCAAATAAGTAGAGTAGGATAGACTCTGATATTCACCTTAAAACCATAAAATTTTGTATCCCTTGTATTTTTGCTGTTTTCTCCCTATCTCTTTTATACTTTTCCTATTTTTCCCTTTTCATGTCTTTATTATATATTACCCTTCTTCCTTTTATGTCTCTAGTTATCTTTCTTACTTCTACCTATCTCTGCTTTTGTCTCTTTTTGACATTTCATCCTGTGGCCACATATAGCTGATCAACATTTTAAAGATGACTGTACGGAGGAGGTGATGGCACCCCACTCCAGTACTCTTACCTGGAAAATCCTATGGACGGAGGAGCCTGGTAGGCTGCAGTCCATGGGGTGGCTAAGAGTCGGACACGACTGAGCGACTTCACTTTCACTTTTCACTTTCATACATTGGAGAAGGAAATGGCGACCCACTCCAGTGTTCTTGCCTGGAGAATCCCAGGGACCGCAGAGCCTGGTGGGCTGCCGTCTGTGGGGTCGCACAGAGTTGGACACAACTGAAGTGACTTAGCAGCAGCAGCAGCAGTACTTATTTTATACACATTTCTATTTCCTGTTTTTCATTTAAAAGCAAGTAGAAAGAGCTTACATTTTTTTCTCTTTGTAGCCCTGTGTTGATTTTGACCATCTCAGATTCAAGGGTCCTACAGAGAAGAAATGTTTGGCCATGTCAAATATAGCCCTTTAAGACCATCTGAGCATCTGTAGGCCTGTCATATTCCAATTGTACTTGGTCCCAAGAGTTTACCTGGCTTAGAGTATAGGCTGTGGCATATCCAACATCTGAAAAATCAACTCTGGAGTTAAACTTTTAGTTTATAGTATTAATAGTTTAGAACTGAGAAGGACTTTGGGTGCTATTTAATTATTAAAATGAGGGAAACTGTGACCCAGAGAAGGCATGCACTTGCTCAAGGTCATGAAATTGGTAAATGACAGGTCAAAGATCAGAACCTGATTCAGAGAAATTTCTGTAATGGAAGAGTGGTGCCTATTTATATACTGGAGTGCTCTACTAGGCTTGGGGAATAAGGGAAGCCTCTGCCCAGAAGCAGGGGAATATAATAAATAATGGAGTCCCTTAAAAAACTGCTGGTCATGTGGATCCTGGATCCTAAATCTCCTGGAAAAGAAAATGTATCTGGTATGTGCTTGATATCACTGTGTGTATGTGTATATTTGTACAAATCTGTGTGATCCTTCTGAACAGTCCTCAACCTTATCTCCTTTCAGAGTTCTCTTTTTCCCTGTGGTATAGGAAAGGGCTACTACATAATGAAGTTTAAGCTTTTTTATATAACATTTTATCACACATGCGTGCATGCTCACTTGCTCAGTCATGTCTGACTCTTTGCAACCCCATGAACTGTAGCCCACCAGGCTCCTTTGTCCATGGGATTTTCCAGGCAAGAATACTGCAGTGGGGGTGCCGTTTCTTTCTCCAGGGGATCTTCCCAAGTCAAGGATCAAACATGCATCTCATGCACTGGCAGGTGGATTCTTTACCACTGAGCCACCTGGGAAGCCCCAACTTTTTATCATAAAGACTTGAAATAGTATTTGAAAGGCAGTACAGTTTAGGATAACAGTTCCCACTAATATTTCCTTTTTATCAGACTAGTGGAAGCCTCTTCACCTTGTTTATTGTCGGAAGGCATGCTGGGAGAATTTTGTCAAGGTAGCTGTCACACAGGGGATAGTGACAGAACTGATCATGCCAGAATTAAGAAGAGATATTTTTTCTAATTATATTATAGAAGGGAATCCAAAGACTGCTGATACTGTCCTTTGATTAATATATCTGAGAACATTAAAATGTTCTAAATGACTGAAAAAGAGAAAGGCAGTATTGGTCCTACAACGAAAACTGGTTAAGAGTGATTTATCTTGAACTATGAGAGTATCTGATTGAGTCTAGAAATTCAAATAAAAAGGAATGAGTTGATGGCTGTGAGGTTCAAGGATTTTTTTTAGAAATGAGAATTGCATGCAAGCTTTTACTGTAAGTATTAAATATTCCTTAGTGTGTCACCTAGGTCCTAATTTTCCCCATAGTATAAGAGTCAAAGTGTCAGAACAGGCTGTTTACCAGCCCTGGTAGTGTGATGTGAACCACTTAATCAGGCCTGAGTTGGATATTCCCATTGTATTTTTCAAATTTTCTAACATAATGTGGTGACTCCCATTTCTCAATGAAAAAACAGCCTTTATCATAGAAAAATCTTTGTACTTTGGAAATTTATTGTGAGTACTTTTGATTGTACCAGTTTGGTGTCTCTTAAACCCATCTGCCTGTCTCAGTCAAGACCACCACAATCTTTGTTCAGACTTTCATACCTTTTCATCTGCACCCCCTGCCACTCATATCCACATTGCTGCCAGAGTGATTTTACTGATTGGATTGCTTATTTTCTGTTTAAAACCCTGAAGTAGTACTCTGTGACGTTTAGGTAAACTTCAAATTCCTAAACATCTCATGTAAGATCTTTGTGATCCACTTCTCATTAACCTCTGTGGCCTTATCTGTCATTACTTCATGTTCTAGACAAATTGAATTACCTAATGTTTCCTAAGTTCTCATGCATCTGAGCCTTCACTTATGTTATCTCCTTTCCCTGGAATGTTTCTTTCCTAACTTCCCTTGTTTTCTCTCACTCATTTTTCTAGGCTTTGCTAAGGGGTCATCTCTAGAGAGCGTTCCTTGATCACCTCTTTTTCTCAATACCTCATTACATTTATTATAGTCTTTATTTATTAGTTTGTCTTTCCTCTCAGACCATCAACCACTAGAGGATACAGATCATAGCTTTTTAAAGTTGTATCCCTTGTATCTAGCACCATGTTTGGTGTGTAGTAGGTGTTTGCTAAATGCTTGTTGGATAAGTAAATCTTTTAAAAGACAAAAAGGTCATCTTCTGTAGTGAAATAACTTCCTAATCTTGTGGCATATAGGATAGTTCCACTAAAAACCCCTGAAGTCATCTTGTCTCTCTGTAAATTAAGGGCACAAAGGATACCACCTTTATGAACCTGTTCAGTTAATTTGATGGATCGTAGCTGATTGCTGGTTTCATCTCAGGAAGTTTTAGTTTCCTGCTTCTGTCCCAGTCAAAGTCATAGCCAAGGCAGATTTATTCCTAGGCTCACTTTCACTCAAAGCACATTTACTAAGCATTTGTGATGTGTAGACTCTGGACTAGGTGCTGAATATTAACAGTATGGTAACATAGGTCCTTATCCTCAAAGAAATGTTAGTCTTATGAGCAAGTTCATCACCTAGAGCTTTGAGTCACTGTATGAGTGAATTAAAGATGTATGTAATAGTAGATAGTCTTTGAGTTTTAACATATTTGAATGAATCAGCCAAGAAATGAACTGTTTATTCTCTGGTAATGAGAGTACTTTAATAAGAACTGGAATTTGTGAGAGATACTACTTTATGGACTATTAGCTAGTAGACAATTTCTCATTTTAATTAAGTAGTATTTTCTTCTAAATTCACTTGCCGTAACTCCTATCTCTTCTGAAGATGGTTGACAACAGTGCTGTAATATCAAAAATAACTTTATTAATAAAGTAATATATTTGAGATATGTACACACAAAAAATTCAGACTTACAGATTCATTCTTAGATGCAGTGCTCTCAAATTTAATGCTTGATATCTTCTCCTTCTCTACTCATTGTTACTTGGTAAGTAGTTATTTTTATTAGGAACTGTCATTCTTGGGTTCCTTCTCACAATTTTGCATGTATGAACCAGCAAGAACTCACCTTGGCTCATTGATGAGAACACAGAGAAAATGATGTTAATCACATTTAGAAGTGGGCAGTAATGTCAGTTACTGTTCTTTGTTTTACAGAGATGAACGAAATCAGTCCATCATTGTAAGTGGAGAGTCTGGGGCAGGAAAAACAGTCTCAGCTAAGTATGCCATGAGATACTTTGCAACAGTCAGTGGTTCTGCCAGTGAAGCCAATGTTGAGGAAAAGGTGTTGGCTTCCAACCCCATCATGGAGGTAAGACAGCAGCAGCCACGGCCTTCTTACTGTATCCTCTCCGTAAGAACCACACTGAAAAATTTGATTGAAACATCACATGTCACAAAGTTTGGGACCTCCCAACCACTAAGAGTAGGAAAATATTATTCCAGATATTAGTAAGAGATCTAGGAAAAGTAAAAATTCAGTAAAGTAGACATTTTAAGTAAAGTCCAGCTATAAAGGATTCCACTGTATTCCATAAACCTGTGTTTTTAACCTACCACTACATTGTTGCCTCCAAGTAGCTGGCAATGGCACTTCTTTTCCTCAAGTTTCTTTTCCCCAGTTAATGGACTTGTATCTGTTGCTGCTTGTACTGGAAGTATAAACTACTCCTTTTCCCCCAATCCTGAGCTTATTTAAGCTCCTAAAACGTGGGGCTCACTGTGCCCAAGCATAAATGAGCTTTATTCTTCCTTTACCCACATTTTGTTTTCTGTGTGTAGTCTAACCTGTTTAGCTGTAAGTTTTTGTATTTTTCCAGGTGGAACTATAAATTTAAATCATGATCTTGGAAACATTTTTCTGCATGCATGTCACACATGCATTAGATTAGAAAAGAAATTTGCTAATATAAATTCTTGAAAAAAGGAAGATCTGTGAAAAAGATGTCCTTTTCCCCCCCCTTTAGTTAATTTAACCTTTAAAAATTTTTTTTACAATGTTGTGTTGGTTTCTGCCATTCAGCAGCACAAATCAGCCATGATTATATATACATCCTCTCCCTCACTAGCCTCCACCCCTCCCCCATCCCATCCTTCCAGGTCATCACAGAGCCCCAGACTGGGTTTCCTGTGCTGCACGGCAACATCTCACCAGCTATCCATCTTACACCCAATTGTGTATAAATGCTGATGCTACTTTCTCCATTTGTCTCTCTCCCTCCCCTAAGACCATTCTCTAATGGAGTCCATCTGTATCTCCATCATTCCTGCAAATAAGTTCATCAATACCATTTTTTCAGATTCCCTATATATGTGTTAATATATTTGTTTTTTTCTTTCTGATTTACTTCACTCTGTATAACAGGCTCTAGGTGCATCCAACTCACTAGAACTGACTCAAACTCATTGAAAAGATATCCTTTCAAAAGTAGACCATATATACAAAGTAGACATGCTCAGACCAAAGAAAACAGACCTTTTGATGTAAAAATTTGAGTATTTTAGGTTTTGTAACTGGAGGATTATTTGTGTATTGATGTGATTTTAGAAAAGTTTCATTAAATGGAGAAAATAAGTCTCAGTAAATGGAGAGAAATGACTTTGGACATGCAGAAACAAACTTTTTTTTTTTTTTTTTACTAATAATCCAGTCAGCATTCTTTATTCCTGTTTCTTTCCCTTTGTCAAGTCTTATTTGTCACCCAAACACAGATGGCGTTTAGAACTGGCCTGGTGCACCAGTGATACAAATGGTTTTTGCACTGATGAGTCCAGAGGTAATTGTGCCTGGTGTGCAGTGCTGTGTGTGACACTTTAGAATAGTATGCTGTGACCCCTTGCCCACAGGGCTACCTTCTAGAGCAGCAGGACTTCTGTTCTTGGGATTGAGAAAATAAGAGATGCTGGGGAAGTTAAGAGCCTCCTGGGCTGGGGTAGCTATGGAAAGAGAATTGGAAATGTTTTCTGAAATAGCATGGACAAGAGAAAACAGATGCTTATGTCAAAAGAAAGCAGTAGAGATCTTAAAAAAATATTAAGATTTTGAAGGAATTTAAACTATATATAGATATAATGGTGGATCCTACTCATGTTCCTGTTGTGATAATATAGTCTGTATAGCCCATTTCTTGTTTTGGTTTAGATGACAGCAGGGATTTACTTTCTGCCATTCTTTTTACTGTTTTTGATCACAACAAATTCTTGGTGTTCAACAGTAGTTTAGTCCATTCTTAGTCCCTAACATTAGAAGATACCAAAGTCCTGATTATGATGGCATTAGGAAACCCCATCTCTTCTAGATTCAGACTGTATAATAACATATAAGTCTGGAATGAAGCTTCTGGAATATATCAAGTTGAATGAAATATTTTATGACCTTGCTATATTTTTAAAAATAACTACATTTTTTCCTACAACATAGATTTGTGTTATGTAGGAGTGATATTAAAATTTTGAAATGGCTACAGATACTACTTTTTAAATACAGTTATAAGGAATTTACCTCATTTGCTAGGAAGAACAAAAAAGATAAAGATAGCAGTTATACATTTAAAAAAAATTTTTTAGTAAAAAATTTTTAATGACAGCAGTTATGCTTAGCTGCTTCATTCTATAATATTGTTTAGTTGGATTAGTAAAACTTGTTAAAGAGATAACTACTTTTCAACAACTACAGATAAGGGTATCCCAATTTCATTAAAATGAAATATAGGGCTAAAAAATGGTGACAAAGGGTTTACAGTTATAGGAAGAAAGCATAGGTAAAATATTGAATATGTGGCCTAGAAAATTTGTAGCTTTTAAGCTTGCCTCAGGATTATGTCTCTATATCAGAGCCCTTTACTGTGATGTCAAGAAAGGCATGTCTCTGTCTCCAGTGATTACAGTCATCCCACACCTTGAACATTGTAGCCCAGTGACTTACGGGATTTGCACATTATCCTTTGGAAAGCCAGCAGCTCCTCATCCTCAGCATAGACTCCTTTTGCAAAATACAAATGATGTACAGAAAAACAAATAATTCTTTTTTGCTCAATTTTATGACATTTGCTTTTTGCCCTTCTTATTTCCTAGAAATTTTTATCCTAAGATAGGGACCAGGAAAGTGATGGGGGTGCACTGGGTCTTAATAGTTCTTTTTCCTCTTTAATAAGTTGTAGTTCAAGATTTTCATCTCCATTTAGTAAAGAAGATTAATGCACTCAACATGTCATTGAAATCAGTAGTGAAATCAAGGCCACAAAACTTCTTTCCTTTAACAATTTCTTGCTGACTGAAATGAAAATAGCATTAGGGAGGCTGTTATAAATACAGTACTTGTAAGACTGAGGAAACACTTAGGGGGAAAGGACAAAAGGCACTATTTATATCCAGTACCTTGTTTCCATATCGGGTTAAAGGCTTAGGATCATATAGTTTTATTTTTGAAAGGGATGCTACTGCTCATCTATTCTAGAAGCTGAAGCTGCACAATTCTATGAAGACCTGCAAGACCTTCTAGAACTAACACCCAAAAAAGATGTCCTTCTCATCATAGGGGACTGGAATGGAAAAGTAGGAAGTCAGGAGAGTACTCTATTACCTGTACTCCAGTTACCTAGAGTAACAGGCAAGTTTGGCCTTGGAGTACAAAATGAAGCAGGGCAAAGGCTGACAGAGTTTTGCCAAGAGAATGCACTAGTCTTAGCAAACACCCACTTCCAACAACACAAGAGATGAGTCCACCCATAGACATCACCAGATGTTCAATATTGAAATCAGACTGATTATATTCTTTGCAGCCGAAGATGCAGAAGCTCTATACAGTCAGCAAAAACAAGACCTGGAGCTGACTGTGGCTCAGGTCATGAACTCCTTATTGCCAAATTCAGACTTAAATTGAAGAAAGTAGGGAAAACCACTAGGCCATTCAGGTATGACCCAAATCAAATCCCTTATGGTTATATAGTAGAAGTGACAAATAGATTCTAGGGATTAGATCTGATAGACAGAGTACCTGAAGAACTATGGATGGAGGTTCATAACAATGTACAGGAGGTGGTGATCAAAACCATCCCCAAGAAAAAGAAACACAAAAAGGTAAAATGGTTGTCTGAGGAGGCCTTACAAATAGTTGAGAAAAGAGAAGCGAAAGGCAGAGGAGTTCCTTGGGCTTTGAAATCACTGCAGATGGTGTCTGCAGCCATGAAATTAAAAGACACTTGCTCCTTGGAAGAAAAGTTATGACAAACCTAAACAGCATATTAAAAAGCAGAGACATTACTTTGCTGACAAAAGTCTGTATAGTCTAAGCTATGGTTTTTCCAGTAGCCATGTAGAGATGTGAGAGTTGGACCATAAAGAATGCTGAGCATTGAAGAATTGATGATTTTAAACCGTGGTGTTGGAGAAAACTCTTGAGAGTCCCTTGGACTGCAAGGAGATCAAACCAGTCAATCCTAAAGGAAATCAATCCTGAATATTCATTAGAAGTCCTGATGCTGAAGCTGAATATCCAGTACTTTGGCCACCTGATGCGAAGAGCCGACTCATTAGAAAAGACCCTGATGCCGGGGAAAGATTGAAGGCAGGAGCAGAAGGGGATGACAGAGGATGAGATGGTTGGATGGCATCACCGACTCAATGGACATGAGTTTGAGCAGGCTCCGGGGGATGGTAAAGGGCAGGGAAGCCTTCTGTGTTGCAATCCATGGGGTCGCAAAGAGTCTTACACAACTGAGCTACTGAGCCACTGAACAACTCGTGCTCTCTATTCTAGTCAGTTAACACGCGAGGACACTAATGCTCTTCAGAGGATTAAATGATGCAAGCTGGTGGTAGGGCCTGCTGTGATACCCAAGTCTTCAGATTTATATTTCATTTACTCCTTCTACCATTCTTTGCTATATGTTCATATACCTTATACTCAAAGACAAAAGGATCTGTTTCAACCCTGGCAACTCACTGCTTCTTCTCACAGAGTGTGGTGATTTTGGCAGGTCCACTCCACAGTCTGAGGAGATCCAGGGGAGGTGACATGTGGAGGTTGGGATAGGAGTTGGGAGGGAGGAGAAGCTGTAGACCACCTCCCCAGCTTGCCTAGTTGCTGGGGAAGGTGCTGAGGACAGTGCCCCAGAAGCACTCAGTGACTCTCACTGCTCTGCCACTGCTCCCACGTGTAACCTCATCTCCTCTTTGACAGAGTGTGTTGTGTTGAAAGAAAACTTTGCATTGATCCATTAGTTTCATTTTCTAAACAAAATGAAATAATAGGAATATATGGAGACTTTTTGTTGTGTTTTTTGTACTGTCAAGTTTTGCTGGAAAAGTAGTTTCCAGCCATTCTTTCCATCTTTAATGTTAATCTTGAATTTAGCAGTGTTCTCATTGTTAGAACAGAATAGGATAATACCTGTCATATTTCAGAGGCTAAACATGTTTTCTTTGATTGATCAGAGATTCTAATGTGTTAACTTTTGTGGCTGTGCTACTACTGTTTTCATCACTTGTGTTTGTATTGCCTTTTTTTTTTTTTTCTTATATTGCTTTCTTAATGCTGCGGAGCATTCTTGTATCTTTCTGCTGTGGTTTCAGTTACTAATCTTAGTAGTCACAGGCTTTGCATAGGGAAAGATATTAATTATATGAAATTATCCAGTTAAGCGTTTAATATATGCACTGTGTGAACCCTTGCTTTTCTAACTGCAGCATGCTTTTTGCTTTGCCTTGAAGGTAAAAATTATAGAAGCATGTCACCTAAATTAGAAGACAGTGCATATGCCATTTTAGTGTTTAAGATTATATTAAAACTTTAGCAGAAAGTTACATTCTCTACATTCTGTAGCAGATGTCTCACGAGTTAGATACCACTATCAAATTCAAAGTCGAATTTTACTGTTTCTGGTTTCTGAAAATTGCTTTGAATTGAGGGGGTAATTACTAACACTCCACTAGTAAGCAATCCAGCTAAAACAAAGAGACCCTGAACACCAGGGCAATATTTACAGGAAAATATTAATTTGTCTTAGCCAGCTTATTTACATGAAACAGACTACATTTCAAGAAATCAAAAACCTAGTTATTTAACCAGGATGGCTTTTGCCTAGGCAGCCCCTGGTCCCATCTGTTCTTTTCCTTTGCTGACATGAATGAGTGTGTTCCATGCCTTCTTCCATGGTGAAGACCCAACCACTGGCCTCCTGTCTGCTGTTTCTGAAAATCATTTGTGTGAAAATAACAAGGCTGATACCGACTATTAGTATATACCTGTGTGGTTGTGCCATGACAAAGCATGTGGTTTGCAGGGGCAAAATTGGTTCTGTTTTTAAAAGAATCACTTTTAAAGGGTTGTGTTCACCTCTGTTCTGTCTCTCCCTGAACAAATCTGTTCATGTCAGGGCATGAATTGCACTTCTAAAACTGTATTTTTTTCCCCTTGTTTTTCAGTCAATTGGAAATGCTAAAACAACCAGGAATGATAATAGTAGCCGTTTTGGGAAGTACATTGAGATTGGTTTTGATAAGAGATATCGAATCATCGGTGCCAATATGAGAACTTACCTTTTAGAAAAATCCAGAGTGGTGTTCCAGGTAAGCCGGGCCAGTATACATACAGATTGCTGTATCATTCCAGAGCTCACTTTATTCCCAGATTCTTTTGAGCATGTTATGTCAGTATTACTACAAACTACATCTGGACTGAAACATGTGAAACAATGCCTGTCAGAGAATACTGCTAGACTAATAGTCTTGGGACTGGACAGTGATTTAGGTTTAATGGTTTTGACTGTTTCCTCCAGATGCTTGTAGGAAAAGATTAGTTAAGAAGAGGTGCTGTTAGTTTAGTCTTGTCTGTCACATTTCCCAGTTGATAGGGAAGACATTGGTCTATGCTTCAATGAGTTATGGTTTGAACTCAGTTCAAAAAAAAAAATGTTCTTGACCTTTTTCCTTCCTTCCTTTTCTTTCAGAATATGGTATTGTTTAGATAGAATGTTGGGAGTCAATAGATCCTCATAACTCAGTTGTGAACCAGTGTCAGAGAACACACTCAAGTCTAGGTATTGGTGTAAGACTTTCATTCATACATATGCTCTTAGTCCTTTTGAAGAGGGGAGTGGGGGTGGCTTCCAGGATCTCAGTTCCCCAGCCTGGGATTGAACCCAGGCCTTGGCAATGAAAATCTGGAATCCTCCCCACCCCCAGGGAACTCCTGCTCTTACTCCTTTTTTATTTATAAATGGGAAACACTATACATTACAATACTGGTAGACATGCATTTACATGTTTATGCTCAGGGAATGTGGACTTACCATTGGAAAACTCCTAGTATAGGACTCCTGGTGACCCACTGCGAACTGTGAGATGGGGTTCCTCTAGCCCCTTCACTGGATGCCTGCCTCATGGAGATTCCAATAGCCCTGGCACTGCCATATAGCTGAGTCTATAGTTTCCATTGCACAAGTCTATTAAGGCTTAGAATGTGTCTAGGAAAAACATACTGAAAGTCGTGAGTTTGGGCGGCCTAGAACTATTCAGGCTTTGACTTTAGGGATGTACCTGATTTGTGGCTACCTAAATGTAATACCTGATTTGTATAGTAAAACAATAGTTACCCTCCTCCATTGTTCTAACATCTGGATACACACAGAACAGTGTTATTGTGCACACATGTATGCTTGAATAGGTTAAAAAAATATTTAGTAGCCAGAAGAAACAACGGGGGAAATATGTGATCTAAGGGAAGTCTGAGTCTGCATAGTACAGATTTGATTGATAGGTAGACAATGAAAGGGAAAACTGGTATGGTGACCAAAGGCTAGTAGTAGTGGGGCCTAACCCTTCTTGTCTAGAAACTGTGAAGCAATTCTAGCTGTCCCCAACCCACAAGGCTATATAATATTGAGGCTGTTTGGTTATATCAAAGTGAGTCAGACAGAGAGTACATATTTGATATTCCTTCATGTACAAAGATGGTCAAAGCGTTTCTGTTAGAGTCTCCAGCTTTTCTAGCTGTCTGTGTACTGAACCCCCTAAAATATTGCCTGAAAACTGAAAAGTGCAAGTGGCTCAGTCATGTCCAACTCTTTGTGTCCCCATGGACTGTACAGTTCATGGAATTCTCCAGGTCAGAATACTGGAATGGGTAGCCTTTCCCTTCTCCAGGGGATCTTCCCAACCCAGGGGTCGAACCCAGGTCTCCCACATTGCAGGTGGATTCTTTACCAGCTCAGCCACAAGGGAAGCTCAAGAATACCGGAGTGGGTAGCCTATCCCTTTTCCAGAGGATCTTCCTGACCCAGGAATCAAACTGGGGTCTCCTACATTGCAGTTGGATTCTTTACCAACTGAGCTATGAGGGAAGCCCTCATATTGCCTATTCATGCTTATAGTCACTGGTATATTGTTTTTTTGTTTAGGGTCTTCTGTCCATGTAATAAGTTTTCTTTATCAGACACCGGCCCCCATTACGCATGAAACCTGACCTTGGCCTTACTTGCTGTATTCTCCTGTCAACTGAGTTCAGCTGGTAGAGAATCTGCCTGCAGTGCTAGAGACCTGGGTTGGAAAGATCCTCTGGAGAAGAGAAAGAATACCCACTCCAGTATTCTGGCCTGGAGAATTCAATGTACTGTATAATCCATGGGTTCACAAAGAGTGAACACAACTGAGTGACTTTTACTTTCACTTTCTGTCAACTGAATACACTGCAGAATTCAGGAATATGATGATAGAATATAAGAATTAAGTTTTGTATGAACAGTATTATTACATTGTATTTTGAAAGTATATATGTGGAAGAAGGCAGTCAGAAAATACTAAGAAATGGTCTTAGAATTGTACACAATTTATTTTCTATTTGAAATATATTTTTATTGATTTTAAATATATAATTTAAATTGATATGAATGATGTAGTACATTTGTGGATTTCTTACAAACTACTACAGTAGACGGTCCAGTCTAAGATATGGGAAAGATGGGACTTTTTTCCCCGAGTGTTACAAAGACCATGAATCTAAGAGGTACTGTGAGAAAATGTGAGTATTGGGCTGACAGAGATTTTAGCTTCCCCAAAAGTCACTGATCTCTTATGACAGTGCCATATAGCAAGCTGTTTACTAGTTTAAAAAGCATTACTATCACATATATTATGTTGAATATGACCAACAGATACACTCACACAGATGCACATAGTTAATAAATCACGTTTCAATAATCATAGATATTAAACATAAAACTTTTCTGAGTTTTAGATTAAAATTCTGTTATTGAAAACTCTTCTTATTTCAAAGGCAGAAGAGGAGAGAAACTATCATATCTTCTATCAACTTTGTGCCTCAGCAAACTTACCTGAATTTCAAGTGCTACGATTAGGTATGAATATGACATAGATTTATTGTGCTGGTATTATCTTCTGTTTATCTCCAAGTTCACAACTTTACTTCTTAAAAAGATTATCTTGTACTGAAATATTTATGGATGAAATAAGAGGTCTACAGTTGGCCTCAAGATAACCCATGGGATGGACAAGGGGTAAGTGGCTGTATAAATGGAACAAGATTAGTCTTGAGTTGATACTTGTTTAAGATGAGTGTGATGAGTACACAAGGGCTCATTATACTAGTTTCTATACTTTTGTGTATGTTTGAAATTTGCCTTGTTTAAAAGGAAAGAAAATATAAAGGAGTTTATGTGGTAGAACCATACAAGGTCTCTGATGAAGAAAGGAAAAAAATGTTTGAAGAAATTATCCTAGCATGTAGATTGAAATAAAACCTTTAGGAAAGGACTGTTCACTTAAACTCTACAAACATTTTGCTCCATTATTTAATTTGAGTCTTGAATTAAAATGTAACTAAAAACACAGACAGTCAGACTCCAGACTACACAATTAATTGTGCTTTCGCTGCCTCTAAAGCAGAGTGGACATACGGATAGAAGTCAAGGCCTTTTCATAGACTGCAAATCTCTTTAAAATTTTTCCTTAATTGCAGGAGATGCAAATAACTTTCATTACACGAATCAAGGTGGCAGTCCTGTGATTGAAGGAGTAGATGATGCCAAGGAGATGGTGCATACCAGGCAGGCCTGTACTTTGCTCGGTATGTAATCTTATCCTTGAATTCTTGGAAGCAATAGCTCTCTGACTCAAACAACCTTTGATTTGGAATATTGGCTTAGCTTCATATTAAGTGGTGAAAATTTGGGGGAGATTTAACTTTTTTTTTTTTTCAGATTTAATGTTCTTCATAAAAAACATTTGGGCATCAAATGGGCATAGAGTTTCTCTTGGGGATGATGGGGACTATACTGAAAATATGTTATGGTAATGATTGTACAACTTTATAAATTTACCCAAAACTTTTGAATTGCATACCTTAAGATGGATGAGTTTTATGATATGCACATTATTCTTCAATAAAGCTATTTAAAACATACCTTCAGGGCTTCAGGGGAAAGATATGGGGCTGTTTACTTAAATTTTTACAAAATCTAAAGCGTGGAGCTAAATGAAATGGGTTTCTACACAGAACTCATGTTTTATAGGATTTTTTTGTGTATTTTTTTTTTTTTTTTTCATTTTGGGTGTGTTTTTGTGACCTGGAAATGTAGTTGAGCTGGCTTGGTGACAAAACAATGTATTACGTGTAGTTTGTTTCTGAAATGGCTCAGGTCACTGTTTTGTTTCTGGATTAAAAAAAAAAATGGATCTACATATAAATAAATTGACCTTTAGAAATGTAGTATACAACTTTTAGTGCTGAATTATTTATTTAAATGTTTTAGCATATGAATAACTCTAAAGCCATATATTGGTATTTTGAGGAGTAACCTGAGATAAGTTAATTTAATTTAAAAGTATTGCTAATCAGAGTATGATCCAGCACCACTATGGAGCTTGTAAAAATTTAGAATCTCAGACTTACTAAACTAGAATCTGCATTTTAACCAGATCCATTGGTGATCCATATGCATATTATAGTTTGAGAAACACTGCTTTACTTCCAGTGCGAACTCTGTTTATAAACAGAAAATTGCGAATTTGAAAAAACCATAACACAGGAGATGGTAGAAACATTCCTTGTAAAATGAACTATGAATTACCTGTATATGATTGCATATTTGGAAATAATTTTACTGTTTTTACTTGAACATAATATATATCTAATATTCTGGAAAAATCTTACCTTATTGAAAAGTGAAGCCTCATCTGGTAAAACACCAAGGGCTGACCTGCTTTCTCATCCTGCCTGATCTTTCAGGTCCTGCTCTAGTTCTTTGTTTAGGTACTCACTTGTCGGGCTGCGGCATAGCACCAGCCTGAACATTTTTAGTTGTGTGGTCTCTTTGACTTATTCTTGGTCTATAGTTAAAAGAAGTGATTGAGTAATTTGACTTAAAACAAACTTACTGAGCCACAACTTGCATTTAGAGTAGAGCTAAATGGAAAAAGGTAATAGTGTTAGTGAGATACTTAAATCGTGTGATGAATTCGTTTAGCACTTACCATGTGTCACACAGTGTGTTAACTTTACTAAGTGTATTTTCTCCTTTAATGTTTACAGACTCCCTTTGAGATAGTCTCTAATGTCCCTGTGTCTCAAATCAGAAACTAGAAGGGTAAAGGTGTCTGCCCGTGTGAGATGGCAGGTCAGGAGCAGAGCCCAGCTTCCAGCTGAGGTCCGTCTCACTGCACAGCCCATGCTCTAAACCGTAGTGCTAAAGTGCATCTGTGTTAAGGTCAACAAAGGTGAAAGTGTTGTTAGCTATGGCATATTATAATGTGTACAGCATCTGGCAGTATTAAAGTGCTAAAATTAAACTTAAAAAGTTAAATTATCTGCTTTAATTGTTTAGTTCCTATTCTGAAATTAATCACTGTTCATTTACTCTGTTATTTCAGGAATTAGTGAATCTTATCAGATGGGAATTTTCCGAATACTTGCTGGCATCCTTCACTTAGGCAATGTTGTGTTTATGTCTCGAGATTCAGACAGCTGCACAATCCCTGTGAGTTCAGAGCAAGCTTCCTGCGATGTCAGTTGACTTGTGTTTTAGTTTTGTTGATTCTTTATGGAACTAATGTGTTTGAAGTCTCTCTATTAACTAACATTAATGATTATCAGAGAGATAATTATTGGAGGGATACACTGTCTAGAGTAGAATTTTGAACTGTCAGTGAAGAAAGGTGGATTCAGATCCGTGGTTCACAGTGATTGTTTATATGTGTGGAAGGGATGGGGGAGGAGAGAACTTGGGTATATGTGTGAGCTGTATAAACAGATGTGGGAAATATTAGATGTGAAAGTTGGATTGGTGAGTCTACAGTGAAGAGCTTGTTTGACCCATGATGCACATAACAGAATTGATAAGTTTATTTTCCTGTGAAATATGGTTTAAAAGTTACTGAAGAAATTGTTAGCAGTGATTACTGGGAAAAGGAATTAGATGACTGGAGAGATATGGTGTCTTCACTATGATTTACATATTCTTCCCCATGTAGAGATGACTACACACTGAGAATTAAAATCCAATTCATTTGTTTAAACTGTAATAAAACCTAATAGTCTCAGAATGTTCTCACTGGGCATTGTGATTTGTAGTATTTTCTGATCACCACCATCAAAGATCACACACAGTGCACACAGTCACACATACATGTAGATACTTATTAGGTGTTTTTTAACTTTATTAAAATGGAGACACTTTTAATATAATTAACTCTTTTTCCATCTTGCTTTCTCGAGGATTATAATAGGAAACAGTTCTGAGATTTATGTTTCACTTTTCAGACACCCAAGTTGATATTTGCAAATCTACATGTAGATTAATTCATGTGACTTAAATTTGGGTAAATTAGACTTTAGTTTTGAAATACATGTTTCAGCATCTCTGCCTGGGTTCAATCCCAGCTTTACTATTTATGTACTCTATGTTTTGGGGTGAGTTACTTAGCGTCTCTGAACCTTAGTTTCCTCATTTTTAAAATGAAAGAGACTTTGTTTTTTTTTTTTTTACAACTTTTGGACTGGTTGCTCTGATCGAGCTTCATGCAGGATAAATTATATTCTAAAAATATTTGTAATAAATACATAAGAACTTTAATAAGTACATAAGAAATATTTTAATATATATATAAACTGAGTAAAAATAGGAACTCAGAACAGAGCAGAACCCTGAAGCACGGACTCACCTGGGAGGCATTTGCTGAACCCAGTGACGTTGAGCTATGGTTTCCATAGCCAAGTGGGGTGCGGAAGACAAAAAACAAAGCCTCAGACTCCTATAAACAGGGAAACAGGAAGGCAAACTTCTGCCTAAAGCTGAGGCCCTAAATGGGGCACATGCTCACCACCTTCTCCAAGAGTACAAAGAAAAATCAAGTCTCTAAGGGGGGGGGGGCGCAGAAATAGTTCCCTAAAAATTTAGAGCAATGAGCTGCCCCTCACACTTATTTCCCAGTTTGTTGTCATAGTTCCTGGATGGTCCCCAACAGCAACATACACAAAACTCAGCTTAAATTGATCCTGGATTGGTAGTGCCCTGGATGCCTGACAGAAGCAAATGCAAATCCACCTTCAATCCAGGCCTCAACAGAGTCCCATGAGAAGAGTTACAAGAAATATTGACTCATAGTCAAAAATCTCAAATTTCATGATAAAACAAAATAGAAAGGGCTAGGCAAAACAACAGATAGCAGTCAAACCTACTAAGAATGCTGAAAGAAATTAATAGCAGATTTGACACAACTGAGTAGAGAAGCGATAAGCTGAAAGACAGACATGAAGAAATGATCCAAAATGCAAGATGGGACCCACAGATGGAGCCCTTAACAATAATTAAAAGAGATGAAGAATGGAGTAATAGAATCTAATTTTAATATAATGAGAATTTCTAAGGGAAAGAAAGAAGAGAATGAGGCAGACAAAATGTTTGAAGAGGTAATTACTAACAAATTTCAGAACCTGTGAAAATGACACTACACCACAGATTTGGAAAGGACAAAAAAATCCCAGATAGAATAAATAAAAAGAAACCCACCTCTAGGCTCACCATAATGCTACCATAGGCAGAGAGAAAAATCTTGAAACACAAAGAAACATAAGACATACTAGTGTTGAAGAAGTAGCAATTAAACTGATTGCTCACTTCCCAACTGCAATAATAGGAGTCAGAAAACAGTGGACCATCTTCAGTGTTCTAGAGCATATAATTACTAACTTAGAATCATATATCCAGTAAAGATATCTTTTTAGAATGAGGAAAAGATAGATGTGTTTTCAGACAAATAGAAACTTGTGAGAATTTGTCACCAGTAGGCCCTCACTAAAGGAAATATTAAAAGACATGGTTAAGGCAGAAGGAAAGTGATCTGGATACAAGATCTAAAATTCCAGAGGGAATGTAAATCAATAAAAAATGGCAAAATTTGATAAATTAAAAGAATAATAATTATGAATTGAGCTTCCCAGGTGGCACTAGTGGTAAAGAATCCACCTGCCAGTGCAGGAGATGAGATGTAAGAGATGCAGGTTCAATTCCTGGGTTGGGAAGATCCCCTGGAGGAGGGCATGGCAACCCACTCCAGTATTCTTGCCTGGAGAATCCCAAGGACAGAGGAGCCTAGCAGGCTACAGTCCATAGGGTTGCACAGAGTCAGACACAAATAGTGTATTGGGCCACAAAATACTTTTTACAGAAAACTCATTACAGAGGGAAAGGTAGTAGAGAAACCTCACAGACATTCCTGTAACCAAGCAACCAGTCAGCATCACTTGAGTTCTGATGCAGCATCCTGAGGAGAGTACCAGATTGCTTCTCAAGTATTCCCACCAAAAAGGCGTGCCAAATCTGATCATGAGGCAACATCATACAGACCCAAACTGAGGGGCACACTACCCTTCTAAAGTATCGAGTTCTCAAAAGACAAAATAAAAGAGTGAAGAGCTCCTCAAATTAATAGAGATTAATGAAATAAGATAACTAAATTCAAGGTATGAACCTAGATTGGATCCTGGGCCATAGAAATGTGCCTCCCTAGCAACCCTATCCTCAAAGGACATTATTAGGTCAGTCAGTAAAATTTACTAGGTAATAGGGTTGTATCACTGCTAATTTTCTGATTTTATTCATTGTACTATAGTTATATAAGACAATTTTAGGAAAATACACAGTAGAGTATTCAGTACCAAAAGGGCATCATGTTTGCAACATGCTCTCAAAAGAGTCTGAAAAATAATATGTATGTATATGTATGTGAAAGAGTGAGAGAGAAAGAGCAAACTTGGTAAAATGTTAATATTTAGGGAATCTGGGTGAAGGGAATACTTTGTACTTTTCTTGTAACTTTTCTGTTAGTCTGAAATTAGTCTAAAATAAAAAGTTAAAAAAAAAACTAAAGTGAATCACCAGCCCTTTCTTCCTCCCAAAAAGATAGAACTAAAGTACTGGATAGCAAAGCTTATAGATTGGGATTGAGTGTTTGGAGTTCGTTATTTAATTACATTAAGTTAACTAATGTATCAATTCTTCTATCATAAAAACAGAAACAGAAAGTGAAGCTTTCAAACCAATAAAGAGGAAAATGAACTAAAAAAAAATCCAAATATAGCAAGAAAGGGAGAGAAATTTTTAGAAAAGGAGGGACAAGTAAAGGCACAAAAAAGGTATTAATAGAAATAATTACAAATGAACCAATGTTTCAGTTAATATAAATTGTCAGACCAGTTTTAGAATTCAGGTGTGTCCTTTTGAAAGAAGCATTCCTGAAAAATAAAGGTACAGATAGTTTGAAAGTAAAAAGTTGAGAAAAGACACCATAATAGCTAGAAAAAAACCTGGTAGAGCTGTACTGATACTGGAAAAAATAGACTTTGAGGCCAAAAGCAGTACTAGAGATAGAGTCACTATGTATTGATAGAGATTTTTATTCACCAGGAAGATGTAATAGTTCTAAACTTGCATGTACTTAATGATGTAGTCTCAAAATATATAAAGCAAAAGATTACCACAAGAATAAAAAGAAACATCTGTCATAGTGGGATATTACTGACTTCTCTCAATTACTGATAGATAAAGAAGTCTAAAAATTAGTTAAGTTATAGAAAATTTGAACCAAACAGCTAACAACATTGACCTCATAGAACAAAATGGTAGTACCATTCAAATAAAATGTTTAGAGTGCTGATCTACTTCTAAATGATGTCACACAATTCATATATAAATGAATGAAATAAGCTGCTTATTGAAGGGAGTTGATCCATGTTGATGGATCACACAAATCATCTGTGTCTGAAGTGATTACTTGGGAAGAGGGAACATAAAAGAAAGAAGGGACTGTTTCAGTGGGAAGGGTCAGGGGAGGAGGGTGTCAATAGACCCCGGGTTTAATAACAATTCTGACATAAACTGGAGGTGTGATTTTTGCCAAGCTAGTCTTTTGGATGTTATATCCTAATTTGTCAATTAGAGATAGCAGTGTTCACCCTGCCTGTTCCTCAGGAATGTTATCAGATGCAATTGAAACATGTGAGTGAAGATGTTAAAAAATATAATGTACTAACATGAATTAAATTAAATAAGTATTTTTAATTTATGAATATTTTGCATGCCTACTCATGCAAAACCTATGGAAGACATTGTAGGTGATACAGGGATCCCTGTAGGTAAGGGATTCCCAACCTCCAGGATCTAATGCCTGATGATCTGAGGTGGAGCGATGTGATAGTAACAGAAATAAAGTGCACAGTAAATGTAATGCTCCTGAAGCATCCCCAAACCATTACCCCACTCCACAATCCGTGGAAAGATTGTCTTCTACAGAGTCAGTCCTTGGTGCCAAAAAGGTTGGGGATCCCTGCCATAGATGATGCAGGGGATCCTTAGATTAGAAATACTAGTCTAAGAAGCCACACAAATAACTATTAAGTTGTCTGTTTATAACCTTTTAGTACCTCCACCTCACACCTCCCTGCCCTCCCTCCTCATTGCTCTTAGAGGAAAGACTAGCCATGAAACAGCCTCTGGCTTCATCCCCTACATTTTCTCCCTCACATAGCTTCAATCCCTCACATCTCTGGTTTCTCTCCCACCACAGGACTTTTATACCAGATGTTGCCTCTACTTGGAAGACCTTTTCACCAAGTTAACCCCTTCTTATTCTTCAGATCTCAACTCCATTTCTCAAGGCCACTGTCTCGTCTCCCTGAATAGGGCACATTCCTTACACATGGAATCTTAGTATAGTGTCCTCTTTTGTAGTAATTTTAATTTTAGGGCACAATCATTTAGTTAATGTCCATTTCCCCTAGTGACTATAAGTTCTAGGATGACAGGGTGAAAGTGAAAGTGTTAGTTGTTCAGTCATATCCAACTCTGAGACCCCATGGACTGTAGCCCACCAGGCTCCTCTGTCCATGGAATTCTCCAGGCAAGAATACTGGAGTGGGTAGCCAGTCCCTTCTCCAGGGGATCTTCTTGACCCAGGAATCAAACCCAGGTCTCCTGCATTGTAGATGAATCCTTTTACTCTCTGATCCACCAAGGAAGCCAGTACATGTCTATTTTTTTCTGTTGGCATATAATATATTTGTAGACAAGCTGACTCATTTTTCTGACTGACTAAATGAATGTGCCTGAAGACAGATGCAAATAAGTACTATAAAGAGACAAAGGAAGAGGTCAGTTTTTGAAGTGAGTCCTAGAAGAGATTACAAAATGCTGCCTAGATTCTGGTTTGATGGATGATTGTGATTATCACTGATCAGCTTCAAATGCTCTTGGTGTTTGTTGTAACAGAGAAATTGTCAGGTTTAATTGTTACCTCTTTGTTAATATTTTTTAGTAAACTCTTACTTGATTGATCTGGTCCTAGGAACTAACCCATTCTCTTTTGGCAGCCCAAGCATGAACCCCTCAGCATCTTCTGTGACCTAATGGGTGTGGACTTTGAGGAGATGTGTCACTGGCTCTGCCATCGGAAGCTGGCCACTGCCACAGAGACATACATCAAGCCCATCTCCAAGCTGCAGGCCACGAATGCCCGCGATGCATTGGCCAAGCACATCTATGCCAAGCTCTTTAACTGGATTGTAGATCATGTCAATCAGGCACTCCACTCTGCTGTCAAACAGCATTCTTTTATCGGTGTGCTGGACATTTATGGGTGAGTGTATTTGGCTAAGTGGTCTGAGCATTTCTTTCTAGACATTATCTAGTAACTCCAAGTAGGTATTTATGTCTCCTACTGGTGAGCTAAAGGGAAAATTAGAAGAGAATTTTTTAAAGTCTAGTTTCATTTGCTAGTTTGCCTTCTCTGGGTACCTTTCTTTAATGTTGAACCCCTTCCTATACATTTGTGCTTTTTGATGCCTAATTTTTCATCATCTGGTTCACTTTTCAAAAAAACCTATGACATTTCTATTTCCCTCCCCTCTGTATTTATGTAAACATTGTGATTCTGTGAATTGACAAGAGCAGTAGCTTTATCCTAATTCTGATTGTTCCCTACTTGGGGATGAATATGCCCTCAAAACCTCATACTATTGAATAGATTCACATGCTGCAGCCTTGAAAAAAAAAAAAATCTCTGCCACTTTGCTGATGTCTATGTGCTGGGTACATATTTTGTGTTACTAACTTAGAAAGCCTTACCTTCACTGATGTGGAAAGAAAGTTTTGCAATGTTAGGGAATTTCCTATTTTTCTCTAATGTGCATATTTTGAATATTTTTTAAAAGCTGATTTTCCTTTTTCTCCTCTTCCCATATTATTTTTGATTTTACAGGTTTGAAACATTTGAGATAAATAGTTTTGAACAGTTTTGCATAAATTATGCAAATGAAAAACTACAGCAACAATTCAATATGGTAAGAATTTTCTTGCTTAAATAATATTCTGCCAAAAATTATTCTTTGAATTCCTAGTATGTGTGTAAAGACTGGCTCCTGAAGTGAAGTTATGAATTTCAATTATTATCTACAGTTTAAAGCAGTTAAACTGCTGAGGAACTTATGATTAATGAATGATGCAACCTTGGAAAGATGTTTATGGTCCAGATTGGATTCAAGGTCATCTGCTGTCTGAGAATAGTAAAAATTTGGTCCAAATAAATTGAGAGAAGGAAGCAGAAAGTGTGTTAGGTAGTGACATGGGGTTGTGAAACTTGGACCCCAGGGATATCATTCAGTTGGTTGTCCCTGAGGCTAACTATATGTGGAGTTAATACTATCTTAACTCTTACTTGCTGTATTAGCAAGATGTCAGGACAGTCTGATGATAAGACCATTGGATGGCATCATCGACTCAATGGACATGGGTTTGAGCAAACTCCAGGAGATAGTGAAGGACAGGGAACCCCGGCATGCTGTAGTCCATGGGGTCACAAAGAATCAGACACGACTGAGCGACTGAACAACAACAGGGCAAAAAAGTCAGGACATATTCTCTTTTCTACATATTTTTTAATGTATTCTATTTTATATATTGTCTTTTCAACAGTCTGAGACATTCACTGAGACAATGGCAGTGGAAGGATTTTGAGTGGCTTTTGTGAAATAGTAATAGAAATATGTTATCATGGTGTTGGGAGATTTGGAAGCACTTAAAAATGGTTGGGCTACAGGCTCTATGGTGGGGTTGATGGTGACCTCTGGGAGGTCACCTTCCAGGACTGCTGCTGCCAGTGCCCCATCCCCAAGGCAAGCCACTGCCGACCCATGCCTCCACAGGAGACCCTCCAACACTAGCAGGCAAATCCAAGCTCAAGTGGATTCAGAGTCAACTTAAAACATGTTCCTCAGAATGTCAGATTTCTCAGGATGTTAATAGACATTCCACAAGATAAAGTCATGTTAAAGAAAAAAAAAGAAATGCTGCAAACCCTCTACATCTCTATGTAGGGATTTATAAAGCACATTAGCTGAGGTGGCGGGGGGAAGCACAGAGAAATCAAGCAGGAAATACATTTAAATTGACTAAGCAAAAAAAAAAAAATTAAAAAGATTGGAATCCAACTCTGCATTGATTTTCCAGTGGATCCTGGGCAAGTTAATTGACCTTGCTGGGCCTTAGCCACCTCATCTGTATAATGGGGATGGTAACAGTACCTATTGCATGTAGTATATGGATTAAAGAGTTGGGATATGTAAAGTGCTCACCACGTGCTAAGTACAACTTTTAAGTGCAAGATTAGGGGTGGTTATTATTGATAAAATAGGATGTTTAAAATGAATCACCTATGGAAATTAGAATATGAAAAAGAATAGAACTGAAGGATGAGGAAGAGCCCTATTATCCCCATCATACAAAGAGAGAGGTTGAGTGGTATACCCTACAATTGATGAATGAAAAATGGAAATTTAAAGATATTAAGTTACAAAAATAATAAAAACCAAAAGATATAAAAATTGTAATATCAGAAGGATAGAGGAAGAACAGTAGAGAGTGATATATATGAATTTGACCTCATCTGTCGCATCAGGAAATCAATAGATAGTGTTAAATGAATAAATAAAAGAATAGCTGATAAGCATATACATCTTCCCTGGTGGCACAGCTGGTAAAGAACCCACCTGCCAGTGCAGGAGACACAGGTGATGTGGGTTTGATCCCTGGGTCAAGAAGATCCCTTGTGGGAGGGCATGGCAACCCACTCCAGTACTCTTGCAGGAAAAATCCCATGGACAGAGTATCCTGGCAGTCTACAGTCCACGGAGTTGCAAAGAGTCGGACATGACTGAAGCACTTGAGCACACAACAACAACCATATTGTTAGGGCTTCCCTGGCGGCTCAGCAGTAAACAACATGCCTGCAATATGGAGACACAAGTTCAGTCCTTGGGTCAGGAAGATACCCTCGAGAAGGAAATGGCAACGCTCTCCAGTATTCTTGCCTGGGAAATGCCATGGACAGAGGAGCCTGGCAGGCTACATTCCATGGGTTCACAAAAGATTCCTACACGGCTTAGTGATTAAACAATAACAACAACAACAACAAAGCATATTGTTTAGAGATACATATCAGGAGAAATAGCTGAGGAAGTTAAAAATGTTTGTTTCCAAGGAATTAGACTGGGATTGGGTCAGGATAGAACAAGGGATTATTGCTTGTCATCATAAAACCTTTAGATTATTTGATCTTTGTAAAATATTGCATAAAATATTATATTTTGATAAAAATTTGGACCCTCTTTTTAGCAAATTAAGCTACTTAGGACAGTGAAATAATGTAGAAGTGATCTTAAAATTTTAAGCTGTTTCTGTGAGAATGTGACTGGTATATTTTGTGTCTCTGCATAAGGAACGTTAATAAAAACCTGTCAGACACTAAGTGGAATATTATTTTTTCTCAAGGTTTTCCTGAGTTTCTCAATACTTTAATCAACAGCAGAGCCTTCTGCTCTTTCCCAGTATATTTTGGCACAAGGTGACTGGAAGTATTAAGGAACTAACGCCAGCCTTATTAGGGACTGGCTAATTTGTTTATTTCTCAAGGACCTCATGTCTCTGCATGTGTGTTTCTGACTTTCTTGTTTCCCTTTCCCTCTTTCTGTCTCTGTCCATCTGTTTCTTCTGTCTCTCTCTCTCTTTCCTCATACAGACACACACACACACACACACACACACACACACACACACAGACACACACACACACACACACACACTGCAGCATAGCCTCTCTCTGCACAAGAGAGGCTTCCCCCTCTCTCTTATTTCTCTTCCTTCTCTCTTCCCTCCCTCTTATTATCAGATGGCATATATTTTCCTTCAGATGGTATATATTTTGTCTAGGTTTTTGCTTCCTCACTTACCTCACACTTAGAAGCAGTGGTTGAGGTGCTTCTGTATTCTTACCTTGCTTAGCTCCCATTCATCTTGACTTCTTGCAGCATCAGCTTTCACTGTTAATTGTCTGTTTCCCAGTTCTTATATCTGAGAAAAGAGAATGTGATTAACCCAGCTCATTTGTTCATCAGAGACCTCTGGCCCTTGACTAGCTGTGACTTGGAGCATGGGGTCTTATAGTAAAGAACTTGGTGCTCAGGCTGCTCCCTCAGCAGGGGCTGTGGGGTGGGCAGTGGGCAAGAGAAACATGCTGACTGGCAGGTTAGTGCTTGGAGTCATTACCTTATCGAGTAAGCATCTCTTGCCATATTGAACCTCATGCCCTTAATTTTGCAATTAAGAATGGAAACTTTTTGAGGTCCCATGGATTTTGGCAAACTAAACATAGAGACTTGTATGAAAAACAGGCTCTAAAGTTTAGAGCAGTGTTTCTTTTGTCAATGTGAAGACCACACTGCACATAGACTAATGAATTAAAGAAAGATAGGGCTCATTTGTGGGGAATTATTGGTACCATCAGCCTGGGCATCTTGCTGACACATGGTGCCCCATTTGCCTTCTAATTAATCAAAAGAACAGAAGAAATTTGCTTTCTAATTAGCATTACATAAATATTCATATGTATGACAAATTTGAGGGTTTTTTTTTTTTACTAAAGTTTCACACCTGGATAGACTATGAATGCTGCAAATGAGCCAAGAACAGCATTATAATAAGTGTAAAATAAAGTAGGAAAGTTCCAGATGTGTGAGGAGAATAAAGTATCCGAAATCTTGGTAACTCTTAAGTTTCATGAGGGTTTGGGTTCTAGGAAATATGTGTTGTCTGGTAATAACCACAGAGGGATAATCTTCCCAGAAAAGTTGCAGGACATGTGAGAGAACCAGTGTGACAAAGGAGACAAGAAAGGAAAGCAGAATCCTGCAGGAAGAAATGAGTATAGGTCATTAGCACCTGTAGAAACTAGAATTTTTGGTTTGGCTCCATTGGCTGGGCAGCTTGATGCATGCAGTGCTTCTATTGCCCTTCCTTCCTAGACCAACCTAATTACCTCTCACTGCAGACCTCAGGTCACACAGCCCTTCCTCAAGGAAGACTTCCCTTGCTACCCTGTTCCAAATTAGTTAGGGACTCCTGAGCTCATAGCTGGCCATTATTTTTCTCTGGAGCATTATTACAGTTTGTAATTCTGTTTCTTGTGATTGTTTGATTTCTGTCTGTTTCTCCCACTAGTCTTCAAAGTCTATTAGGGCTGAGTCTGTGTCTATTTTGCTAATGGTGTGTAGTGTCTGGGACGTGGTAGACAGTCAATACATATTTGTGCTTAAGTGAGTGAATGGAGATGAGAAGCAGTGGCTGAAGCATTTAGCAGAAATAATAATGTATTTGTAGTGGTTGCAGCTGCTGGCAGAATTGGATGTAGAAGCCAGAAAAGTGAGCCATAGATTCCCTGACTGTGGAGGATAATCAAGGCGGACACAAAAGACCAACTGTTGTCTAATCCGGAGGCACATGAACTTCAACACCATGGTCCCTTAAAAGAATTACTTTGTCATGCTCTAAGCATCACCCAGAATGTTTCAGTAGTCTGGAGGGCATCCTCTCTGCAGGTTGTTCAAGGCCAGCTAAGGCATTTCTGTGCCCATATCGTTAGCAACACTGAGCAATAATTTAAGGGGCCAAAAAGTATGTAGTGTGGTTTTGGATATATACATATCAAAAAATCAAAAGCTGCCACATTTATCAGCTATTTAAATACTCACATACCTAGATTTTCTTGTTTGCCAAAAATCCTATGTAGCTGAGGTTTTGCCATGTATGGTTTCTATTTGCTTTCTTATATTGTTCTCTGCCTGTTTCATGTTTCTCTAAGATTGCTGCTAGAAGCCATTGACTGTCTCAAATTTTGTTTTATACATGTTTATTGACTCACATTTGTGACAGTGATATAGTAATGCCAGTTTTTCCTTTTTCATTTCAGCATGTCTTCAAATTAGAACAAGAAGAATATATGAAAGAACAAATTCCATGGACACTCATAGATTTTTATGATAATCAGCCTTGCATTAATCTTATAGAATCTAAACTGGGCATTCTAGATTTGCTGGATGAGGAATGCAAGGTAAGTATGATTTTCTGATGTATTTAATATATCAAAATTTTGCACTGAGGTAAAATGGTAAATAGGTTTTAGTAGAGATTCACTAGTATATCATGAAGTGCCACAGTGGCAACAAGTGGGGGTTACTCTAACTTGCATTCTGAAGGGTCACTAGCTCCAAAGGGTTCAAACTATAGTTGAAACTAGGAAAATCTCCCTTCCCTTTTCAGCTGATTATAAGTTATGTGAAAAACTGGCATTAGATACAGCTACTACCAATTTTAGCCACTTTTGTTATTGATATGCTTATATTTGGTACTTTTGTTCAATGGTATGATATAGTTCAGGAAATGTGAGAAATTGTACAAAAGGTATTTTGAATAATAGTTCTAAATATCTATAATTTTAAACTTGACTAGTTGTTCTTTATTACTTATATATATGGTGGGTAAGGAGTTTTAGTTTTAATATTTGAAGATGCAGCATGTGGAAAAAATATTGGATCCCTGGCTTCCCTGATGAGTGATCCTAGACAAACAACCTATCCTTTCCCTTAGTCGTTCTTTAGTTTATATGCCGTAAGTTACAAGTTCATGTAGGCTGATCCTCCTAAGCATCCAGATTTCCTGCAACATTAAGAATGCAAAGACAAATACTGTATGTTTTCACTTATATTTAAAATCTAAAAACATAAAACGGACAAATGAATGTAACAAAACAAAAAGAGCCTCCTGGATATTAGAGAACAAACTGGTGGTTACCATCGTAGAGATGGTTGGTGGGAAGGGCAAGATAGGTGAAGGCAGGATTAAGAGGAACAAACTACCAGGTATAAAATAAACAAGATACAGGGATGTAATGTACAGCACAAGGAATATAGTCAGAGTTTTATAATAAACTTCACATGGAGTATAACCTATAAAAATATTGAATCACTATGTTTTACTGCAACTAATATAATACTGTACATCAACTATACCTTAATAAACAAAAAGAATACATGTAAAGGTGCTCCATTCCACTTGAAATTAAATAACACATAAATCAAAACAGAAATAGGACACTGCTTTTTAGCTATCAAGTTTAAATTTGATAATACCAAATTAGTATTTATTGCATATATACTCTTGATGAAGGACAAAAGTTAGTACAACATATTTTTGAGGAATATTTATCAAGATTTTAAATACACATACCTTTAGAACCAGAAGTAGAAATGCTGAGAGTTTACCCTATGAATATACTTACAAAAGTATCCAAAGTTTTTGTTTAAAAGGAGTCATTGTGGCCGTTTTCATAATAACAAAAAATCAGTAACAGCCTAGTAGTCATAAATACAAGAATGCTATTATTAAGAGGAAAAAAAAATACAAGGATGGCTAAGTTGAAGATCCCTCTTGGTAAATGTCACATTGCACATGAAAATATGTGGGTTATTTTTAAATATCTTTTGATACTAATTTCTAACATAATTCCACAGTGATAATAGATTCTGTATATTTTCAGTACCTTTAGGCCATGACATTTTTGCAGCTTGTTTTATATCCCTGGATATGTCCCAGTGTCTCCTTGTTTACAGTCTATGGGAACTTGAATAGAATTTGTATCCTACTGTTGTATAAAAATTGTATAAATCTTAATTATGTTGAATTGGTTCACAGTGCTTTTCAGATCTAGTAGATCCTTCTACTTCTCTGTATATTCATTCTATTAATTTTTGATATTGAAACTCCAACTAAAATCTTAATTTATCTACTTAAAAAAATACTTGTAATATATAGTGGAACTATATATTCTATATATAGTTCTATATTTTTCAAATCTCCTGTAAATGTGTTATCATACTTTAATAATTTAAAGAAATAAAAATTTTTACAAATGTAAGAAGTTTATAGAATGATACTATTTGTATCCATGCCTTTAAAGACAGATAAAGCAGTTGGTGGAAATGGCGAAAGGAGACTATTCTCTGTTTTATAGCTTTCTGAATTATATAAATAATCTACTATGTGCAAATGTTATCTTTATTTTAAAAAATATTTTAAATATATGATAATCATTGTGTTTCATCTTTCATTTGTGAGGCTTTCATTGCTTTAAAAATATATTGAGTATTTATTTGATGACCCTTGGTCCAGGCAGATTGAGTTACTCAAAGCTTGGGCTGAGTCACCCATTGGCAGGTCTCAGTTGTTGCTTTTCGTTCCCAGGTGGCGCTAGTGGCAAAGAATCTGCCTGCCAATGCAAGAGACCCAAGAATCTTAAGTTTGATCCCTGGGTCAGAAAGACCCCCTGGAGTAGGAAATGGCAACCCACTTTAGTATTCTTGCCTGAAAAATTACATGGGCAGAGGAAAACACACATATACACACACACACACACCCCAGTCATTGATTTGGGACCGCTGAGAGAGAAATGTGAAAGGAATGAGTTCCTGAATTGGACGTTAAAGTTGTTAGGCAAAGCCAAAACACGGTCTCCTGGGTGATGCATCAGAAGAATCTCATAACAATATTCACCTTGTTTTCTTGCTCTTTTTTTCCCCTGAATGTAGATGCCTAAAGGTACAGATGACACTTGGGCCCAAAAATTGTACAACACACATTTGAACAAATGTGCACTATTTGAGAAGCCCCGCCTATCAAACAAAGCTTTCATCATCCAGCATTTTGCTGACAAAGTAAGGAAGCTTTATTATCTCTTTTCTATTTGAATACTTAAGGTCAAAGAGGAAAAAAATCAATAGTCAATAGATAGCAGTTTTTTCTTTGCTGAGCTTTCATTCTTTAGCTCTTTTTTGAAAAAGTAAGCTTAATTGTTGAAGAAGGCAATGGCACCCCACTCCAGTACTCTTGCCTGGAAAATCCCATGGACGGAGGAGCCTGGTAGGCTGCAGTCCATGGGGTTGCAAAGAGTTGGACACGTCTGAACGACTTCACTTTCACTTTTCACTTTCATGCATTGGAGGAGGAAATGGCAACCCACTCCAGTATTCTTGCCTGGAGAATCCTAGGGACAGGGTAGCCTGGTGGGCTGCCGTCTATGGGGTTGCACAGAGTTGGACACGACTGAAGCGACTTAGCAGCAGCAGCAGAAGCAAGTTTAATTGTTGGCTTATTGGTTTAACCTAAATGGAATTATATTACGAAATAAGTGAGTGTTTACAGTCCTGTATCTATAATTCTGAAATCCAAGAAACTCTGAAATACACAAGTATTTTTATAATCCATTTAGTGGCTAAATCTGATCTTTGACCTGAAGTAACATGAGGTTATTTATAGTCTTTATTTATCCCAGTTAGGTGGATATTTATATATTTCAGTATAGAAATATTAATATGTTTGATTACAGATTGCTGCTTCAGGTCTACTTAAAGAATCTGGGTTCTAAAGCATAGAGACCCCAGAGGTTTCAGAAAAGAAATTGCGGACGAGTGTGGCCCTCTGAGATTGATTCAGTGGGTCCCTGCTAATAAGGCATGCAGACCTGCTGCTTCGCAGGTTCTAGAGTCTACTCAGAAAATCTGGAGCTGTGACACTAGTTTATATTTCAAGGGGTTTGTGGGGGTAGGCTTCTGGTAAGTTTCCCATGGTCCCTGTCAAGAATTGACGGTTTTCAGAGTCTGTCCGTCGTGTAGCTGGAGATCTTTGGATGGCTTCAGGGCCATCTAAGGGCTTTGTAGTACAGACTGGGGACCCTTGAGTGGTAGATAGCTGAAGTCTTTTAGAAACGGGGAGCATCCAGTCTCATGTGGCCCTACTTACCAACTCATACAGTATTTACCCAGCCTCTACCTCTGTCCATGATCATCACTTCAGCTTTCTGCCAGATAGCTATTTCTGCCAAATAGCTATCAGAAGAGGGTCCTTCTGACCCTCTCTCTCACTTCAGTCTCTTCTTCCCCAAAGGGGACTTTCCCCTGCAGAAAGGTGAACCAGGTTTGGAGGAGATACAGTGGTTCGCCTTGGGAGAGCTCTCTTTGGCTTGCTTGAGAGAAGAGAACAGCTTCTTATGAGTCTGCTTACGCATGAATTGGGATCATCTTTTAGATCACAGTTAATCAGCACTGCCACTGCCCTCTAGGAAAAGCAGTATTTGAGAGTTTTACTCTAGAGTTAGCATGCTTCTTACCAAGAATGATACTAGTTTCTTAGAATAAAACAAATAACACTTCACTGAGAACCCATCATATAGCCTGGGCCTAATACTTATTTTTGTTGTTGATGATATATTGTATCTATTCAAAGTTTTTATTAGCTAAGGAGATTTTCCAATGTGTTTTCAGGTGGAATACCAGTGTGAAGGCTTTCTGGAAAAGAATAAAGACACCGTTTTTGAGGAACAAATTAAAGTTCTTAAATCAAGCAAGGTAACTTTGTATAGGCTTTCTCCAATCAGGATATATTCATTAAAATGTTCATGACTTACGCATTAGCTTTTTAACAATAATAATAATTTTTCTAACAAAAATCAGCCCTACTGTTGATTTAATTTATCAAATAGATGTGTCATATATTTTAAATGCCTTACAAACGTTAATTCATCTAATCCTATGATGAGGTGATATTATCACTGCTCCCATTTTACAGAGGTGGGAACTGAGGCACAGAAACTTTGTAGCTAGTCAGTTTCCAAGCCAAATTAAAATTCAAGCTGTTGAGCTGAGAGTCTGCATTTTTAACCATGATGCAGTAGTATTTTATGTGAAATTATTGCCTCACAGCAGTTCCAGGCTCTCTTGTGCCTTTGTGAGACACCATGAGAGAAAACTGATGGGTTTTGTTTTTTGCTATGTCATTTTGAAGGAATGCACCAGAAACATGGCCTTAAGCATTCCATCAAGGTAAAAACTGACCTCTGGATCACTGACTGAGTGCAATTTCAGACCGAAGCACTTTGAAATTATTCTTCTGAGGCTTAGATACCAGAAACACTGCATTCTAGTAGGAAAAGAATATTCCAGATTGTAATGAACTGTGATGTATATCGGGGGTTGATTATGAGGTCGATCCCAACCTCCACCCTCTGACTCTCATCGTGAAAGCATTGGGAGGGAAGCACAGCTCAGGTTCATCCTACAGGGAGCAAACCAGGAAGTTAGTTATTTGGTTACTTAGTTTAACAAAGTAGATATTCAAGTATTCGGTGAAAGATTTAAAATATTCAAGTGAATTCTTATGGATTTCTGACCAGCACTTTCTTTCTTTCTGTTTTTTTCTAAGAAAGTCCTTTTTAACTTCAATGGAATGTTATATGAACATTTTGAATAAAATGTTTTTGGAATAAAAACTTTTACTTTCAATTATTTTGATAATAGAAAGATCATATAAGGACCAAATTCCAGTTTTAACTCTCAGAAAATAATGAGTCTATTGTCTTAAGTATCTGTAGGAAAAGTCAGTTTTTCACTTATCCTTGTAAGCCCTGAATATTAATGCTTTATAACTCATAGGAATGATGTGTAAGAGAAAATTCTCTCACAGTGCCAATTACTGATGTTGTTTACTTTTTGTTGCTGTTCAAAAACAGTCAGGTCCAACTCTTTACGATCCCATGGCCTGCAGCACGCCAGGCCTTCCTGGCCTTCACTATGTCCTGGAGTTTGCTCAGACTCATGTCTGTTGAGTTGATGATGACATCCAACTGTCTCATCCTCTGTTACCCCCTTTTCTTCCTGCCTTCAATCCTTTCCAGCATCAGAGTCTTTTCCAACAAGTTGGCTCTTTGCATCAGGTAGTCAAAGTATCGGAGCTTTAGCTTTAGTATCAGTTCTTCCAATGAATATTCAGGGTTGATTTCCTTTAGGATTGACTGGTTTGATCTTGCAGTCCAAGAGACTCTCAGTAGTCTTCTCCAGCTCCATGGTTCAAAAGCATCAATTCTTTGGTGCTCAGCCTTCTTTATGGTCCAACTCTCATATCCATACATGACTACAGGAAAAACCATAGCTTTCACTATACAGATCTTTGTTGGCAAAGTGAAAAACCATGGAATTCTAATGGTACTACTCTAAATAATTTAGCTTACACATAGCATTCATCGATTCTTATTCCTCAGGCACCCATAATCTTTTGTGACTTTATTCTGAACTTTTCTGATTGGCTAGTGAATCCTTAATTTCCAGAAAGTAGCTGTGCATTCTCAGAAATCATTTGGGGTGACTTTCAGTCTCTATGGGGCTTCCCAGGTGGCACTAGTGGTAAAGAACCCTCCAGCCAATACAGGAGACATAAGAGACATGAGTTTGATCCCTGGGTTGGGAAGATCCCCTGGAGAAGGGCATCTTCTCAGTATTCTTGCCTAGAGAACTCCTGGATAGAGAAACCTGGTGGGCTGTAGTCCATAGGGTTGCAAAGAGTTGGACACGACTGAAGCGGCTTAGCACAGCACAGCCAGCCTCTGTAGCACTGTTGCAGTTGGGATGGAGGTGGTGTGAGATGTACATCCACTGCTCCCAATCAGCAGAAAAAACCCAACCCAAGGGTATGAACTTTATATTTTAATTTTTCTGTATCTGATAGGAAGTAAGTGTAACCTACTGTTGATTTGTACTCTTGGAAGTACTAACTTTAGAAGATCAATATTTGTGTTATGTGCTTTATTTTTGTGGTGATACAGTGTGGGGTTCTGTTTGTGTATGTATCTGTTTTGTCTTGTTTTTTCCTGTAGTTTTGCAGCTTCTGGCCAAAATTGTCAACCTAAAAAAGAATTAAGGTATTAAAAAACTTAACAGAAGGTGTCTTAATTTATATTTTCCCACCATAAAAATATCTTCTGTTGCCACATCAAGTATCAAGAAACACAGAAATTGGGACTTGACTAAATACTATTAAATTGCAGTTCTACCAAATACCATGAAAAAGAATTGTGACCTCTGCTTTCAGTGTTGCTAGTTGATGAGGGGAAGCACAGTTCATCTACTGATCTTATGTTGCAGACCTCTCATCTGTAAAATAGACTCATGATAGTATCTTCTTCCAAGTGTTATGAAGATTAAATAGGTTGTATTAAGCTCTCAGAGCAGTACTTCGTGTATAAAAAGTTTAATGAATAATGGTGTTGTTGCTGAGATGATTTCCCACATCTTCATGAAGCAGTTACTTGGATGCTTCTGTCTTTTTTAATACTATTTCATAGACATATAGGTTCAGTCTTAAACTATTCAGATTCCTTTCTCAAGTATAGACAGATCAACGAAACAAGATGGAATGTCCAGGCATATCTACCTACGTATATATCTGACTGTTTCTCTGCCTTTCTCTCTTCAAATAAAGTTGGAATCCTCAGTCAATAGGATGAGGAGTGCTGAGACTGTATAAGCTGGTTGGTTTGAGATCCATGAGGAAGGCCAGTGTGGCTGGAGTGAATAGGTGATGGTAGGTGAGTAGAATGTACAGGATGGGTAGAGAGAGGCCACTTTTTGGAGGGAAGTACGGTAAAGAGTTGGAGAAGGAAATGGCCACCCACTCCAATATGCTTGCCTGGAGAACCCCACGGAGCCTGGAGTGTGCTACAGTTCATAGGATCGCAAAGAGTTGGACACAACTTGGCAACTGAACAACAACAACAATGGTTAAGAGTATGGATTTTATTCCTGTTGTTTTGGAAAGTTTGGACAGTTTTCATGTGGGGGATGATATGCTATTGTGTGGAGATATGGGGGAGGCTGGAAATGGGGAGTAGTAATCCAGGGGAGAGACAGTGGATTAAGATACTGAAGTTATAGCAGTGAAAATGGCTTATCATTTATTTGTGGGGAGAGTTGACAGGTCTTGTTGATGGTTTGAGTATGGAGAGTGAGAAAAGGGGAGAAATTGATGATTATTTCTGTGTTTTGGGCCTCAATGCTGGATAAATAATGGTGCCACTTACTGAGGTGAAGACATAAAAGATCAAGCTTTGAGAGAAAGAATCAAAAGAGTTCTGTCTTGGACTCATGGAGATGGAGAACAGACTTGCGATTGCCCAGGGGCAATGGGTTGGGGGAGGGGTGGGGTGGGAGGTTGGAGTTAGCAGATATAAGCTATTATATATAAAGTGGATTGGGCTTCCCTGGTGGCTTAGAGGTAAAGCATCTGCCTGCAGTGCTGGAGACCCAGGTTTAATCCCTGGGTTGGGAAGATCCCCTGGAGAAGGAAATGGCAACCCACTCCAGTACTCTTGCCTGGAAAATTCCATGGACTGAGGAGCCTGGTGGGCTATAGTCCATGGGCTCGCAGAGTCAGACACGACTGAGCTACTTCAGTTTCACAAAGTGGATTAGCAACAAGGTCCTACTGTTGCAGCACAGGGAACTATATTCAATATCTTATGACAAACCATAATGGGAGAGAATATGAAAAAAGAACAACATATATCTATGTATCAGAGTCACTTTGCTTTTAGTGGAAATTAGCATGACATCGTGGATCAGCTATGCTTCAATTAAAATAAAAGTTCTGTCTTGGACATGTTTTGCCCAAGGTGGCAATTAAGTAGTCAAGTGGACATATCATATGGGAAATTGGAAATGTAAGTCAGCAGGTCAGAAGGAAAGTCAGAGTAGGTCATATAAATTCATAGTCTTTAGAGCAAGATGGCACTTAAAGCAATAGCACTGGATAAGATTGCTTAAGGAGAACAAGTAGGTTAAAATAATAGAGAATAAGGCTTTCAACTTCTGGAGACTGGCCTGAGGAAGAACCAGGAAAGACGTCTGGAAAAATGGCCATGAGGAGGCAGGAACGCTGCCTAAAGAAGAAATCTTCGAGTAGTTTCTAATATGACAATGTAAAACGCACTTTTTAGAAATGGAAACTCAATGTAGAGAATTTTAAATTCATAATTTGTATAAAGAGGACACAAAACTTATGCATATACGTGTGTGTGTGTATATTCTGAACTCTCAACATTGAGCAGTTTTCTGGTAGATGTTGTAGAGATTTAGTTAAATTGTAGCACCAGTGGTGGATATGATATTTCAAACCAGCTCTATTAACCATTGTACACAGAAGAGACAAAAACAAATTTAGGTAGGCAGTGCTAATGTAGAGCTACCAACTTGTAAATGATAGAACAGTATAGATAGATTCCAGAGTACTTGGCCTATTATCAAGTAACTTAACATCTTAACTCCGTGCTGAGTTTTCAGGTCAAATCTATTAGGAACTCTTGTTTTTCCCCTTTGTAATACAATATAATGGTAAAACATTCCCCCCTCCCCTACTTTGTAGCCAACCAAGCTATATGAACTCTGTAAATCAAAGGATACATTCATTTGTGTAGCAAACAACCCAAGCTATATGAACTCTGTAAATCAAAGGATACATTCATTTGTGTAGCAAACAGCCGTTATTGGTATGTCTTGTATAACAATTTGTTATATACATCATGAATTATATCCTAAAGTATCCTTATAGTTAATATACACATTGTAGATAACAAAATTAACTGATTTTGTTGTGTAATGAAAAAATTCTCTTAAGAAAATTATTTCTTCTGGAGATACTCTGAGATTATTAGATAAATAATTGGTTGTTACAATTATACTTTGACTTATAAGAAGGATTTATTTTATTTCTGTGGAATGCATCACTATTGTAAAGATATGTACATATATCAAAACATTCCTGTTTATTAGTTTGAAGTCTCTTTTGTTCTGTAAATTTTTTTCCCAACCACTTTAACTTATACTATCCATTCATTTATTAACTACCAGATCTTTTAATAGTCTTTCATTTAGTTATCCTGATAGAACACAAAATTGATTGCAGGAATTATGCAGTTAAGTTATAAATCCTTTGAAAACAAATGCAAAGCTTTACTCTTTTTCCTATAATCCAAACTACTTTCTAAAAATTACTATTAATTCATGATTTTTTTAAACCTTATATTGTAGAACTAGTTCTTGACACCCTTCCCGATTGTAATGTTTTTTAGCTGATGCTAACCATTTGAATTCGTGTGTAGATAAATGAAGCACAATGATGTTCCATTTTGTGGAACTGAGGTGATAAGATAGGACTTTCAGTTAGTCTTTTGCTCATAAAATAATTGTCATTTAAAACCAGTAAAATGTTTAAAATTTAAAATTGATGGGCATTTCCCATGGATTAAGATTTCAGATCTCAGCAAAGCAGTTTTGATTTCATTTTCCCCAGAAAAGGTTGTAGAATTATTGCATTTTCCACCTGTATTTCTGTAGCACTTATGTCACCTTCTGCTCATATTTTTGGCTCCTACCACAGATATTGATTATTTCTGGAATGTGACTCTGAATGGAGTTAGGAATCACTATGGATTGCAAAGCATCCTAATGTTTCTGTAAAGATTTCCATTTGAGTTTGGGTTTAGAGTGTGATTTCCTTTTACTATTTCTGACTCAGTTTAAGATGCTACCAGAATTATTTCAAGACGATGAGAAGGCCATCAGCCCAACCTCAGCCACCTCTTCAGGGCGCGTGCCTCTCACCCGCATTCCTTCAAAGCCCACCAAAGGCAGACCAGGCCAGACGGCCAAAGAGCACAAGAAAACAGTGGGGCACCAGGTGAGTTCCAGGAGCCGTCGCTGCCGTGCTGCTTCCCTTCTGACTCGACGGGGGCCTCAGCCTCCCAGGTGGGGTCCTCAGGTGACAAGAGGCTGGAGCGCTCCCTGTGAGAATGTGGAACTCTGTGCCTTCATACGTCCATACTTCTCCTCTCATATCGTAGATCTATGACTGTAGAAGCTTTGCCCCAAATCATTTTTTCTACATTTTAATTCTTCTAGTGCACATTTTCCCTCACAAACCACTGCTGCCTTTGTTTTGGCCTCTGGCTGTTTCCTCTCTGGAGTTGTACAGCTCCCGCAGCCCAGGAACCCTGCCCCTCACTGCTGATGTCTCGTGCACCCAGGGGTGGGGGCGGGGGGGAGGCACAGGAAACATGACAGACAGGCTTTGTGCCCGAGCAAGGGCTTGGCCCTTGGGCAGGAGACTGCGTGCTCGTCAGTTTGCTTTCCTGAGTAGACAAGAAGCAGGCCCTGACACAGGCCCACAGCCCTCAGCCTCATGCCATGTCCCTAAAGGTAACCCCAGCCTGGCTGTACACTCTCGGATTCTCCCCCTCATTTCCTGTACCTTTTTGAAGTCATCTGCTACTTTTTTCAGTATTGTACAGCAAAATTCCCACTCTACATGATTAAATGACCTTAATATCCTTAAAGCAAGGTTGTATTCTTAGTCAAAGTTTTGAGTGTACAACAGAAAGCCACAGAAATCTATATTAAAAGTTGGGGGGGAAATGTGTGTGGAAGAGTGAATGCTAGTATAATAATAATGATGCTGTGGCCAAATAGGTTCATCAACTGTAACAAATGTACCACTGTGATGGGGAAGGTTGATAATAGGGAGGCTATGCCTGTGCCAGGGCAGAGGGTATGTGGGAAGTTACTGTCTCCTGTCTGACTTTGCGGTAAACCTTAAACCACTCTAAGAAAATAAAGTCTATTTTAAAGGGTCTGAGGGAGAGGGGAAATTAAGAATGTCCCACAGAGCAGAGTAAGCATGTGAATGGTAGGGTTTAAAGAAATTTGAACCAAAAGCCCTAGCAGCTCCACTGCTGGGGGCCAGTCAGGTTCACAGGTGGCTAAGTCATCTCCACTAGTGCCATTAGAAGAAAAGTTTAGGTTGTTTTATGTCATCTTTGACTTTGACAAACCTTGATGCGCCTTTCTGCTCTTTTTCATGCAGTTCCGAAACTCCCTCCACCTGCTTATGGAGACCCTGAATGCCACTACCCCTCACTATGTGCGCTGTATCAAGCCTAACGACTTCAAGTTCCCATTCACGTAAGTATTTCTCAACTGCTGAATTTAAAAGGATCCATATCTCATAAGGATTGTCAAACCAGCAGCTGGGAAAAAAAATACGTGGGTGAATCTTCATCCCTTGTAGAAGGAAATGACTAGTTAATAGAATTTTTTTCAGTTTTTGTTCTCTTTTAAGAGTTTAAAAACAGGGACTTCCCTGGTGATCCAGTAGCCAAGACTTCATGCTCCCACTTGTTGGGGCCTGGATTCAGTTCTTGGTCAGGGAACTAAGATCCACAGGCCATGCAGTGTAGACCGAAAAAAAAAAAAAAAAATGTGAGAACAAATTAGCAGCTGGCCTTCTGACAATTTTAAACATTTGAGGTCAACCACATATTTCCAGTTCTACTTTCTATTTTGAATTTACTTCAGTTTAAGACCTTTTTGGTTAATTTGAGCTTCAGTTAAAACCAGAGCTGGGTGAGATAAGATTGCTTTAGCAAAGGCTCACAATCATCCCTGATGCTTTTCAACTGCTGAAAGCATCAGAGGAGTCTGCTTTTTACCACGTATCTTGTCCTCCATCAATATCATATGTGAGAGGAAGTTTTTTCCAAAACAGAAACATTTCTCTAATTTTGAAGGTAATGCATGCACACTGTAAAAACAATTTTCAGGAAATATAGAATAGTATAAAAGTAAATGAAAAAGCATTTCATTATACCTAGAGAGGTAATAAGTATTAACCTACATAGATCCTTCTTCATCAGTCCTTCCCTGCTCTGTGTGTGTATCTGTGAGAAAGAGAAAGATGTTAATAAAAGAGAAGGAATCATGCTGTAATTGCAGTTTTACTTCATTTTCAACTTAATAAATTGTGACTGTTTTCCATGTTCATAATACAAGTTGTTATCACCATTTTAATGGCTACATCATACCCCATTTTAGAGATATACCGTCACTCATTTAAGTTATTCCCTGTTGATGGCCATTCGGGTTATTCCTTGGCTATGATTAACATCTTTTGCCAAACATTTCTGTATATTTGCCTGCCTGAATATCTCCTTAGACTGCTGTATTGCTTGAACAGGAATTTGTGGGTCAAAGATTAGGCACCTTCCCAAACACTGTAAAAACTCCCACTCTGCAGCGTGTGTGTGCTCCTTCACCTATGCCCCTGCCATTCCTGCCCGCTGGAGATTCTGCCTTAGCAGGGCACTTCTCAAAGACTGTTGTATTCTTCTCATTCCCAAGAAGCCTTTCTGGAGGAGCTGAGAAGCAGAAAGAAGCTTTCATACCCTGGACAACTCTCCTGGACAGCTCCAGGACCAATTACCTTGCATCAACCAACCCCATCTCCCATCACCAACAAAACACTAAGAAGATAGCACCACAGAAGCCTCAGATAGGTCATTCAGGGCATAACTAGGGAGTAAGGGGAGTGATCATCCTGTAAGAAGCAGGCCTTGCTATTTCCTTTTTTAGTGTCAATTTGTCATTAAGGTGCTGTTTATCTAGAGTGAACTGCAGGTAAGATATAAAATATTTTTCACTGACATGGACACTGTTAATGATTAGTATGTATACACTGAGTTAAATAGCTTTTAGAACACCAGTAATTAACAACAACAACAAAAAAACCGACTGGAGCACATTTAATTTGTTCTTCTTGTTAAAGAATTCTCCAGAGCTGGCCAGTCTTTATTCTGGGGTAGCTCTGTCTGGTGAACTAAGGAATTATGAGACCAACTAGTCAGGCCAAGGCATGTAATGAGCATCGCACAGTACAGAGGAGCTTGGGCTTTTTAAATAAGCTCAGTGGTATTTCTTATGAGTTTTTGGTGTATGTTCTTACTGCTAGTGATCTTCCCCACTCTCAAAATGGAGTTTTCAATTTTGAATCAGTACTCCAACATTTGAATTTTTTTTCCTAATTTATTCATTTGGCTCTTTACAAAAGAATTCAGTCTCTGGATTGAGGACAGTAGTTTGTGGCTAGAACCAGATTTTTTTGTGTACTAATGATTTCTACCTTTACTCATAGGTTTGATGAGAAGAGGGCAGTGCAGCAGCTGAGAGCATGCGGTGTCCTGGAAACCATTCGGATCAGCGCAGCAGGTTTCCCCTCTCGGTGGGCCTGGCAGTTTTCAAATACAAGGGATCCTCACGGGGGAGGTTCCTGCTCCTTTAGATAAGCTGACATGAGTTTCTTTTCATAGGTGGACTTACCAAGAATTTTTCAGCCGCTATCAGGTCCTAATGAAGCAAAAAGATGTGCTAAGTGACAGAAAGCAAACATGCAAGAATGTTTTAGAGAAACTGATAGTGGTAAGAAAGATTTTCACTCACCTGTATCTGAACAGATGTTTGCCAACGGCCTTGTGATTTTAACCTGTACAAGTCCTAGGGGTGTCCAAATACCACTAATTCACTGAATTCAGGAGTGGGAGGGTGGAGAGGCACACTGTCTTGGAGTTCAAGGCTCCCTGTCTCTACGATGGAAGGACTAGTGAGGACAATAGCCCAGTATCAAGAAACAGGATGATGAGGCCTGAACCCAGACTTCAGATGCATTCTTTTTAGAACTGGATCATTTTCAATAAAAATTTACCAAGTACTTACTTATGAAAGACACCAGGCCAAATGCTGTGTGATTAAGAAAAAATAAGTCTTAGCCTTAGGTAATATACTATGTCTTCGAAATCAATGCATTTTAAAGACAAGTATAATATACCTTAGTGTCTATGAAATGCTGAGTGAATGAGACAAGAAATCAGAGGAAAACAAAGCCACTTCTGCTGTGGGAAGGAGGAACAATTCATGGGAGACATGTATTTTGAGTCAGGCCCTGAAAAATGGGTAAAACTGTATAAAACCGGAAGGAGACTATCCTAATAGGGTGCAAAGCACATGGAAGCAGGAAAGCATAGTTTTCTCAAAAAAGAGTACAGTATAATTTTTGTTTTTGCATAAAAATTTGGTGCCTGGGGAGTAAGGAATTCGTTAGGAAATCGGGGTTGGTGTTTGAAGGGTCTTGCCTACCAAGCTAAGGCATTTGCAGACTTTAGAATGCATCAGAGTCACCTACAGGACTAGTTACACTACAGATTGCCAGACCCCACCTCCAGAATTTCTGATTTGGTCGTCTGGGATGCGCCCAATAATTTGCATTTCTATCAAGTTCCCAGTGATGCTGATGCTGGTTTGAGGTCTACACTTGGATAGCCACTGATATATGTTGTGGAGAATTTAAGATTCATGAAATGTCTTTTAAAGAATATTATATTTTCACTTATTTGACATTAGGTTGGATGAATTAACTCACTTTGAAGTAATTAGTAATAATTACTAGCTACTAATTAGATGTAATATCTCTTCTCTGGTAATAATTTTTTTTTCCCTTGAAATAGCTTAGGCCACTTTCCTGGTGATGTATGAAAGAATTGGGTCCATTTTGAATTGGCCCAAGTCCTTTCTAGGCAATGAAGAGCAGAAAGTAGGGAGAGTCATCCACACCAGCTTCCTCCCCCAGACCTCTCCCAGCTGAGCTTGGGGACCACAGGGCAGGGGAGGGCAGACCTGGGGATCAGGGAGACGGGGAGCTGAGAGGAGATGGGGCTGGGAGAGGGAACCACTTACTAGCTTTTCCAGCTAGCTTCCTTTGTAACATTTACTGATTTAAACTAAAATAGTTTTAGATGTATGTGATTTCCTATTTTCTCTTTTCATGTACAAGATAGAAAATATTAGCTTACAGTGAAAAGTTATTTTCTCTGTTTTCACTTCGAACTTCAGATCACAATTTTGATTGTTGCAAATAAACTCTACTCTTTCGATGTGAGATGCTTAATTAATCACATGCTTTTAGATACGCTGGGTCAGAATGTAATAGACCAAAAATAGCATGCCTATCTATCTGTGTTTACTGCTCAACTTTGCTTATAATCAGAAGTCAGTGAGCATAATAAATGATTAGATTTTTGAAATTTGCAGACGGACTTACCATTGATTAAAACAAGAGATAACTGTTGAGAAACTTAACTCTTAACATGAATATGCAGCATTTTTTATCTTTTTGTTTTTATTTTGTATGTATTACTTCCTGCCTTTTTCTTCACACTGGTGTTTTTGTCCCTTCAGCTTTCTCATGGAACTCACAGCCCGATGTAATCCTTACAGTCCGGGTCAGTCAGAGGGAGTGTCAGCATCTCCATTTCCTTGAGATATTTAAAATACAAACAAGCAAATAGTAGCTGCCTATAACCCACAACCAAGTTTTGGGCCTCAGATAATAATTCCAGGTAGACTAATTCTGGAAAATAACTCTTAAACTGCAGTTTTCCTTAAAGTCCCTTCTATTCGCTCAACTTGCCTAGGATCAAAAAGCTGGCTCCATTAGATACTTGCGATGTAGCCCAAGTTTTAGCTAATAGTTTCATCCCTTTACTGATTCTGCTTTTAGACATATTTTTTTCTCTTTAAAATTCACTTATTTGGTCATCAGTTCTACTTCTGAGTATATAGTTTCTTCCAAATACAGGACAAGGACAAATACCAGTTTGGGAAGACAAAGATCTTTTTCCGGGCTGGTCAAGTGGCCTATCTAGAAAAATTGAGGGCAGACAAGCTGAGGGCTGCCTGCATCCGGATCCAGAAGACGATCCGAGGGTGGCTGCTGCGGAAGAAGTACCTGCGCATGCGCAAGGCTGCCATCACTGTGCAGAGATACGTGCGAGGCTACCAGGCCCGATGGTAGGTGTCCTGGTGGCGTGTACACGCTGGCTTAGGGAAAGCCAAGATTGAAGAGTGCATCTGATTTATTGTCTAAGCTAGGATAGTTTGGGGTGGGGTGGTCACCCTACCACTCAAGGCAGTTCAGTTCAGTCACTCAGTCGTGTCTGACTCTTTCCAACCCCATGGACTGCAGCACACCAGGCCTCCCTGTCCATCACCAACTCCCAGAGTTTACCCAAACTCATGGCCATTGAGTCAGTGATGCCATCCAACCATCTCATCCTCTGTCATCTCCTTTTCCTCCTGCCTTCAATCTTTCCCAGCATCAGGGTCTTTTCAAATCAGTCAACTCTTTGCATCAGGTGGCCAATGTATTGGAGTTTCAGCTCAAACATCAGTCCTTCCAATGAACACTCAGGAGTGATCTCCTTTTGGATGGACTGGTTTAATCTCCTTGCAGTCCAAGGGACTCTCAAGAGTCTTCTCCAACACCACAGTTCAAAAGCATCAGTTCTTCGGCACTCAGCTTTCTTTAAAGTCCAATTGTCACATCCACTCAAGGCAACACCTTACCTTTTCTTAGTTCCAAGTAATTAACTCATAAGACAGTTAAATAGAATAGAATTTCACTCACCTTTATGAATCAGATTGAACCTCAAAAAAAAAAAAAAATACAAATTACTGTCTACTCATGTCCTCAGTATTTATTTTTTATACATTTATATTGGGCTTCCCTGGTGGCTCAGCTGGTAAAGAATCTGCCTGCAGAGTGGGAGACCTAGGTTCAATCCCTGGGTTGGGAAATCTGCTGGAGAAGGGAAGGGCTACCCACTCCAGTATTCTGGCCTGGAGAATTCCATGGACTGTATAGTCCATGAGGTTGCAAAGAGTCAGACACTAAGCGATTTTCTCTTTCACTTTTAATGGACTTGAAGAAATCATCTGTAAATTAGGGCAATCATGAATATAACCTGTTAAGAATGATTCCATTGAGGCGTTTTTAGGAGCAACAAGCTGAGAACTGTAGAAAAGAATTAACTTACATGTGATTACATATTAGGATAATTTTAATTTAGAGCTATCAGAAGACATGAATCAATGATAAAGAACTTATGCCCAAGTAAATAGATTGAGGAAAAACATCATGCATTAGCAATGGATAGAGCTCAGGAAGCTGGGGCTAAGTAGGTATGGTATTATTGTGTGAACTGGTCTGCTGTGTAAGGGGGACATAACCTGGGGTAATGAGCACAGTCCTAAGAGGAATGAACCTTTATGACCTTTAGCTTCTTGTAAAATCAAGTAATATGGGACAGCCCACATTTTAGGGTTAGGTAAGGCTGATTTGAGATAACAGATGGACAGATTCTTGGGGATCATAAAATAACTACAAATATAAGAAATATAAATGTTGATTTAACATGTATGTTATTAGAATAATCAATGAAAGTACTACTTATTATGCCAAGATATTGGTGCTTTCATCCTCTACAAAATGTGTTCCTGGGTTTTTCTGACTACTGACAACTCGCCACTCTTTCTCTGCCAGCTATGCTAAGTTCCTGCGCAGAACCAAGGCAGCCACTATCATCCAGAAGTACTGGCGCATGTATGTAGCTCGCCGGAGATACAAGATCACGCGGACTGCCACGATTGTCCTTCAGTCTTATTTGCGAGGCTACTTGGCCAGAAATAGGTATCACAAGGTGAGGCATTGTTTTCAACTTTTTTATTCATCCCATTAACATTAATCAAATTCCACGTCTGTACAAAGTGCCACGGATCCTCCTATGAATGTAGGACTTGTATGGAGACAAGGAAGATCCCCTGGAGAAGGGATAGGCTACCCACTCCAATACTCTTGGGCTTCTCTTGTGGCTCAGCTGGTAAAGAATTCACCTGCAATGCGGGAGACCTGGGTTTGATCCCTGGAGACGGGAAAGACTACCCACTCCAGTATTCTGGCCTGGAGAATTCCATGGACTGTATAGTCCATGGGCTCACAAAGAGTCAGACATGACTGAGTGACTTTCACTTTCCTTTTCAACCAACAATTGAAATACATTTTTAAATATTAAATAATAAGTACATATTTATTTATTTATTAACATGACTTGGAAAAAGAAAGCTTACCTTTTTATTCCCTTTGTGTATGTAATTTGGGAGGGGGAAAAGTGACATTTTAGTTTCCTGTGGCTGCTGTAATACATTACCACCAACTTGGTAGCTGGAAACAAGAGAAATTTCTCATTGAACTTTCTCACAGTTCTAGAGGCAAGAACTGTGAAAACAAGATGTCAGCAGAGCTACACTCCCTCCAGAAGCTATGGGGAGGGGACCCATTCCTTGCCTCTTCTAGTGCTAGAGGCCACCAGGATTCCTTATACTTTTGTGCCCATATCACTCCAAGCCCTGTCTCCATCTTCATTCACATCTTCTCTCTGTGTCTAACTTTACTTCCTTTTGTCTGTCTCTTGTGAGAACACTTATGATGGATTTGGGCCCCACCTAGATAATCCAGGATAATCTCTCCATCTCAAGATCCTTAATGTAATTATACCTTCAAAGACCCTTTCCCCAAATAAAGTAACATTTGCAGATTCATGGAGGAATCTAGGGGTCTTTATTCAGCTAATTATGGTGAGCTTTGAATAGGTAAAGTATATGACAAATGAACAGATGATTAAGAATGAAACAAATTTGGAAGAATTTACCATGATAAAGTGAAACCAAATGTAATATCAATGTAGTTAAAGTTGTATTAACTGGAGTATGGTGCTATAGAAATATTTGACAAGTAATATCATAAAGCATTAATTTATGTCTAGCACTAATCATTATGACTAGATAGTGGATCACCAGATTAGTCTTACCTAATCATCACCTCTAACAATATATGGTCTGGCCGATAAACATTTTTTCTCTTTTTTATTTCAGCAAGGTTTGAGTCTGTTCTTTAGGTTCATCCACCTTATTAGAACTGACTGAAATGTGTTCCTTTTCATGGCTGAGTAGTATTCCATTGTATGTATGTGCCACAGCTTCTTTATCCATTCATCTGTTGATGGACGTATATATAGGTTGCTTCCATGTTCTAGCTGTTGTAAATAGTGCTGCAGTGAACATTGGGGTACATGTGTCTTTTTCAACTTTGGTTTCCTCAGGGTATATGCCTAGTAGTGGGATTGCTGGGGCATATGGTGGTTTTATTCCTAGTTTTTTAAGGAATCTCCATACCATCTCCCATTGTGACTATATCAGTTTACATTCCCACTAGAAGTGCAGGAGGGTTCCCTTTTCTCTCCACCTTCTCCAGCACCCTCTCCAGAATTTATTGTTTGTAGACTTTTTAATGATGACCATTCTAACCTGTGTGAGGTAATATCTCATTGTAGTTTTGATTTGCATTTCTCTAATAATGAGCGATGTTGAATATCTTTTCATGTGTTTGTTAGCCATCTGTGTGTCTTCTTTGAAGAAATGTCTGTTTAGATCTTTTTCCTGCTTTTTGATTGGGGTGTTTGTTTTTCTGGTATTGACTTATGTGAGCTACTTGTATATTTTTTAAATTAACCCTTTGTTAGTTTTCATTTCCTATTATTTTTTTTTCCCATTCTGAGGGTTTTTTTCTTCTTGCTTATAGTTTCCTTTGCTGTGCAAGAGCTTTTAAGTTTAATTAGGCCCCACTTGTTTATTTTTGTTTTTATCTCTATTACTCTAGGACATGGGTCATAGAGGATCTTGCTGTGATTTATGTCATGGAGTGTTCTATGTTTTCCTCTAACAGTCTTATAGTTTCTGGTCTTACCTTTAGGTATTTAATCCATTTTGATTTTATCTTGGTGTATGGTGTTAGGAAGTGTTCTAGTTTCATTCTTTCACTCATAGCTGTCCAGTTTTCCCAGCACCACTTATTGAAGATGCTATCTTTGCCCCATTGTATATTCTTGCCTCCTTTGTCAAAATTAAGGTACCCGTAGGTATGTGGGTTTATCTCTGGGCTTCCTATCTTGTTCCATTGGTCTATATTTCTGTTTTTGTGCCAGTACCATATTGTCTTGATGACTGTAGCTTTGTAGTTTAGTCTGGAGCCTGTTCTTTAGAACATATTCCTAATAAGCCAGAAATACCCTGATGCTGGGAAAGATTGAGGGCGGGAGGAGAAGGGGATGACAGAGGATGAGATAGTTGGATGGCATCACGGACTCAATGGACATGAGTTTGAGTAAACTCCGGGAGTTGGTGATGGACAGGGAGGCCTACTGTGCTGCAGTCCATGGGCTCACAAAGAGTCAGACACGACTGAGCAACTGAACTGAACTGAACAGTCTAGATCTTGGAGCCCTTTGGGCATTGTTAGAAGGAGAGTCAGTTGAGTGATATAGGACATTTCTCTAATCATAGGCAGTATGTGGGCATACTGGACCCTGGACCCTATTCATGTGTTTATTTTACTTTCTTAATTTAAATTAATTTTAGACAACAAAGAAAAATGGAAAGCTAATGAAGGTTGAATGAGCATATTTAAATAGCTGTGCTTTGAAGAAAATTTGAAGACAGTTTCTCCAGGTCTTTCTTCCCATTCCTGCTTTATGGTTAAGTGTTCCTTCTTTTCAAGCATGAGCTTTCAAGGGAATGTAAAGCCTTATTAAACTTGACCTATTAGATATGCCAAACCAGTTACTCTCCTGTTTTCCTCAGTACTCTCTTTGGGAACATCTAAACTGGGATTTGAGGCTATTGGTTAGCAGTTGAAGTCTCTAGCCAGCTTAGCTCCCACTGTGACTGGACCTAGTGAGGGTACCAGCTTAGACTAGTTCATGTATAGGCCAGTGATAGCTGTGATTCCAATCTCAGCCTCCCCTTCTCCAGCTTTGGGAGGTCCTAAAGTGGAAGCAAGTGTTACTTAATGTCTCTGACTCATCAATGGAATTGAGATTGAGAATGGAAGTTCTAATTACATACTGTTTACATTTGGCTGAAATTACAGAAATGGACCAATGTCTGAAGTTACATGCGGGAGAAGGAAATTGAATAGGAACATTGGCATTAATAGCTTTGCCACTGTGTGCTGCTTGAGGTTTTTTTTTTTTTAAATTCTGAAAGCCTTCAGTTTGCCATCACTGAGTTTTACCCAGTTTGTCACTAGTCATCCAGATAGACAGGGGCTTCCCTCAGGATTCTGATGTTGAGTGAGATCACAGGATGCCCTGCCCCACTGTAGCATGATGCATGGTGACTGCACTTAGTGGGAACTGAAGGCTACCTTGGCATTAGGAAAACAGCCCAAAGGGGTAGTCTTGAGTTAGCTGAAGACACTATATAGGTCTCTGAAACACCTATGTTTATTTTGTTGTTGTTTAGTTGCTAAGTCATGTCTGACCCCTTTTGGGACCCCATGGACTGTAGCCTGCAAGGCTCTTCTGTCCAGGGGAATTTTCAGGCAATAATATTGGAATGGGTTGCCACTTCCTTCGCCAAAGGATCTTCCTGACACGGGGATCGAACCCACATCTCCTGCTTAGCAGGCTGATTCTTTACCACGGAGCCACCAGGGAAACCCATGTTTATTTTATATTTGATGACTTTAAACGCAACCACTTATTTCTTTCATATCATCTGGGATGGCATATGATTTCATTATTTTTCTCAGCTACATAACCTAAAAATAAGAACTGTTTTTTCAATGATCTTACCAAATTGCTACTATCTGAATAGATGATTTCAGAGATTTTTTATATTTAAAAAAAGTTTCATAAAAGATATATTGTATCCCTTTATCATAATCACTAGTGAGTACTTAAGTGAATACATTGTAACATTCATATCACACAAGTTCAGTTCAGTTCAGTCACTCAGTCATGTCCGACTCTTTGCGACCCCATGAACCATAGCACGCCAGGCGTCCCTGTCCATCACCAATTCCCGGAGTCCACCCAAACCCATGTCTATTGAGTCGGTGATGCCATCCAACCATCTCATCCTCTGTCGTCCCCTTCTCTTGCCCTCAATCTTTCCCAGCATTAGGGTCTTTTCAAATGAGTCAGCTCTCCACATCAGGTGGCCAAAGTATTGGAGTTTCAGCTTCAACATCAGTCCTTCAATGAACACCCAGGACTGATCTCCTTTAGGATGGACTGGTTGGATCTCCTTGCAGTTCAAGGGACTCTCACGAGTTTTCTCCAACACCACAGTTCAGAAGCCATCAATTCTTCAGCGCTCAGCTTTCTTTATAGTTCCAACTCTCACATCCATACATGACCACTGGAAAAACCATAACCTTGACTAGACGGACCTTGGTTGACAAAGTAATGTCTCTGCTTTTTAATATGCTGTCTAGGTTGGTCATAACTTTCCTTCCAAGGAGTAAGCATCTTTTCATTTCATGGCTGCAATCACCATCTGCAGTGATTTTGGAGCCCAAAAAAATAAAGTCAGCCACTGTTTCCCCATCTATTTGCCATTTTATCAAATCATAGTTTTGAAAGGACCTCAAAGTCTTGCTAGTTCAACCCTTCCTAAAATTTAAGAATTTCCCTATCATTCCTGGAAATTGTTTGCACAATCTCTGCTTGATGGTCATTAGTGACAAGAGATTTATCTCATAAGGATGAATTAGTGTTCATAAGTTTAGGGGAATATCTTTTTTTAAGAAAACACAATATAAAATTAAGATTTGTTTACTTTATCTTTCTTTTAGCTTTCCTTTTAAAGTTCTGTTCCTATTACCTTTGAACCCCATGAGTGGATTTGTGCTACATTTGTAAAGCAATTGGAAATCCTCACTAGAGTGGTATTCCTCAAAAATGGCAAATGAGAGAATGATTTTTTTGTTTCTGGGGGAAAAAAATCAATAAATTAATAATAAACTTTGCAGTACCCCCAAGTGTTGGCTTCTATAGCCTGCTTACTAAACATACCCTATGTCCTCAAGCAGAGACCTAATGCACAGTGACATGAAACCAGCAGTAAGGATAGTGGATAAATCTGTTTTACTAGCACATAATTCACAGGGTATCATGTTCTGTTTAGTGTCTGAAGGATAACTGGTTGCTTTTAGAAATCATGTAGTCATTAGAAACCTAATGCATTTTTCTTTCTTTTTAGATGAGTTTTCTATTTAATAATCTGGTGTGTTTAATTTTGATGGCTCTTATGTGTATACTCTGTTTATCATCATACATACACATGTAATCCCACATATGACATGTAGATATAATACATGTTTTACATATGTTTCTCAAATTGCCTTTTAAAGACTACATTTCAATCATCTTTTAAAATAATTTGTGCCTCCATTTATTTGTGATAAGTACACTCGTGTAATACATTGTTACTTCAGCTTTTCTAATGTCTTTCCCTTTAGTTAATGTGTGGTTCTCAGCCTGCATCCATAGGGTGATAGACTTGAACATTGAGTGTAATCCAGGGTCTGACATTATTTGCACCTACCCTTCTCTCCAGATACTCCGTGAGCACAAAGCAGTCATCATTCAGAAGTGGGTCCGTGGCTGGCTGGCTCGCACCTACTACAGGAGGAGCATTCACGCCATCATCTACCTTCAGTGCTGCTTCCGACGGATGATGGCCAAGCGCGAGCTGAAGAAACTTAAGATCGAGGCCCGCTCCGTGGAGCGCTATAAGAAGCTCCACATTGGCATGGAGAACAAGATCATGCAGCTGCAGCGCAAAGTTGATGAGCAGGTGTGTTTTGAACAGCAGCCCTAAAAGTGCAGCATGCCCAATGAAATACACTGGGATTATCTTCAGCATTGTCTCCTCTTGACTTTACCTCCAGTCTCAGCAAAAAATAGTAAGACAGTAGTGACATTAATGAGCATGGAAATCATGACAAGCTCATAGGTAAGATTATAACTGCAAGAACCAAGGCAGGAAATTGTTTTTGAGAACACAGACAGGTTTGCTAGTAATCCAAAAGGTTAGGACTGAGAGTCATATTGTACTTTATATTTTGCACAGCTCTTTCATCATTATCATTCAGTTGTGTGTAGTATATTGTTCCTTTTGTAGATGAGTTGTTTAGCACTGAGATGGCCAAAGAAGCAGGAAGATGTCCATGCTTCTGAGGAATCTGCAGTCTATTTGCAGAGATAACAGTTGATTTCTTACAGATAGTTATTACCAAGTCATATTTTAGCACCTGCAAATTATATATGTAGTTAGTGACATATAAATACTAATGATGACAAAGAAAAACACAAAAAAGAATGAAATAAAATTCATCAGAAAGGTTTTCTGAATGGGAGGTGTTTCCAGATGTTAAACAAAGAGATTTGTAAGACATGATTTTGAGGCCATTTTATCATTCCTATACGTCACTAACCAGCATATGGCTTTTAGTAGCACACTGATTTGTTTTTAAAAACAAATCTAGATTTTCCTATTCCTGGATTGAGAAGCAGGGAAGAGAATTTAGTATGGTAACTCTCCTTGTGACTATGAGAGAATCACATCTATGTTGCTCATCTCACATAAAACATAAATAATTGTGTCTGTTCTCTTTTTGTATTACTAAGAGGGTACTGATTGTGTTACTTTAAATGTCACTAGTATTTTGGTTAGAGGCTATATCAGTGCTGCAATGATATAGCATGAATATGATGAATAGGCATGGTTTTCTCACTAAGTACATTTCATGGTATGTATATTTACTGTCACTCATGTGTGTATTTACAGAACAAAGACTACAAATGCCTCATGGAGAAACTGACCAATCTGGAAGGAATATACAACTCGGAGACTGAGAAACTACGAAGTGATTTAGAACGTCTTCAGCTAAGTGAAGAAGAGGCTAAGATTGCTACTGGACGGGTCCTCAGCCTGCAGGAAGAAATTGCCAAGCTAAGGAAAGACCTGGAACAAACTCAGTCTGAGAAAAAATCCATTGAGGAACGTGCTGATAGATACAAACAAGAAACTGAGCAGGTGGGAGCTAATGTTCATCTCCTCATCTACTCCTTTCACAAAGGAGATGTGCTGCCATATTGACTTGGTTGGCCACTGTAGCTCAATGTAGGCCTCAGTTGAAAGTAAAACACACTTTTCGGTCAGTTGACTGCTCATTATTAGTGTTTTTCCCCAAAGAGTTCTTTCATATGCTGGATGAGTAGCTATAGGTCTTTTAGTAGAATGTTTTACTCTACTAAGAATAGAAGGAAAGCAGTGTTATAAGAAGAAAATCGATGGCCAAGTACCTACTATACACTCTTTTTGTTGAAGGTATAGATCTGTGTGGAGTCAGCCAGTTTAAGGTGATTAAGAAGTAAATTAAACAATAATCTGTCAGTAGCTAGTAGGAATTTTTATGGAAATCTACATTAAGGTTGTTTTGAGAAGTCCACCAGAAATCCAAATGTCTGCACACTGGCCATAGTCAAGAACTGCTATACAAAAAATAACAACAAAACTGCTTACAGATTGACAAATGTTTCCACACTACAAATTTGTGTTAACTTATATCAAAACTTTATTAAACATAGAAAACATGAAGGCTCTCAAGAAGTAATGAGGAGTATTGTTTCAACATAAGAAAAAATACCTCAACATAAGGCTTACTGGGAAAAAGTAATAGATTTTTAGAGATCCTACTAGTATTACCATCTTTAAATGAAAACAGAGTTGACTCTGTTGGCTGTAACTACTTCTGAACTTTAATAGCAGCTTATGCAGTAAGAACCTCTGAAGGAGCTTAGACAGTTCAGGTAAGAGACTGTCACTAATAAGATGACAATCCTTCCATGATATTTAGGATCCTGATTAAAATAAACCCATCTATATCTTCAACAGATCTTGACTTTGTGTCTGGAAACAGTTTCACTGGTAGCCTAGTCCATAAAGAATCTGCCTACAGTGCAGGAGACCCGGGTTCAATCCCTGGGTCAGGAACATCCCCTGGAGAAGGATTCAGTACTATTCTTCAGTATTCTTGCCTGGAAAATCATGGAAAGAGGAACTTAGCAGGCTATAGCTCCTGAGGTCACAAGAGTTGGACACGACTTAGTGACTAAACCACCATTAATATATGTTACTTTGACATGGCAGGCTTGTTCTGTTGAATATATATCCAATGAGATACTCTTGAGGTTTAGGATCTATCTTTCTCATTTTCTGTCTTTCTCAATCTCTTTTTTTCCCCATTTCCTGAGTCCCTGAAAGCTTCCAAAATTCCTTAGAAACTATAGAGTATTAACTTGGTAGGGGTATTCTCTTCCTTTTCACAGTCAAATGTATACCTTCTAGTTAGATAGAATAGTATACCCAAACATATTCAGATTTCTCCTTTCTTCTTGTTTTATTATCTGTGGCTTTCGCAGGATGTCTATACGCACTACCATTAATTCTTTTAGATGGAGTGTGGTAATGAGGAATGAAAGCATTTCCCTGCAAGAGCTAGCCTTGAGGAAAGCTGCACTGCCAGTCAGCCTGATCAAGGAGCCTAGAAGGTCCAGAGAACTGTGCTTCTTAACCAGGAATGTGTATCAGAATTGGCTGGAGAGTTTTTAAAAAGATACCTGCCCAGGCTCTGGGAGTGTGGGTCGGACACATTTATTTTGAAAAAGCACCACAGGTGATTGGTTGCATACCCCTGACAAAGAGCGGCTTCTCTCCAGAGCACCCAAAGAACCCAGCCTTTGTACTGAGAGCACACCTTCTCAGGGCAGAAGGAAGAGACTGGACGATCAGAAAGAGCACCTCCTGGCCTGATGTCTGCCTGGCTCAGTGCTGTAACTTCAGTTCTCTGTTCTTCAGGGATCCTTTGTCACAGCCCATTATCTCTATTGCTGAACTCTTCATATGTTCTCTTTATTACTAAAGCTGTTCCTTTAAGAGTTCTGTGAACTTACACTTAGAGAAAGGAATTCACATTTCACTTATTCAGGTTTCACTTCAGCACACATTCTGTTACAAAGCTAAACTATATAAATTATCAACTTTGCAAAGTTACCTTTGGTTTTGATTTTTGCTTCCTGAGAATCCTTATCCAACCAGGAACCAGAAAGTTAAAAGGTCAACATTTTTTTTATTGTTGTAAAATATGCTTATATGTAACTTTAAATTTACCATTTTAATTGTTTTGAGTGTAAAGTTCTATGACATTAGTTATAGTCACATAGTTGTAAAGCCAATGCTTAAATGTGGAATGAAAGTTTGCAACCTTGCAAAACTCTTAAAAGGAGATGAAAGTAAAATTCTCAAGACAGAGAGCAGGGAGCTTTGGAAGGTCGTCAGTGAATTTCATACTTTTCTTGTCCTCTGTAATCTCTCTGTTGAATCTTGGGTATACATAAGCATTGTGTTAGGCTGTTGGGGTGAAAAGGCGTCATCATTACTTTAAGAGCAAATGCTTACTAGGTGTCCGGCAATTGGTAAATGCTCAAGGTACAAAGTAAAACAACAACAGCAAATCATCTTTGTCCTCCAGTAATTTCTAGTCAATCAGGGAAGTAAAAGTAAATCATTTATAAGGGCTATAAAAAGGCATATACAGGCTTCTGTAGCAGTCCAATGGAGAGATATATAATTGGAAGGAGTTTCTGGGAAAGCTTTCTGGGGGGTAATGCTTGAACCAAGTTTCAAGGATGACAATATAACTCAGCAAAGAAGAGAGACAGTGAGACATGGAAGTAAGGAGTGACTACTGTGTGGTCTTTGTATTCAGTATCGGGTTTCCTCTGTCTGTTGCAGCCGTGTCAGTTTATTGTTTCATTTTATAGCTGGTGTCAAATCTGAAGGAAGAAAATACTTTGCTGAAGCAGGAAAAGGAGACCCTCAATCACCGTATCGTGGAGCAGGCTAAGGAGATGACAGGTAAGGCTCACGTGGGCCCAGCCTACTGCACTCCAAACACCTGAGACCAAGGGTTTATAAGTTACAACTTTGCTTATTTAGGCTGGCATCAATAAGTTTTCAGAGTTCCAGAGGCAGGCACTCTAAATATTTGGTTGAATTAGTTGGTGAATTTGTAAATCTGATCTCCCTATGTACAAATATGAATTCATGCTTAGTCAATATCGTATATAACTTAAAAAAATAATTGTATATATGATTTATAGCTTATAGGAGTCCTCTTGATTTAGGACAAATTGTTGAGCTAATATGTACATTATAGGAGTATATGTATCTGTGTATATTATTGATTTTGCTAAATGAATGAATACTAATTTCTTAAGATCACCCACTCTTTGCCGTCTTAAAAAAAAAAAAGACACTGACTAGAGATAGACATTTATTTGCTGTTGGTAAGATAAATTAAAATGGTGATAATTTACAAGAAATTCACATATACAGAAACATGAGATAAGAAGATGTGTATCTAAGCTACGGCAATTGGTGGTAGAAATAAAAAAGGAAGAGGTATGTTAGAGTGAAAATATATGAAAAGAATTAACAGATTATTATCATTTTTGATATGGTATTCAAAAGAGGATCAAAAATTTTCTAAAGTGTTGCAATGAGTTATCAAAACAATAATGTGTTATTAGTAATGAGGAAATTGAGGAAAACTAGTCTCTGTTTATGAGACAAATCAATTAAAATTTGGATGTTAGCTAGGGTCTCCAGATAGAGATGATCTGAAAGCAAATTGAGATTAAAGAGAGACCCCTCAGGGGTTTTCCCCACACCATACCCTTCTTCCCAATTAAAGTGAATACTGTATAGAAAAGAGAAGAAAGTCGAGAATTTATAGGATAATCATAAAAAGAATAAGGTGAAGAAAGAGAGTCATAAAAGAAAGTTAAAACGGAAGGAGAAAACAGTCATTGATGACATGGAAAGAAGGTTGCCAGGATGCAGAATATAGTGGAAAAATCCAGAATGATGAGAATTCTTCTAGGAAAATAGGAAATGTTATTTGATACTAAAGAGAACAAAGCGAATAGCAGTGGATTTGCCTAGAGGAAACTTAGTAGCCTTGGGCAGCTTCCCACAAACTTGTGAGAATAAAAAGCAATTTATAGAATGTTATAGAAAGAAAAAATTCTTTCATTTATTTATTTGCAAATTATTAAAGCTCTAGGACAGGGGAACACTGTGGAGGCAGTCATGACAGGACCCTTGGAAGTCCTTGCCCTCATGGAGCTGACAGATAAAGAAATGGTCAGCAACAGAAGCAGGCAGGACAGATTAAGATATAGCCACAAAATATGAGGTAGGAAGCTCAATATTTATAAATGTGGCTGACTCAGCTCATTGAAAGAAAGCACATGGCTGAGATTTAAGGCTTTTTTTAATTGATACTTTGATCTGCAATCAGGGGCTAGTCTCCAGTCTCCAAATGATGTCCTATCTACATGCCAGCCACTAGCAATAGAGAGGGTAGAATGAGGTGAGTAAATGGAAAAGTCAAGTCCTCAGCAGCGCATGGGAGTGGCGACTACAGAGGACCAGGTGTGGCAATTTACCTGAATAGAATGGAAGGAGTAACAGGACAAGGGCATTCGCAGTATTGGGAAATCATAAAACAGAAGCCAGGGACTGAGAGGTGAGTGGAGAGACTCTGGAGAGCCGGACAGCTAGGTCCTCTGATAAGTCACGGTTCACCTAAGGGCCTGAGGAATGTCTCTAACTTTTTGGACAAAAGAATTTTATGAGTAGCCTGAAACAGAATACTGTTGGAGTAAAAAAATATGTACTTCTAGTTACTATACACTGACTAGTGGAAGTTATCAAGGATGTGCTGTAACCAATGAATAAACTAGTTCTGTTCATGGAAGAACGCAACAGATGATTGTTGTTATTAATAAATTATTTTCTTTTCTGGTCATGATATTTTCTCTTTCCCTGCCTCCACTAAGATACTCTTCATAGATCATAGTGCTGCTAAAAGTAGAACCCCTCCCATGACTGCAAGCCAGTGCCCATGTTTTTATTCTTGCACTTTGTGAAGCTGTCTTTGGTATGTTTTTCTCTCTCTCTTCTTTCAGAGACTATGGAGAAGAAGTTAGTAGAAGAAACAAAACAACTGGAACTTGATCTTAATGATGAAAGGCTGAGATATCAGAACCTTTTGAATGAGTTTAGTCGCTTGGAAGAACGCTATGATGACCTCAAGGAAGAGATGACTTTGATGGTGGTGAGTCAAATACTTTTGCCCATTTTTATAAAAAATTTAAACATGTGCAAAACTAGATAGAATAGTAGGATAAACCCCCATGTACTCCATGTACTCATCACCCAATTCCAAAATAGTCGTCACATTTCTATCTCCCATTCTAACCTACATCACACTGCATCCAATGAATTGGATTGTCTTAAAGCAAATCCCAGGAATCACATCACTGTATTCATAAATAGTTTTATAAACTCAAACACTTTGAAGACTAGACTTTGTTTATGTACTGAATGACTTAATGTAAAATTTGCTTATAAAGCAAATATTTATGAGGTCAAGTATTTTCTTAGTAGTTTTTGTAATTTCAAAGACATATTCCTAAACAAAGAAAATTCATCTGCTATTTGTAATAAATTGTCTTACCTATTTCATGGACTCTTCTGCATCTGGCCTAGTACTTTTTGTACTTTTAATAGTGCTGCACACCATCCCTGGGCTACTTTTTCTGATATCAGGAAACAGAGTTCCCTGACAATCTTGTTCCTGCAACTATCAGCCTTAAATGTAACCTAATGGCACAAATGGCCAGAAATGCCCAGAAATGCCCTGAAATATTTGCTATAAAACACAAGATAATCTGGATGGGTGTGGTCAAGATGGCAGAAGAGGAAGACCCTGTGCTCAACTCTTCCCACAGGCATACCACAATTATAACTATTTACAGAGCAATTGTGCATCAGAATGACCTGAAGACTAGCAGTGTTAAAGTGCTGTTAAACTGCTGCACTCAATATGCCAGCAAATTTGGAAAACTCAGCAGTGGCCATAGGACTGGAAAAGGTCAGTTTTCTGTCCAGTCCCAAAGAAAGGCAAATGCCAAAGAATGTTCAAACTATCGCACAATTGCACTCATCTCACACACTAGCGAAGTAATGCTCAAAATTCTCCAAGCTAGGCTTCAACAGCACCTAAACTGAGAGCTTCCAGATATTCAAGCTGGATTTAGAAAAGGCAGAGGAACCAGAGATCAAGTTGCCAACATCTGTTCGATCATAGAAAAAGCAAGAGAATTCCAGAAAAGCGTCTACTTCTGCTTCATTGACTACACTAAAAACTTTGACTATGTGGATCACAACCAACTGTGGAAAATTCTTCAAGAGATGGGAATATCAGATCACCTAACCTGCCTCCTGAGAAATCTGGATGCCAGTCAAGAAGCAACAGTTAGAACCGGACATGAAACAACAGACTGGTATTAAATTGGGAAAGTAGTATGTCAAGGCTATATATTGTCACCCCGCTTATTTAACTTCTATGTAGAGTACATCATGCGAAATGCTGGATTGGGTGAAGCACAAGCTGGAATCAAGATTGCCAGGAGAAATATCAATAACCTCAGACAGGCAGATGACACCACCTTTATGTCAGAAAACGAAGAACTAAAGAGCCTCTTGATGAAAGTGAAAGAGGACAGTGAAAAAGCTGGCTTAAAAATCAAATTCAAAACACTGAGATCATGACATCTGGTCCCATCACTTCATGGCAAATAGATGGGGAAACAATGGAAACAGTGGCAGACTTTACTTCCTTGGGCCCCAAAATCACTGCAGATGGTGACTGCAGCCATGAAATTTAAAAATGCTTGCTCCTTGGAAGAAAAGTTATGGCCAACCTAGACAGCATATTAAAAAGCAGAAACATTACTTTGTCCATAAAGGTCCATCTAGTCAAAGCTATGGTTTTTCCAGTAGTCATGTATGGATGTGAGAGTTGGACCATAAAGAAAGCTTGAGCACCGAAGAATTGATGCTTTTGAGCTCTGGTGTTGGAGAAGACTCTTGAGAGTCCCTTGGACTGCAAGGAGATTAAACCAGTCAATCCTAAAGGAAATCAATCCTGAATATTCATTTGGAAGGACTGATACTGAAGCTCTAATACTTTAGCTATCTGATGTGAAGAACTGACTCATTAGAAAAGACCCTGATGCTGGGAAAGATTGAAGGTAGAAGGAGAGGAGATGACAAGAGGATGAGATGGTTGGGTGGTATCACCAATTCAATGGACATGAGTTTGAGCAAGTTCTGGGAGTTGGTGATGGACAGGAAAGCCTGGTGTGCTGCAGTCCATGGGGTTGCAAAGAGTCGGACACTACTGAGTGACTGAACTGAACTGAAGACTAGCAGAAATTATTTCATGCAACTAAAGATATAAAAAAGGAACCTCAACAAAATGGGTAGAAGATTAAAGGATACACAGAACAAAAAGATGTAAAATATGATGACAAAAACACTAATAGTGGAAGAGGAACTAAGAATGCATGGTTGTTATAATGTTTTGAACTTGAGATCATCATATTTAAATAATTATATATGTGTGTGAATGTATGTATATGTATATGATTGAACCTCCTTTATTGTTGCTTATATGATCCCTGTCATAACCACAAACATATTATAGATATACACATACATAAAAAGAGAATAATCCAAATATAATAATAAAGATAGTCATCAAATCACAAGGGAAGAAAGCAAAGAAAGAAAGGAACAAAAAGGAACTACACCAATCAGAAAACAACTAACAAAATGGCAATACGTACATACCTATCAATAATTACTTTCAGTGTATTGGACTAAGTGCTCTAATCAAAAGACATAGAGTGGCAGAATGGATAATGGAAACAAGACATAAAGATACACACACACACATACACACACCTGTGAGAGAGTCACTTCAGTTATAAAGACACACAGACTAAAAGGGAGAGAATGGAAAAAAGATATTCCATGAAAATGAAAAGACAGCTGGGATGGCAAGAGTCAAACAAAATAGACTTTAAGACAAAGACTGTAACAAGAGACAAAAAAGGACATTACATAATAACAAAAGGATCAGTCCAATAAGAGTATATAATAGTGGTAAATATATGTTCACCCATCATAGTTGCATCTGAATACATACAGAAAATATTAATAAACATAAAGGGAGAGATTGACAGTAACGCAGTAATAGTAAGGGATTTTAACATCCCACTTACATCAAAGGACAGATCATCCAGAAGATTAAAATCATATCAGTCATCTTTTTCCACCACAATGCTATGAGACTAGAAATCAACTACAAGAAAAAAACCTGAAAAAACAAATACACGGAGCTAAGCATACACTATTAAACAACCAGTGGGTCACTGAAGAAACCAAAGAGGAAATTTTGAAAATACCTGGAGATAAATGAAAGTGGAAACATAATGTTTAACATCTGTGGAAGGCAGCAAAAAAAGTTTAAGAAGGGAATTTTAATGGCAGATAAATAAGCAACCTAGCCTTATACCTAAAGGAAGTATTGTCAAAAAAGAAGAACAAACAAAATTCAACATTAGTAGGAGATGATTAGAGTGGAAATGAAATAGAGACTAAGAATCAGTAAAAAAGACACACGAAACTCAAGAGCTGGTCCTGTGAGAAGATAAACAAAATTGATAAACTATTAGCCATGCTCATCAAGACAAAAAGAGACAGCCCAGATTAACAAAATCAGAAGTGAAAGAGTAGTTATACCACAGAAATACACAGGATCATAAGAGGATACTAGACAATTATATGCCAATAAAATGAGCAATCTAGAAAAAATAGACAAATTCCTAGAAACATACAATCTCCCAATACTGAATCAGGAAGAAACAAAATAAACAGGTCAAATATCAGTAATGGAATTGAATCAGCAGTCCAAACACTTCCAACAAAAGTTCAGGGCCAAATTGCTTCACAGGTGAATTCTGTCAAACATTTTAAGAACAGTTAACACCTATGCTTCTCAATCTGTTCCAGAAAGCTTCCAAATTCATTCTGTGAGGCATCACACTGATACCAAAATCAGACAAAGAAATCACACACACACACACACACACACAAACACACACAAAGAAAATTGCAGGCCTATGCGTCTCAATCTATTCTGGAAACCTTCTAAACTCCTTCTGTGAGGCATCACACTGATACCAAAATCAGACACAGAAATCAGACACAGACACACACACACACAAAATTGCAGGCCAAAATCACTAATAAACAGAACATACAAAGTGGTCTGGCTTGAGACACCAACTGCTCCTGAGGGCTTGTTTCCCTGTGGTCGCATAGATGGGTCTGCTTTGTCTAAGCCTGGATGTTGGAAGGAAAGAGGCAAAAAACTCTTTGTGGCTTCTGGCTCTTTTCCTGCACCTTGGAAGGAGTAAAGGAAATTGGACAGATCACAAAGCTTTCAGAGGCCTTTTTGAAGCTCTCAGAATTTGTAACCCTAGAAGATCCAGGCGACTGAACCTCTTCACCTCTTCTGCAGGGGGCACCCTCAGAGCGAGGGGCCCAAACCCCACCTTTTTTTTCCCTCTTCCTTCAAGTTGTTCTTTAACCACTTCTCCAGAAAGGAAGGGACTGCAAATACCTAACTTTTCTATTCCCCACAGGCTTGCTGAATACTAGTTCATTAGGTACCATATGTCGTGAAACTATCACTAGGACTCCCTGAATTAATAACCCAAGGATCTCCCCAGAGAAGTTTCCTTACCTGTTCTGCACACTCATCCTTGCCACTGCTGACTCCAGAGCTTCAGTTCCATGCATAAAACTGACAGAAGTTGAAGTTGCCTGTGTGAAAACCCCCCTCCCGTGACCTGTTAATATGGTGCAGTAAAATGATTATGCTGTCATTGAATATATTCTGTGGACGTTGGGGGGAGATTTTGTTTGATTATAATATGGAAGTCATCATACTTATGCTTCACCTAGTGCAACTAGCCACTCACAACTTTAAGAGGGGATCTGCTGATAGTCAGGGATGATTTTTACTTGAGTGTTTAGTTTTGCGACTGTACTTGTCACACCCTCCTGGTGCATCTTTCTGTTTCTTTGAGGAGTTCAGGAGGGGACCCCTTGTAAGGGTTTGTTAAGACAACATGGAATAGATTGTTTGGGCATGAGAGCATTAGGTCATCAAGGTTAGAATCAAGTTAAGGTGGATGCTGTTTTAGCTATGCCAAGTTCAATTATTTAATTATGTGGTGTTAACTGTAGCTGCTTATTTGTGTTGCAGAATGTGCCTAAGCCTGGACACAAGAGAACAGACTCTACCCACAGCAGCAATGAGTCTGAATATACCTTTAGCTCTGAAATTGCAGAATCAGAAGATATTCCATCAAGGACAGAGGTATATTTTAGATACCTATCAATAAAAGTAAGATGTGCTCATCCTGTTATTAACAGAGAACATTTCCATTGCAGGGAGGACCCCATTTGTTCATAAATGTAACATTTGTTTTATATTCTTTATAAATGACTTGAAGGTGCTTAATTAACTGTGTGTATACATACTTATTACATATTTTTGTCAATCGATATTTCAGTTTTTAATGTGATTTTGAGGACCAGATTTTCCTCTTTGTAATTCCCTTTTATATCTTAACATGTTCTGTGTGTAAAAAATATAGCCTGTAATGAATTTATTTCAGACTGAGGTCATTTTTTGAAAAATGAGCTTTTATCCTAGAATATTATAATATAAATACCAATGCCCTAGGGTTTAGCAAAATTGCTGCCTGTTTGATGATAGTTTGTACCAATGTAATTCTCTTCTACAAAAATGCATGGAAAACAGCTTATAAATCTGTCTTAGTGTTTTGTGTTACATGGTTTGAAATCAAAATGACATATTACTGTAACTCCAAGAGTACAGTGACTTTAAGTTAGATTGTTCCCAAACCAATTCTCATATCTTCTTCAAATATCATATTAGTTTCTGTAATGGGTAATTCAGACACATTATTTTCTATTTTTATCTCAAATTCTGAGAAAATGGCCAAGTCAGAAATAGACTGCTTCTGGCAGAACAACTGAAAAAAATTGAATGATTCTTTCCTTTCTTAGTTCTACTTAGGAATGAAAAGTTTCTCCATCTTATTCTGTTCATTTTAAAGAAAGTGTCACATAGTTGGAATGTCATATAATTGGACTCATACATACAAGGGGGCCAAGTAACTGGTCCGAGGTGACAGCTTGTAAGTGGCAGAGCCAGTGTTCTAACTGAGGCTTGTCTGTTCAGAGCTCCACACTTTGCCTCCTCCCTCTCAGGGGTTCTACACTGCAGTTCTTCAGTCCCCTTTCCACCTACAGATAAACAGATAGCATTAGTCTGGGGACACTGATACAGCAATATGGCCAGTATGTAACAGCAGTGGTTGTCCGAGTTATCTGTTGTGCAACAAAACATCCCCGACTTTAGTGGTTTCAAACTACAGCAATTTATTATTGCTCACAGTTTGGGGTTTTGACTGGGTGGTACTTCTGTCCCTTATGGTGTGGGTGGAGTATCCCCCTGCATTCAGCTGGGGTGAGAAGTTCTCCTCCTTGGGTCTCTCCATGTTGGTTCTCTCTTCAATAGCACAGAGAGTGGGTTCTAGGAGTGCAAGGGCAAATGATGTCAGGCTTTTAGGGCCAGACCCAGAACTGGCATGGTAGCAGTTCAGCCACATCTTATGGTCAAAGCAAAGTATGAGGCCAGCCCAGATTCAAGGAGGGGAATGGACTCCATCTCTTAATGGGAGGAGAGTTATTTTTGTTGGGTGATCATTGGTGGCCATCTTTGGAGATTACCCCAGAGTTAGACTTTGAAGATTTCAGAATTATAGCTTCTGAGCCTTTAGAGGATATAAAGGTGTTTTCTCCAAATTCTTACAGATTTGAGGGGAGAGGTAGCCTTTTTCATTTGTCATTCTCACGTGTTTTATGTCAAGTGACTGAACTGAACTGAACAGTGGGATTTGGTACATTTTTCATCTTCTTTGAAAATTGAAGTATGAATTGTGCTTCAGAAACCACCAACAGATCTCAGGGTATTGATCCTGTCTGTCACATGCACTGACCACCAGCAGTAGGTCATACACAGGAAGTCTGTCAGTAACGAGGAAGGGTATTGACTGAACTAGTCAAGCTTGTTGCTTGTGACCAAGTGCGTGCATCTGAGATGCGGCTGGCTTTGGTTAGTGCTGTCTTGATCATGGGGCAGACTACAGTAACTCTCCTCCTTAGGACTAAGTCCATAACCTTAGCCTCAGTCTCTCTGCATTTCAGTTTCCTCCTCTATAAAGTGGCACTGCTATTATTATCTTACTTTATAGTGATGTTTTGAAGATTAAATGAGTTAATTTTTACACACTTGCAACAATGTTAGATACATAGTAAGTGTTCAATAAATAAAGGTTTTTGCTCTAATAAACAGGCTCTAAACCCAGTCTAATAAACAGACTGGGTGTGGCCAGGATCAGAAAGATGGGAATCTGTACAACTGATAAAAGAAAAAGAGATTGATCATCAAGGGGAAGTTGGGCAGGAGAGACATGGCAGTTTAAGGCTATGGCTGTCACTTTGCTCTTCAAGTTACTTACGACCTTCAGGTTTGCATTTCTTCCTGCTACTTCCTCTATAATGGCCAGGTTTACAAATCACCTCTTATAAACTAAAGGAAAACTTTCAACTCCTATATGTAGTATTCCCAAGTAATTCCTCTAGAATCCAGGGGCCAGGACAATAATAGGATCACTCTTGCTTATGAATTTTTTTTTTAATTAAAATAGATTGTTTTGAAACACAGAATTCTGACCTCAGTCATGTATTAATAGCAGAATTTGAGGTAAAAATAAAGGATTAATGTCTCTTTAGTCACAAATCACAGACGTGTGATTTGCTGTTCACAAGTTAACAGTGGCATCTCCACTGCTGTTTCTCTGTGGAGAACTCAGCTGCTAGCTCCGCTCACCTTACAGCCCTCCCACACTCCCAGCATCTCCGTGTTCTGGGGTTACAAAGACCATGTAACACTTTTGGGAACCATTGCTTTCCCTGCTGTGTCATGCCCCTTTCTTAGTAACCACTGACTGATTATCTCGGTTTTGCTTCTGCTCTCAGGCTTCCTCACACTTGTCAAATCCAGGGAACACATCACTATAACTTTCTCAGCTACTGTTAGCAATAATTCCAGGATGACTGCCAGGCCTGTCATGGTAATTTTGTGAAGAAATTGTTATTTTCCTGATTTTCCTCTAATGAGAGACTGTTATTTTTTAGATTAGTTTTTAAAGCTTCACTTACTTGGAAAAGCCCTAGATGACAAAGTCCTTACAAAGGAAAGAAAGCAAAAACAAAACGCTAGACACTTTCCTGAGCTAGATGGCCCAGTCATCCTCCTTGCTTCATGTGCTATGGGGAGGACAATATCTCTTCGATTATACATGTCATTAGGGATAAGAATGGGCACCATTTGGAGCACTCTTAGTTACTAATCATTATGTCTCAAACAGTTTTGCACTTGTCAAGTGTTTCTATCCATAAGATTTTGTTCTTATCTATAGCAACTAATTTTTTGTGTAATATTAGCTGGTATCTAAAGAGTTATCCCACCCTATTTTAATAAAAGGATTCCTTTTCAACAAAAATGAGCATTCAAGGCTGAGAGGAATTATTCCCAAATGATGACATTTTAAGTACAGAGAATGAAATATTATATTCATCCAAAGGATGAAGGCTTCAGTTATAGTATGAAAAAAGGATTAAATAATTAAAATTTTCAGGGATATATACATCATTAATGGACTTCCCCAGAGGTTCAGTGGTAAAGAATCCTCCTGCAATGCAGGAGCCACAGGAGACACAGGTTCAATCCCTGGATGGGAAAGATCCCCTGGGAGGGAAGGAATGGCAAGCCACTCTATCATTCTTGCCTGGAGAATCCCCATGGACAGAAGAGTCTGGTGGGCTACAGACCATAGGGTCGCAAAGAGTGGGGCATGACTGAAGCAACTTTGCACATATACGTACATCATTAATAAGATGAACAAACATTCAAACACTTAAGATGGAATGTTTATATTATAAATAAGCTAAAATATAAGTATTTGTGGGATGTATAGAAATAAGTATTTATATGAATGAAATTCTGTAGTGATTTCATGTTCAGGGAAGATGTTATCTCTATTCTACTAAGTCAGGACAGATCATATACCCAAACTTTTTCTTACTCTGAGCATGATAAAATGGACCATAAGAAAAAGTCCAGGTCTAACTAGCTTGTAGATAAATGACCTGATAGCCTATAAGTACCCCACTTCTTGGTTTAGTTGATTCATCTTAGGTGGTGTTTTTTTTTTTTTAAGAACTAGAATGATGCTGAACTTGGCACTACTAGGAATTCACAAAAGATCAAAGATAGCTAATGAATATAAAAATTATTCAACCTCATTAAATGGCAAAGAAATATAAGTTAAAACAATAATGAAATACCACTATTGGTATGTCAATTGAGCCAATTTTTTTTAAATGATAACAGTCATTGTTGCTCCAGGCAAGGTGGTGGTTACTGATGGAAGTATAAACAGGCCTAATAGACTTTAAAACATTAATGTTTAGATATTTATGTACTAGGACATTTATTTTAGTATATTTCAATACAAAAATTAAAAATAACTTCAGTGTTCATCTGTAACATGATGATGAAGCAAATGATGGTATACATTTTAATACAGCTATCAAAAATTATGCTTTCAAGTATCATATTATAAATTTGGAACACAATTATAATAAATGCTAAGTTTTTAAGATGGTACAAAATTATGATGAAATATTTTTCCTGTTCTTTAAATTTATAGAAAAGAGACTGGACAAAAATTGTGAGTTTTCTCTGGATATGAGGTTATACTTACAGTTCTCATTCTTGTACTTTTCTTATTTCCTAAATTTTCTATGAAAAGTTGTTTTGCTTTTATATCAAGAAATAAATGTTTGTTTGTTTTTTTAAATTGACATTTGGAAATATAAGATTTGCTGATCAGTTAAGAGGGCTTCCCTTGTGGCCCAGCTAGTAAAGAATCCACCTGCAATGTGGGAGATCTGGGTTCAGTTCCTGGGTAGGGAGGATCCTCTAGAGAAGGGAAAGGTTAATAATTATACTTTGATCATTTAATTAAATAAATAAGTTGTTACTGTTCTTTTTCTCTCTGACAAAAAGAGATTCTTTATCCTCTCCATTGAGTCTAATGATACAATTCTTTCTCTTCTTAACTCATTAAAAATTGAAACACAAAGTAAATGAGGTAAAACAATTATGACATTCTCAGAATTTCCATGATGATGGTTAATTACTTCCTTTTGCTTAGCTTGAATTAGTGTATCTTTATTTATCCTGGTAGTTCTTGCTGTGACTCTGTTTTGGAACTAGTTGACATACTTTTAAATGCTACTAGGCTACCTTTTAGTTTATTAAGGGCTATATATGTTTTGGTTTTTTTGTTTTCTCTCTGTATGACCTCAATATATTTATACTAGCATTTCACCTTTTCAAAAATCATTTTTCCTAATTACAAAAGTAGTACATGCTTATTGTACACAATTCAAATATAGAAATGTATGAAATTGAAAATTCCCACAGTACCTCCCATTCTCTAAGATAACCTTAATGGCCTTCTAGATTTTTGTATGCCATAGGTTTGGTATATTTAAAAGTCATGTGTATTTTTTTTTAAGAAAAAATAGATCACAATATAGATACTATCCTGAAACTTGTGTATTTCACTTAATACTTTTATCTAGAACATATTTATCTACTTGTGTAGATCTACTTCATTCTTTTTAACAGCTGTAAATATTTCATAGTTTGATTATATCAGAATTTATTTAAGTAGCTCTCCTATTGACCAGTATTTGGAGTCTTTTCAGGTTTTGTGATTACAAAAATACTACAGTGAAAATCTTTTATATTGATATTTTTGTGTACTTGTGTAAGTATTTTCATAGAATTAATTCTTAAACATAGATTGCTAGTTTAATGGATATACAGATTTAAATTTTAATGAATACAGCTCACTTTCCCTTCTAAAGGGCCTACATATACTTCCACCAACATCATGTAAGACACTTAGTCTTTGTCAATATGATGGAGGAAAGTGGTACCTCACTGTTGTTTAATTTGCATTTCTCCATTTATTAGCTGGTTGGATGTGCTATTCATATACTCTTTGGCCATTTATATTTCTCCTGTAAGTTTGCCTATTTTTCTATCGGGCTGCTCATCATTTTCTCATCAGGTTTTACATCTTATGAATCATCTTAACTATCTTATAATTTCTGGAGTTTAGGAGCCAAGTGAGAAGAAGGTGCCTCTGGACATGTCATTGTTCCTCAAGCTCCAGAAGCGAGTCACAGAGCTGGAGCAGGAGAAGCAGGTGATGCAGGATGAGCTGGACCGCAAGGAGGAGCAGGTGCTCCGCAGCAAGGCAAAGGTGAGCAGTGCTCTCCCACCCTAGGGCCATGGCAAACTGGGTTCTGTGGTCTCTTCTTTAATGGGAACTCAGGCCAGAAGTACTTTAATCAAGTAGGATTTCCTTCAAGTAGTGAGGGCTAAACTCCCCTTACTGTTTTCTGCAGAGCTAGGTAATATTCTAAGATTAAAAATTAAAGTATTAACTACTTATTTATAAAGTTCTGAACTTTATGTTTTTCCCTAGGAAGAAGAAAGACCACAGATTAGAGGTGCAGAACTGGAATATGAGTCACTCAAGGTAATGGGAAGAGTCTGGTCCAGACTTTGAATATCTTGTTTTGGCAAGAAAGCCGTTCAGAGCCTCTTTCTCTCAGAGAACATCCTTAATGGTACCTGAAACTAGCTTAACTCTTTTCAGGCATTATTTCTAGCCTTGCATTGTTACCTTTTTAAAATTCTCTTTCATATAAGCTAGATTTCAGCCTAAGCAGTAGCTGCCTTTGGAGGCTGTAGAAAGTAGTAAAGGACATGGACCCTGGTGTCAGACTGCCTGGGTTCAAATGCTAGATCCACCACTATGTGGCTGTATGCAAATAATCCTTTCTGTGCCTCAGTTTTCCCATCTATACAGTGGGAATAATGATAATAGTTATCTTATAGGAGTTTCATAAGGATTATATGAAGTAATTCATGTAAACTGTGTGGAATAGTGCCCAGCACATAGTAAAGACACAACAAATGTTGGGGGCTGTCATTTCATCATTTTAAAATACAGGCAATTTATACATCAGCCTTAATTTTTAACAACAATCCTGCAAGTAAGCATTTTAATTCCCATTTTATACATGAAGAAATCAACACTAAGAAGTATTAAGTAACTTCCTAAGATAACCCCACTGGAAACTGACAGGAGCGGACTTTGAATGTTGGTGTCTCTGACTCCAAACGCCATTCTCTAACCATCAAATCCCACTGAAACTATGTGTTTGTAGAGAAAGACATATATTTGTTTACAGAGAAGAAACATATTCCAGCATATTTTAAAGAACAGTTGGAGGGAAGGGGATGGAGGTGGAGAACTGTATCTTCTTAGTGGTTCAAGGCAGAGTCTCACTAGATGGAGATAAGCTGCCACTGTGTGTTCTAGAGCACGTGAACACAGGAAAAGTCACTGGTTAGGAACATTATTTCCTAAAATACAGAGTTTCTTGGGTAACACAGAGATGAAGCCCAGAGGGGGAAAATGTCCCATTGCTTGATTCAGAGCTGGCTGTGCACCACCTGGCTCCTTCCTTTGCTTTCCAGAATCAAAATTTTGAGCCCCTAGAAGTCTGAGCTATCAGATTGTCAACTGTCAAGTCACTCCCAGCTCCAAAAGTTTCCAAGGTTATTAATTAATTTATTAGCCTTAAATTTATTATTCTCAGATGTTTTCTGATTATGCCAGTTTTTAAACTTTCTTTCTGCTTTTTGAAAATTATGGTTTAAAATAGCTGGAAAATTGCAATAAGGTTCATAATTATAACCAAACAAAACTAAAAATTAGAAAAACCACAAAATATTTAACAGTAGGCATTTACATATACTTGAGAACTCCTGAGGTCTCTCTAAGCAATCGTGAAATTTTTTTTGTTTTTAGTAATATTATGCAAGTCTAGTCCTAATAAATTATTTCCTAATACTGTGATTTAGAATGTAACCTATGCACATTAAGAGGCCCCTGTTCTGTGTGGATTGCTACTTCCCACAGTCCAGAGCCGCTGACAGGCGCCTCCTCTCCAGGCTGTATGGCATCTTGGTGTGGAGAGTGCCTGTCCTCTACCTGCCCAAACCCACAATGCCTTGTTCAGCTCCTTCCCCTGAAGACAGTAAGAGTGATTCTAAACACTTGTATTTACCTTACAATTTGAAATGTTTTTCCTTTACCTTATCTTGTTTAGTCATTGTCACACTTCTGAGATTAATTTTTTATTTCCTTTATAAGATCAATTAACTGAGGCCTTAGAACAGTGAAGAGATTTACTATCAGTTGGTAAAGTCTGATCCAGATCGCCAAACAATAGGAAACATGCTAGTTTCACACCACAACTTGTTTGAAAACTAATTTTCACCCCCAAAATATGATATTTACTTTTTAAATTCATCGCAGGACCTTTTTTACCCTTTCTAAATTATAATTAAATATTTTGCTCCCCCAGTGAAAGTACTACTAGGGTAGTACATTTTTGTGTTTGTGGAAAAAGAAAAGGGTGGCAACAAAAGGTCATCTCTATTATTCTCCTTTGTCTTTTATACTCTTTGCCTAGAAAACCAAATCATGATATGGATTATGCAAGATAGGAATCAGATGGGATGGGATGGGACAGGTGAAGGGAACAGGGATAGGAATCTGATCTCCAGATCTTCTGCTTCTGCCTGCCTTTCACAAAAAAATTGGACAGAGAGAGACATTCTCTCTAGTATGTTAAAAATGAAGCTGTATCACAAAGTTCCGAGGTGTTAGCACAGTGTTTCTCAAAATGGGGTCCCTGGGCCAGCTGTGTCAACATCACCTGGAAACTTGATGGAAAAGTGAATCTGTTGGCCTCACACCAAATCTAAAGCCCTCCACCCTCTAGGTGATTCTGATGCATGTTAAAGTTTGGGAAAGATGGCATCGGAGCTTAGGTGTTGAAGTAGAGACATTCATGTTTTCTGTTGCAGAAACAGAAATACGAATCTGACTACTTTGGTGGGATACTGGGGATAGGAAGGAGCATTCATTTACACATAAGAATGAACTAATCCGTGAAAGAAAAAGTTATAAATTCTTAAACCAGAAAAAAAAAGGACTTCAAATAGTCTTAGTATGACATGTTGAAAGGTCTAATTTGGTGCTACAAACCTAAGATTGCTTCTCTGGAAGAAACAATAAAGTGTTTTATGTTCGTATGGAAGGGTCTCACTTTCATTATCGTAAAATCTTAGCACCATATGCTAAATAAATCAGCATGGTACTTTTAATGCCTGTCTGCTTCACTGTTTCCCACCCAATATCCTATGACCTTTGTATTTTAGTGTCAGTAAACAGAGGTTAGCATCAGAACTCTATTCTGGGTTCCTGTTGCCATTGTTTGAGCAGAGCGTGCCAAGGGCCATGCTAACTGGTGACATGAGGATGGCTGGTGGTATGTGACAGTGTGGAGATGGGGAAGGATGTGTGTGTCCATCTGGATGGCTGAAGGAGGAGGTGGCCCATCCTATCCTTCCACTTCTCAAGGTTTCTGCCAGCACCTTCACAAGATTGTCACACAGGAAAGAAGTTTCAAAAATATACTGTTTGTTGTTATTGAAACACTATAGAGAATTTTATTAGCTTAAATGTCATATAATTTCTTAATTAGAAATTAGAAGCCTAAAATTTCAGTGGTTTGTCTCATCCTCTTTACAAAGGAGACAAGAGGATGCTATTCAACATTTCAGGGCTCTGCTCATCTGAACCATTCATTAGAAGTAACCTGACAGTTGGACCCTCATACTTTCACTTATATTTACACATAAAGAAAACCTGAGCTTCTTAGTACTTATCCAAGCTCATACCTAAGGACTCAGCATTCTCTTCAGGCCTGTGAACACACCCTGGGCAGACCTGGAACAAATTTGATTCTGAAACCTGGGTTGACGAAGCAAACTATCATTTACCTTGCTCAGTTCCACTTGATGTTGACTTTCTGAATTTGCAGAGCTGAGTTCCCAGGGGAGCCATTCCCTAGGGTGGCTCTGGTGATCTTTTCCAGCAGAATTCTTCTGCTCTCCTGGAGAAAGGTAAGTAATCCTATGTAAAGCTGAGGAAGACAGTGATGAGCCATTTTTTGTCTCATCCTACAGCGTCAAGAACTAGAATCAGAAAACAAAAAACTGAAAAATGAGCTAAATGAGTTACGAAAGGCCCTCAGTGAGAAAAGTGCCCCTGAGGTGACTGCCCCAGGTGCGCCAGCCTACCGTGTCCTCATGGAGCAGCTGACCTCTGTGAGTGAGGAGCTCGATGTCCGCAAGGAGGAAGTCCTCATCTTGAGGTCTCAGCTGGTGAGCCAGAAGGAAGCTATCCAACCCAAGGTGAGCATGAGCAAGTGGTGGAGGTGGGTGTTGGGGACTGGCCTCTTCCTGTTCTTTCCCTCCAATTTATGTGAAGGAAACATAAGTATATTTAGTCTAATTGAGGATATCATCATTTGAAAAAAGAGAAACTCAACATTGTTTAAAAACTGTTGCAAACACCAATTAGACTGAGCAAGAAGCCAAGTGAAATCCCAACTGCTTCTCAAAGTGTCACCTCTCACTCATTAACAAAGGGCTTTTAAAATAAATATTTTATAGTAGTCTGACCACGATAAGTTTTGATCAGAAATACAATTCTGTTAAGTACAAAAATCCATAAATTACCTTGCTGTGGGAAGCCATTAAATACAATTTTAAATTATTTGTTGAAAATCGCCTGTTTAACTGGGAAGATAACATGTAAAGATTATACATGAGATCAACGAAGAGAAGCAACATGGAGATGATTTCTGCTCACCTCAGGGAATTCTGTTTAATGTGGGAGTGGGCCCAGATGGAAAGAGCCGTATTTAGTGATTCCACAGAAGGGACCTAGGATGGAGAATATAGATGGTTCTTTGAAGCCCTTCCCTGCCCTCAGGTAACTTCAGATTCAACACTGCTGTGTGTTGGTGAGAAGTGGACTTTTTGTCATTTAATACCAGAAAGAATTGAGTAATCATCATAAAACCCGGTCTGTGTTCCTCCTTGTCCATGTTCATGCAGTAAATTGTTACCAAGAATTAGGCAATCACAAGTATCCCAGCTGCATGACATGCCATGTGAAAAATGACTGTAAGTCAGACAGAGACCAGTATATGCCATACAATATCACTTACACGTGAAATCTAAAAACAGAAGCAGATTCATAGAACAAACTAGTGACTGCAGGGTAGGAGGGATGTAGGGTGTTGGGTAAAATAGGTGAAGGCAATTAAGAGGTACAAACTTCCAGTTATAAATAAGTCATAGAGTTGTAATTTATAGCCTAGGGAATATAGTCAATAATACTGTAATAACTCTGGTGACAGATTGTAATTAGACATTTTAATGATCATGATCATTTTGTAACATATAAAAATATCTGCTCACTTTGTTGCATAAATGAAACTAATATAATATTATTAGTTGAGAATATATCTCAATATAATTCAATTTTTAGAAATCTATAGCATATAATGAATGGGATCCTGGAAGGTTCAAGAGCACTTCTCTTAGAAATGGTAGTTCTGCATGTGGTTAAGATACCAGACCTGGCACATGACATACTTGATAACGACAACTCACACAGGGGACTGAACCTCTGAGAAATAAGCCTGCCTCTGTATGCTAGTTGGAGTAGAGTCCAAAATGAGGATCCGTTTGTCTGGTTTCCTATGACAAACTGATATTCTATAATAACCAGAAACTTTAGTAAAAGTTAATGGAAAGGAGAATGAACCAAGGAATATAAAAGCAGCTCCGCTCACAAGAGCATGTAGTTCTGGTGTCCTTCTGGTGTCACACACTCTCACCTACCTGCCTCACATATCCATGTGATGACTTCTCTCCAGCCCCTGTTGGGATGGCCCTAACCAAGGTCCCTGCTTTCCAGGTTCTCAGCCCACACAGAACAGCAGCTTGTTCTCTCTTAGGAGAAATGCACAGGACACTGACTGAGACCTTTCAACCCCAGGGCTGTTTGTCCCACTCCGTTTCTAGTCAAGAGACGTTTCATAGCTCCTTTGCAGGCTGTGACACCCCGTAAGCCAGGTGATGATAGAGCCCAGCCACATCTAGTTTACCTGCTCTATCTCTGCAAGTATTCTGGTAGGCTTCACTTGGACTAATGAATGACCTCCTGTCAAGGCATTACTGAAACTCACAAAACTAAGATAAGAATTTCACCCCAGTGCATGAGCAGGAGGCTTGTTTCCTCACATCCTCACAAATACTGTACCATTAGAAAAATCAAAACAACTCAAAAAGAATTTCAACTGAGAATTAAGAGTTGCCATTCCATAAATATGTAAGTTCCATGGATACTAATTTACATACAGATTTAGTTTTAGGAGAAACCAGTCATGGTTGTTTTCACAGTTAGCTTTTTTCTCTTTTGGTGGGGACTCATTGATGGAATTTATTCATGGAACTAAGAGTTTGTTGTTTTTTCCATTTGTTTTTCGTGCTTGCTGACTTGTGATTTTTCAGGATGACAAGGTAATTCTAATTTTTTAATTGTCTAGCAAATACTTCTATTTAATCCTAATTTTTAGTTTGCGAATATCCCCCAATATATGCAGTTGATCCTTTCTGGCCACCAAATCTACTTTGGTATTTACAAATTAATTTCCTGTTTGACCTCTTCCTATTTGAGAAGTCAGTGGTAAAATTATGGATGTCATAGGTTCCTGTCCGGATCACAGAGAGGCCTCCACGACTTTTGAACTCAGAGTCAGCTCTGTGACCCTCAGTGGTAGTAATAGTGGGCCTCCACAACCAGGGAGGAAAACCCTTAACTCAGAAACACAAGCTCTCATTTCTACCAGCTGTGGGTTTGTTAGCCAAGGGTGGGGAGGAGCCTGAGGAGCTGAGCACCCCCTTCTTGGGAAGGGTGGGATTTTCCTACATGGCGCAACCCTTTCAGAACTTCTGGTTCCTGTCTTGGCAGAAGCTTTTTGAGCAGTGAGTAAGGAACTTCCTAGAGCTGGTAGTCTGAGTCTGATCCCATACTTACCTGTTTCTTAGCTAAGGTAGACCAGAGGAGGGAAGGACTGGCTACTTTATGCCATCTTTCCTTTGGACTGGCTCACTAGATCAACTTACCTAATTTACTAGAAGTTCAAAACCACATCATATGGATTCTCAGATGTCAGAGAATACATGTAGCATTATTTAATATAGAAACTGGTTCTTTGAGTTATTACTTAAAAGTAAAATTCTGAGTGTGGGGAATTCCCTGGCAGTCTCGTGGTTAGGACTCCATGCTTCCACTACAGGGGGGCACAGGGTCAATCCATGGTTGGGCAACTAAGATCCCACAAGTCATGCAGCACAGCCAATTAAAAGAAAAAATCTGAGTGTGGCTTTTTAAGAATAGAAGGATTTTCTGCCTTAATAAAAGAGAAAAAAAGAAATTTTCTATCAAATGTATAGTAAAATATTTATAAAATATAGCTTAAATACTTTTTAAGTGCTATATGTAGTGTTTATATGAAAGATTTTTAAAATTCAGTAGAATATAAATTCTTTATAGCTTTTATCATATTTTAAGTACGAATTTGTAAACTCACAAAAGGACAGCATTAGCATATAAGTGGGATTTTTTTTTTTAATAAATAGTGGAATTCAAAAGCAAGTATTTATGGGCCTCTTGTTGGCATTAAAGTTATCTTGGTCTCTAAGATCACAATATTTGAAGTGTATTCTATTATCTCCACTGTACTGTGAGACCTGGATTTAGAGCAAACATTGACTAAAGGATTACGCATACACTATTTAGACAAATAGAGTGGGCCCATGGATTCTAAAGGGCCCACTAAAAGGCTTTAGAGACTATTAGAACAGTTGTTTTTATTTTCTGTTCTTGCCCTGGTTTAGGAGGGATAGAGAGCAGCTGAGTAGAAGGAAAATTTTGAAATTATATTGGTTGTCAAACAGATTAGACAAAAAAAGAAAAAAAAAGGAAGTAAAAATGTTAGCAGAAAAGTCCTTTCTATACAAAATCATTAGTTATTCTGACCTGCCAGATGTTTATTTCAAAAGCTTATATACTATTCCTATACCGTAACAGAGTAAAAAACACTGAATAACAGGACATGGTAGATAAATCCAAGGAGCTATATCCTTCCCATTTTTATATATCCAAAGATGTGACAGAAAACTTTAGTTTTGCTGAAACATATAATCTAAACACCACTTTTTTTCTACTGAGTTTTTAATGGAAAAATGAGTTTTGTGTCAAACTTTTCATATTTCTTAGGGCATTTGTTTCGTTATAATCAGTCCAGAAGTAGAAGAAAGAATAGCTTTGTACATTCCATTGACTACTTTCTTGGTGTTCTTGCCTGGTTATTGTTTTAGAGCTATATATAGTGGATGGATAGATAGATAGATGGATAGATAGATAGAAATATATTTAAAAGTGTATATATAGCATTAGAATAGTAACCAGGCAAGAACACTGATATTTATGTATGTATTTCACACAGCATAAAATACACATGGCCCATCAATGATTTTGTTTACTCTGGAATCGCACCATCTTTGTAGTAGAGTGTTAGGGATTCTCAAGAGAGGGACTGGAGGTGCCTCGTTCTCTTAACTGCCCTTGCGCCACTCTCTGTAGTCACCCTGGGGCTAGGGCAGATGCTCTGGTGGGGCAGGTGTGTTGTGGAACACATAAACCCCCTATTGTGTTAGAAAGAAAAATGTTACATGTGGTCCAAAGCTTTTGTATTAACACTTAATGTGGAAATGTCTTTTCCCCTTTAGAACACAATGACAGATTCCACAATACTTTTAGAAGATGTACAAAAAATGAAAGATAAAGGCGAAATAGCACAAGCATATATTGGTTTGAAAGAAACCAACAGGTAAGTTGATCTTTCTTTATTCATTTTGGTTTAATCATGTTGATCTTTAGTCTTCAAGCTAGCCTCTTGTACAGTGAGTACAAGTGTTTATGCATTGTTTTGTTAGACATCAACTGACCTTCAAAAAGGATCCAAAGTTTCCAATATATTCCCAGTTAAAATCTCATTTATAAGACAATAGCATTACTGATAAGAAATTGAAAGGAAAATGTTCTTTACATCAAGGGAGTATATTTTGTGTTTTTAGAGCCTTAGCATTGAGAAAGAAAATCAATTACTTACTCTATAGCTTGGACTATCTTGGGTAGTCAAGTCACTTCCATTTGTTATTCAGGATGGTTATTTGTGAGAAGTTTGTAGGGGCAGCTGCAGCTTTCAGTAATTAAAATTTAATGTAAATTGAAATGTAAAGAGAAGTGGTGAAGTAGCTGAATCACATCCATGTTGACCATATAATTCTCAAAGGGTACTGTGACTTCCCAGGATGGGACCTTGATATTTGAGACCAAGTTTTTGTCACGTTTCCTAAGGTGTTCTAAGAAAATCCTAACTCTGATTTTTATCTCATTTACTCTAAACATGAATGAAGTTGTGGATGGCACTTAGCTCAGTCTTAAGAGCCTTGGGTGGGCTGAGAGTGCAGATTTGCACAGTCACTAAATGACTGAACTTTCCCCAAAGCTTTCCCTGTAGATAAGATTATCACTGCTCATTTCTGAAATTCCTTGGCTTTTCTGCCACTCCTGCTTCCCAAAGAACCTTCATGCTATTAAACTCTGATCTTAAAAGACTACATACTTAAAAGAACTTGGCCAGTGATGATAACAGAGATTATCAGTGTACATCTAGATCTCCTGATACATAATATCAGAATTGGTATACAGAAATACTTCACAGACTAAAGAATACTGCCATGCAAGATATAAGGTATTTACTACCTTCTTTTATGGACAGAGTAGAGAATGCTTATACAAGTATTTGGTTAAACTTAAATTTTAATTTATGAATGTAAGTTGTAAGCGTACCTTATAGCTGAGAATGTGTTAGTGTAAGAAGAGCTATATTAACTTGTTCATCCATCCACTCAGCTATTCAGTCATCAGATATATATTGTATGCCTGTTTCATCCCAAACCATGTGCCAAATACTGGCAATAGAGCATTAAGCAAGGTAAATGCAGTCCTTCCCCTCACAGAGTTTGTAGGGTGTTGGGGAGATAGCCAAGAGAATTTGGACTTCCCTCCAATGACAGTGGAAGCTGTTGAAAAATTTTTAGTAGGAGAATGGTATGATGAGATTGGAAAGCTAGCCCTGGCTTTTATGTTAGAGCATAGACTGTAGTGGAACAAGATTAAAACCAGAAAGACCAGTTAACAGGTTATTCCCACAATTGAATGACTGATTATAGTGATTTTGACTTAGTTGGTAGCCATTGGGATTGAAAGAAGTGAGACACTTAGAAAGATACTTAAGAAGATGAGGTGAGCAGCCTTGCAGTTTACTGGATGTGTGGTCAGGGGTGGGGGATCATGAAGGACAACTCCACAGCATCTGTGGTGGATACGTGCTTGGATATAGTGATGCCATTTCACGACCCTGGGTCTGGGATTTGGGGAACTACAGGAAATTATCAGTAGATTTACAAATATTTAAGAAAGTAGGAAGACATCCAAGAAGAGAACTTCATTCGGCGATTGAAAATGTAGATCTGGAACAGGAGAGACCTGTGGGCTGAGATGTAAATATTGAAGTCATCGGCATGTAATAATACAATCGAGACCGTGCAAATAGACCAACTCTCCAGGGAGAGATGCTAAATGTAAAGTAGAAGAGCAATCTATGAAATTCATTTTATGTAAACATGATATCAACAACAAAAGTCTAGTAAGAGGAATAAGATCCTGGGCTCTGTAGTCAGACAGCACCTGCCAGGTATCTAACTTCTAAACCTTGGTGTCTTCTTCTGCAATATGGCAAATGATATACATTGTTACTAGGAGAACTAAATGAAATAATGCCTGCGGAAGGATGTAAAACAGTGTCTGATACTTGGCAAACACTCAAAATTTCATTTTTATATACTTGTAGAAAAAACCTCTAATCAGTTTCATCATTTTTATTTGTTAATTATACATATTTTTAATAAAATGTGTGACTTAATAATATAAAAGCAATTTTCCCAGGTCTTAAAATTAATTTTTGACACAAAATTTTTTTTAATTGTATCATAAAAGCTGGGAACTTTGGACATATTTGTGTTACTCCTATAAGAACTTTTAAAAGCAATTTTAAAAATACAAAACTAGATTTTATCAAGCTAAAACAAATTCCTACCCAGAAGACTTAAAACTTCATTTTGAAGTGAATTATGAAGATCGCCACAGGAAGACAGTAGCTTAAATTTTCATTCTATATGTGTATGACTGTTGTGGCTAGTCTCTAACATAATGTGTGACATAAGATCACTCTGCCAGCTGAACAAAATGTTAGAAACAGAATGTCTTTCTTCCCTCCTGAGTCATTTATTATTTTGCAGGAAAAGTAGCTCTGGATCCTTGATTATTTTGTTTTAAATTGTCCACCTTTACGTGTGATGTTACATATTACTCATTTTTTAAAAAAATATTAACCAAAAATAATTTCTGTGGTAATGTCTTAAAGTCATCTGTAATTAATAAAGACAGTCCTAGTGACTTAATAACATATTGAAATACCATGTGCTACTGTTGACCATCGCCATCTCATTACCACCCTGTATCCCTTTGTGTTTTGCATTGTTGTTCCTTTTGCATGGAAGATCATCTGCTATGGATTGCCATGAGTTGAATGAGGATGGAGAGCTGTTGCTGGTTTATGAAGGGTTAAAACAAGCCAACAGGTTATACTTATCTCCTCAAAATGGAATGTTATTAATTTGTTGTTTTTCTTACTAACAGTGGCCTCCTGACTTTAACTTCTGTATTTCTTATACACTGTCTTCCTGGGTAAATTTCAGACCCTAAAATTTGTGAATATCTCACTAAGAGTGGAAGAAAACCCAAACCTCTCAACTAGAGCCCAAACAATTGTAGGAAAGATTAATACATATTCCTTAGCAGTTTCTTGTTTGGAATCATGACCAATTCAAAGGATATCTGAGCCTGGGCAATAGAGCTACATTCTCATATAATATCATCATGCTGCCTAACAGCAGTATTAAGTACATGACTTGGCATTCAGTGTGGTGGTTGTGAAATTCAGATTTGTGAAACAGCAAATCAGGAGGGTTTCCTGCACAGCCATAGTTCAAAATAATTACCCAAACTCATCATGTTAAACATGTTTAGGAGAAAGCAAATAAAACTGAAACAGCAGAACCTTTCTAACACAGACACTCATCTCCTCTAGAGATACTTGTGTCTTAAAGTCTTAAAAATACTGGGGTTTTTTGGTCCTAAAAATACTGTTTTTATGTCTTAAAAATACTGTTTTAGTGATTAATTTTTAATCTACTTAATAGACTGTTTTATTCAAGGAGCTTCTACTTATTCTGCTTTTTTCTTATCACACACTGTTGTCATTAACTTTGTGGTGTTATTGGTTCAGATTCTTTGCAAATTTCATAATCCCCAAAATATTTTTTGTCTGTTGTTTATAATAGTATCAGTAAGTTTTGCCCAGCATTTGCTAACCAAGGGGATTGGAATAAAAACCTCTTTTCTTTCTTCCTGTTAGTTCCTATCTATAACCTTGTCTTGTCTTTGGAAAGGAAGTAAATGTAGAATGGGGGTGCCTGGTAGAGGGAGGTTGCCCGTTGGCTCTGGTGTTCTCTGGCCAGGGCCCTAGTCCATGGCACAGCTGGCCTGTATGTTTGCTCAGAGAAGCTCAAGAACCACTCTGTTGGTCCCACTAATAGTGATCTTCCAAAACCACATCTTGTTAGGATTCTCTTACTGATAAGGAAGGTTATAGGGGAAAAGATGACAAATTTAAAATATAAACAAAATTTCAGAACTCTGTCTGCATTTGGGTAAATCTGTATGTATTTCAGAATAGCACTCTGGCCTTTCTTCCCTTCAGAGATAAAAGTAAAAGTGGGACCCTGGTCACAACCCCCCTCCTGGAATTAGTAATGCTGAAGGTCTTCAAGGCAGATTTAATTAAAGTGGGCATTTGTAATCTTGCCCTCCACAGTGATTGTTCTGTGGCAAAGGCATTATAGTAATACTGATTTTGCCAACTTAAATGCTACTTTAAATTAATGCTACTGCAAATGTAGTAAGCCAGGTTAAATTGTTTTAGTCTTTTAAATTTTAAATTTTTCTTTTAAATTGTTTTAGTCTTAATTTCCTATGAAGCTTTCAAAGAAGTAAAATTCTGCTGTTTTTCAGGGCCTCTGAGAACTTTGTATTTGTAGCAGGGTCCTCAATTCAGAAAGACAGATATGTGAGTGCATTCATTTTGTTTCTGGCTCCATCTGAGTTTCTAGACTCTAATCAAGCCAGAAGCTACACAGACACTACAGAGTCCCCATTTTTCTGCCTTTGCAAGTGAGCTCAAAGCCTCACATGCACCAGGTAGGGACTCAGATGTCACCTCCCTTTCCTCCCTGTGTGGCTTCTCCACAGGCTCCTGGAGTCCCAGCTGCAGTCTCAGAAGAGGAGCCATGAGAACGAGGCTGAAGCTCTCCGCGGGGAAATCCAGAGCCTGAAGGAGGAGAACAACCGGCAGCAGCAGCTGCTGGCCCAGAACCTACAGCTGCCCCCAGAGGCCCGCATTGAGGCCAGCCTGCAGCACGAGATCACTCGGCTCACCAATGAGAACCTGGTAAGGACAGCAGAGCGGCCCTCCATGCTTTTGGAGCAAAACCCCCTTCCTGGCTGGGAAAGATGCCGTTCACTGCCCCACTCTTGTGGCCCTCTTTCTCCAGCCCAGACACAGTAAGGAAGATACAACTATGTTGGTAGAAGTGAAAAAGGTGTGTGCTCAGGTGGTTTGTCACAGCAGGCTCAGGCACCTCTCAGCACCTCAGCCCTCACTTGGAGGGTCTGGAAGATACCGGCCGACTGTGTGCAGGGGTCTCGATATCCTTGAGAACTCCACTTCCTCCGCTGCAGCTGCACAGTCTTTGCCATCCATGAGGTTGCGTGGTTGTCACAACCTTTGGTCCCCAGGCACCACTGAGGCCCTCCCAGCCCCTTCTCACGCAGACAGCAGGGTTAGAGTTAGTCAGGGAGCAGATGGCAGAACCAAAGAGGGCTGTAGGTTGACCTTGGTTGGAACTCCAGGGTCAAGGAGAAAGATCAGGATTCAAGTTTCTGCATTCTTGATTCTTTTTAATAGAATTCAGACCGTGAGTGGAGAGATTTTTTTTCCCTTGCCAGATAGATTCTGAGTGATGGCACAAAGTTATCCTTCTTTCTTTTATAGAAAATGTTTTCCAAAATATTTCTTTCTCAGTCACAAAATAACTTTTATTACAGATTTCTACTTAGGTTTGATAAACATTTATTAAATTAAAAGTCATTGAAAAGTTATATCTCCTTTTTTTTTTTCTTTTTCTTTTGGCGGGTGGTGGTGGGGCTTTGCCACACAGCTTACAGGGCCTCAGTTCCCTGACCAGGGAATATTTCTATATAAAATCTATACTGAAGTGTCAGGCTGGTTTTTAGAAAAGCTGTTTAGGGCTAGTGGTAATTGTTTCTTTAATTCAGAATTCTAATAACTTGTAATAAAATAGTTAGGATTTTCTCTGAAGATTTAACAACCTGAATTATCTATTAGTGATCATTTGCATTACAGATAGTTTCCTAGTGTCACCTGCTCAACCATCTTTTATATTAGTTGGAAGCAAAACCCAAAGGTATTCTTTTCCCAGTCTGTCCTTCCTTCTGAGGACAGCATGCTGGTGAGACTGTGGGAATGGGAGAGATGGGTGAGGGACTTGAAGTCTAGACTCTTTCCAAAGTGCCTGAAATATCACTGATTTGTGGGGGAAGATCTGAATCATGAACTATTTCGAGATGTCATTTTATTACTCACAAGTATATTGTTGTTTAAACTAACAGTGCTTCAGTGCTTAAGAATTGATAAATTACTCAATAACATAATAATGATTAATTAGCATATAAACTCTGTGCTTTTAAATCATTATCTTAAAATACAAGGTGAAACCATGAAATAAAGATGCTTCTGAGTGGTAGATTCTCAGAGCTGTTTTGCTAAGTTGGTTAAGCATTTCCCTTGCAATCTTGTGTGCATTATTACTTTTCTTTTCGATTTTGTATAACTGATACAAAAATAAATCAATCCCTTCCATATTCTAAGCTGGTGAAACTTAGTTTGTGTTTTAGGAAAACTCTTTGTAGGTTCATCGGCTTCTCCTGCCTCACTGATTGCTAATTCAGGAGAATGGATTCACACTTACAGGGGATGATGCAGTTTTTCACTGTCATTAGAGTGTCTTAGTTTTGCATTTCTGTAGGAAGCACTTGGGCAGAATATTAAAGTACCGGTGGGCCTAGGCTTTGTGCTCTTCGAAACTCTACCCTGAAAACCCTTCCCAGCCACCTACGCCACAAACACAAGCCCAGAGAGGACTATTCTGCCTCCTCTAGTGAGCAAACTTCACAGCTTGCCCCAAGCTGCCCTTCAGAGAATGAAGGCACACAGCTTCTGTCCAGTCTTTCCAACATCAAACAAGAGCTCCAACTTTGCCAGTGTCCTCACTTGTGTTTGAATTGCCGTCCCCACTGGTGCTGCTGCTGCTGGCAGCAGAGAAAGTGCAGCAGCCTAGAAGCCGGTCTGAGGAGTGAGATAACTGCCTTGTCTGGGGAATGTGGACCACAGCTGTTCACCTGCTAGCATCGCCTGTTTCCTCTGAGCATGTGGATATAGAACCCTCTGTACTAGAAAAATTAGAGGGCACTGACAGATGTCAAAGCAGAGCCTTTTGTGTCTGTATATATAGATTCCTTATCTGTGTTTTAAAATATTTTAAAATTGATTTTGCTGAGAGGTAGCATTCCCCTCAAAGACACAGAGAAAAACGAATGTCCATTGTGCCTGTTTTTTCAGTATTTTGAGGAATTATATGCAGATGACCCTAAGAAGTATCAATCATATCGGATTTCACTTTACAAACGGATGATTGTATGTAAAAGAGTGCTTCTCTGTCGTCTTCCTCACTGTTTCTAGCCCTCTATAAGCAAAGAGCACTCTGCCTGCCCTTCCTGGGAGGTCTCTTCAGAAACTTTCACAAAACCTGTTTCTCCCCACAGCTGTCTTTTAGCCAGTGATGTCGCCTCTGTCAGTGTCCTGCGTCCATTGTCACCTTTGGTTTGTTATTAACACTAGGCTTACAGTGTGATGGAAGCAAAATATGACTTGAAAGGTAAAGTAAAAATCCAAGAAGCAAACTGAACACTTTGAAATGTTAGCAACTGTTCCTTTTGAATCATTGGTCTAATATCTAAAAATCAGCCCTGTCTAAATTGGAAAAACAATGAATACTTGTATTTATAAACACCTTTTAAAATCCATAACCTGAATAACAACCACAAACCTCTTAAATCATTGCTTTATTTGCGCTTGAAGCTCCTGGTTTGCTGTTGCCCACTTTTCTTCTTAATTATTGATCGTTTGACTCTGTCATTTGAAAGAATTCTTGATTAGGGAGCCACATATTACACCTTTTTTTTTAAACCCTGCCTGTGAATGTACTGCTTTTGTTTTCTCTTTGCACAAATCATATGGAATTATCCCCTTTTTTCCCTATAAGCAAAATTATATTTTGCAATTATAAATTATATTATTACATTAGATAACATAATCTCTATGGGTGTGTTAGAGATTTCTATGGGTGTGTTATCTAACTGCCACTTAGTCTATCAACCACTCTATACTGTTCTTTGTGGTTATTTTTTAACTTACCTTTTAATTCCTGAAACCTCTTAACTTTTCTTAAGTTACAGGACTAGTTTTAGCCTCTCCAAAGGGTGGAACTCATAGAGACAGTGCTTCACACACTTCAGTCAGTCAGTTCAGTTGCTCAGTTGTGTCCAACTCTTTGCGACCTCATGAATCGCTGCACGCCAGGCCTCCCTGTCCATCACCAACTCCCGGAGTTTACTCAAACTCATGCCCATCAAGTCGGTGATGCCATCCAGCCATCTCATCCTCTGTCATCCCCTTCTCCTCCTGCCCCCAATCCCTTCCAGCATCAGGGTCTTTTCCAATGAGTCAACTCTTAGCATGAGGTGGCCAAAGTATTGGAGTTTCAGCTTCAGCATCAGTCCTTCCAATGAACACCCAGGACTCATCTCCTTTAGGATGGACTGGTTGGATCTCCTTGCAGTCCAGGGGACTCTCAAGAGTCTTCTCCAACACCACAGTTCAAAAGCATCAATTTTTCGGTGCTCAGCTTTCTTCACAGTCCAACTCTCACATCCATACATGACCACGGGAAAAACCATAGCCTTGACCAGACGGACCTTTGTTGGCAAAGTAGTGTCTCTGCTTTTTAATATGCTATCTAGGTTGGTCATAACTTTCCTTCCAAGGAGTAAGCGTCTTTTAATTTCATGGCTGCAGTCACAATCTGCAGAGACTAGGTGTCAGTTAAAAGCCCCTAAGTTCAACCATCCTTAAAACTTCACACAAAACTGTGCATTCATCAAAATTTACCTTGCTTATTCCCCCTTTAAGTGAAAAACTTCTACTGAGATAGCAGTACATTTTATGAGCATTTGATTGTTTTGCCCCCATGGAGTCTACTGGAGTCTGCTCGCCCCACAGTGAGCCTGCTATCCATCACACTGTAAGGAGTTACTGCACTGTGTATTTTAACATTTGCCTTATTATAGCTGCCTTTCCTATCGCCTCCTGGTTTTAGCCAGGTGGGGCTCCACCAATGAACTTTTATGGAGCTTTTATGTAAAACTAACTTTTTATGTAAAACTAAGTACTGTTCCTGTAACTTTATGTCTGCTTCCCTTCTCTGCATTTTAGATGGCTTATTTTGATCTTTTGTTTTATTTCTCATTTTGATCTTTAGGATTTGATGGAACAACTTGAAAAACAAGATAAGACTGTCCGGAAACTAAAAAAACAACTGAAAGTATTTGCCAAAAAAATTGGTGAACTAGAAGGTATTTATGTTTTTATGACAGTTGCTGAACCTTGGTTTTATATACTATACTAGTGGCTTAAGAGTATGGCTCAATTTGTGTGTGAATATTAGGGACAATAACAAAAATGACTTTCAACAAACCTGGCCTCCTTGGAGTGGAAATTTTCATTGCTAGGTGGGAAGAAATGTTTTCATGGTAGTAATAACTTACAAAGAGAATTCATTCAATAAATATCTAATGGCTATCTTCTATATGCCAGGTACTGTGCTAGGCAGTATTGCATATCAGTTAAGAGCATGGATTCTGTAGCCAAGTTTCTTGGGTTTAAATACTGGCTCTTCCACTATTAGTCATCTGATATTGGGCAAGTTACTGAACCTGTCTATTCCTCAGTATTCCCACCTGTTAAATGGGAATGATAATGATATCTACCTGACATGGTTTGTAATGATTAAATTAATTAAAATGTGGAGTGAATTTAGTATGGTTCCTGACACAGTAAATGCTATCTACAGCTTATTTTTATTACTGTTATTCTTAGTATTAGGGATACTAACATGAGTAAGACAGAGTCTGTGTCCTCAAAGAACTATGGAGAACAAAAAGAGAACTAAGTAAGAAAAAATGAATTGTAGTTATAAAGGAGATTCTATAAAACAAGACTTATATCTGTTGATGATGGGAAAACACCTTGAGAAAGAATCAGTTTTTTTATTTATACAAACGCTTCTTGTGGGTGAGTGTTTGTTCCTTCAGTAAGTAGGTGCCAGGGATGTAGCAGTGAACAGGGCTAAAGCCACGTTGTAAGCTTATTCCAGCAACGATCTCATTGTTCTAAAGATTTTGAGCCCCTCTTTGGAATTGCCTTCAGACCTATGCAAGCTATTACCATTTTGACCAGAAATGATACTGTGCAGTCTGACTACCCATCTATTCTGTCATTGTCACTGAATAATTTTTGCTCTGCTCAAAGGGTAAACATTCCCCATCACCTCCCACCTTTATGGTTTTCAATGTCATGTTTTTAGCAAATTTTCTGTCTGATTACTGGCTTCCTCAATGGATTGTGATCTTTTTGAGCATGGTGACCATCTCTTATTTCCCCTTGTTTTCACAGCACCTAGCATATTGTCTGACCTGTCATAATCATTCCATTAATGTTTGTTGAATGTGTATCAGAAATATTTAGAACAGCAACATGGATATTTATTTTGAAGAGGATAATATTCCCTCCCATGTACAAATACTGAAATATTTGTTTAGATATCAGATAGATTACTTTATAGTCATGTTTTATTATATAATCCTTTAGCATTATGTGTTCCATCTATTAAAATTTTGAACCTCCAAATCACATACATGGGCTGTAATATCTGTTGGCAGAACTTTAAAAAAATCTTTATTCAGAGAACCTTTCTGCACTTAACTCTGCATTAATTATATCATGAGATGATAATTAGACAGCAGAGTATCTGCTTAAAAGAAACTGATTTTAAGGGTATTAACTTGTAAAATTATTTTTTAAGCTCCTAATGATTCATTTACCATATGTTAGTAACTTTTGATAAATAGAAGAATCACTTATTTTACATTTTTACTTAGCTTTCTTTGATATGTATATTTTTACTTAAAGGGATAGCTGAGAATATTTCATGATTTTAGCGATTTTAAGCCATTATCAATTAGAATTCAACCTTATCACTTAAACTATCCTACCAATGATATTCTTAAATCTATAAGGACATTTGAGAAGGCAATTCATATATTAAACAAAAAAGACATGATAGTCTTAAAAACTGAGATAAATGATACACGTCTACAGAATAAGATGAAATTGGCTTATGCGTCTTGAGCACTTACTGAGTGTGGTGTCCTTCCCCTCCCCAAGGCAGAGCATAAAGGCTACAAGCTCTTCCCACACCATTGTCTCCTGTTGTCTTATCTCCACAGTGTGTAGAAAACACTGATAACTTTGTATAGCAAAGCACCTTCTAATAGCTAAAAGTTTTCTTATTTTTTCTAAATATATAATAATATACTTAAATTCTTCTGGTTGAAAATAGCAAGACTTACCTCCTCCTATGGGCTCCACTTAATTAGAGAGACAATTTTAGATACCATCTAAGACTTTTTTTAATGCCAACATACCTAATTTTAGCAGAAATTATATATCTAAATCAAGAGTGTTTCAAAGTTTGATGTGCTTTGTGCTATATTTTAATCCAGGAGTGGGTGTTCCATTTCAAGTTTCATAAAGTCAGGGAATTTAGACCTAAAAGAATTCTAGAAATCAGTTAATTACTTCATAGGAGAATGGAGCTGAGGCCCAGAAACTGTGACTTCCAGAGTCTCAGCCACTTAGTGGCCAAAGTGGAACTAGAATCCATGCCTTCTGAGGACCACTGACTCCCCTCCTTTGTGCTGTATTTCTCAACACCCTCTTTCTTCTTACAGTAATTCATTTGACTGTCTCAGTTAAACCTGAGACAAGGTCTTCCCTGTACCAAAAGTGAGTGGGAAAAAATCTTCCAATTTGTTTTCTTTTTCTAGGATAAAAAGGTTCAGGAATGTTTTTCTCTCAAGTATAAATAATCTAGATGATAGAAATAGGTATTGCTTCAGATCTTTTAGAAAGATGTCTGTATTAGATGGAGCATTGGACTAAATGACCCCCAGCATCCCTTGAGTCTTTGAAAACTGTGTGGTATTCTGGCCTCTCTCTTTCAGGTTTTATATTTTCCTGATACTACATAAGGGTTGACATTTTAATTAATATATAATTTATTAAATAAATCAAGGTTATGTTGAGCTGATACCTATATTTTATCTGTGAGTTTTTGTAAAGACTAATCTCTGACAAGAATTCAAAGACAGAGAAAATTTTAATGAAAATATGGCAAATTTTATCTCTGGCATTTTTGTACAGAACCAAAAATATCTTCTTTAGAGATATGTGAAAGGAAAGTGAGGGTTTCTTTTAAAACATGTAATCTCTTAGTTAAAATAGTCACTATATTTCATAAATTCTGAGGCGCATAATTTTTCACATTTTAACATCTCTGAAATTACGATGTCTCTTATAGCAGTTGTTAGATTGTAATTTAATTGGCAGTATTTTCCTTCCTTGGTGTTATATAAAATAATAGTATATGTCATAATCAAATATGATAAAATCAAATATGATAAAACGTTTAAAACGTTTTGAGTTATTCAGAATCCACATATGTGCATTTGTTGATAAACTTAGTATCAATACATTGAATCTGTTTCCTTCCAGTTTCCCTTCATAGAATTGTTCCTGTGGCTCAAAGCAACTAGTTCATAGATGGCAGGGATTCTATTATTTTGTTTTATATACAGAGCATATACAGGAGCTGTGAGGGCCATTGTATGCTGATTCTGAGATCCCCCTGGTGTTGTGTTTAAACTGTCTCCAGAAATAATTTATGTAAAACTACATAGCTTGAATCTCATATCTCTTGTGAAGATGCATGCATTTTTCCGTTAGTCCTGTGGTTCCAGACTGTATCATACATCTGAAACACTAGGTTATGGGAGGTGGCCACAGCCCTGATTTGTCCAGTTACAGTATGATCGCTCTTTAGATATCGATCATAATGTTGATAGACGGTGGTGATTTTCAGCGCTGATAGCCCCGATGTGTGATGCTGCAGCATGAGGTGGACAAGGTGTCACCAGGCTCTCTGCCACACGGGCAAGCACGCTGGCAGGTACTGCTGTTCTCTGTAATAACCTTGTGTGTGGAACTGGCTTCCCAGAACTAACTCAGGAAATTGCCCAGAGTGACAGAAGCACTACTGATACCTTGTGGACTCAGCAAGATAGAACTTTCTAATGCATCTGATCTGCATTTTGTTTGCCAACAGTCTCTGAACTCAAACTTAATCTGCACTTAAATAGATGTCTTAACTGCTCCTCTTCCTATGGATAAGAGAATTAAAAATGTGCTTGCTAGCATATAGCTCCACAAACACCTTGTAACTCACGTTACCTTGCATTTCCCAGATGAAATGAAATTGGAGACTTTTCTTTTAACCCCGAGTTCTTTTCTCACAGCTGCCATCAACAATAGTGATTATTTTTAACATCTGAAAGGGTTGTTCACCAGTGGTTGTACTTTTTTGGTTGCAACTTTGTGGTAGGATTTTTAACACTTTAGTAAAAACAAACAAAAAAATGAATAAATTTAGGAAATTATTTTAATATTAAATACATAGGCTTCCCCAGGTGACTCAGTGGTAAAGAATCTTCCTGGTAGTGTGGGAGATATGGGTTCAATCCCTGGGTCTGGAAGATCCCTTGGAAAAGGAAATAGCAACCCACTCCAGTATTCTTGCTTGGAAAATCCCATGAACAGAGGAGCCTGGCAGGCTATAGTCCATGGGGTCACAAAGAGTCAAACACAACTGAGCACACACACACACAAACATATTAAATACAGGTGGTTTTATCCGCTCATGGTGTCTTCGGGAATGAGGGGTGCCTCTATAAAATATTGAATTTCCTTCTCTGAATTAAAGTCTAAATATATTTAGACATTTATGATTGATACTGATTAGTTAACTAAGAAGTTAAGCCACGTACTTTGGGGACATTTAATCTTATTACAAAATAAAATGTATCACAAAAAGATGCTTTTGAATCAAGTAAGATTCTTGATGTTGATAGTAGTAAGTACTAGTTGTTGTCAGAGTGACAGTAACATATGAATTTACCATCTATCCATCCAGTTTTACCAAAAAAAATTACTTAGAAAGGGGCAATTAAGTGGCAAATATGGCAAGTTTCTGTTGTTACAGAGTTCATTTAAAATTAATAGGAACATGAAACCACTCATCTTTTCTACCTGGAAAACATTTTTCTTCTTTTTGTTTCTAATGAAGTGGGCCAGATGGAGAACATATCGCCAGGACAGATCATTGATGAACCCATTCGTCCAGTCAACATTCCTAGGAAAGAAAAGGATTTCCAAGGAATGCTGGAATACAAGAAGGAGGATGAGCAAAAACTTGTGAAGAACCTGATTCTGGGCAAGTATTTCCTGTGTGAGATGAAAGGTCTTTATGGTATGTGTCAGTGGTGGGAGAGACTAGCCACTCATTTATTAGATATTCACACTGGTTTCTTTAGTCAGCCTTGCATGCTGTGTGCAGTACTGCCACAGCATTCTGACCCCATTGTGGCTGTCAGTCACCCTACAAGGACGCCAGTGAGGACTGCCTGTTAGGGTCACGTGAGGCCTCAGCTCCTGTCGCCCGTTACAGGAAGCTTTTGAAAAGTATTGACGTATGTTCCCCCCTGCAGACTAATTACATCAGAACGTCTAGAGGAAAGAACTTAGCCATGTCCCTAGTTCTTTTTTTTTCTCTCTCAAGGGCTTCTGACGTGTAGCTAGCTGCAGTTGAACACCCCTGCCCTAGGCCACTTAAGTCCCTCAATTTCTCTTCTTCCTTACTTCCCTAGGAAGGTATATAACTAAATATGTCAGGAAAAACAGTTTAATAGTAGGGAAGGAACAGAATTAAGGAAAAGATTCCAGCAGTGGGAAGAGGGGACTAACTGGACAATGGAGATGGGAATAGAAGAAGCCCTTTAAAGCAGCAGAAGGCCTTTGAGCAAGCCCACTGGCTCTGCAAGAAGACTTTTTAGGGGAGCATGGGAAATAGTTCAGGAGTGTATGCAGCCCATAAGTTGTGAGCTCAAAACACTACAAGCCTCTCCTTTCAGCCTTTGCAGAGCATTCCTCCCCCCAGGTGCCAGGGTGGCAGCAGTGTGATTGGCAGTGGTTTAATGTTCCTAGAGTTCATGGTGTTAAACTTAGAACTATATATAGATGCAGAGGTGCTTAGGTTTCAGTGTGATCTTCATTTTGAAAAAATGGTAAGAAGCCACTGGCTTTTAAGCATAGAATTTAAAAAGATTCATCAGTTCAATAATCATTTGGGGCATTCCTACCGTGTGCTAAGCATTTTCTAGGTATTGGGTAATAAAGTCCCTTGGTGGATGTGCTTGGCTGAGGAGCCAATGGGGCGAAGGTACCATCTGTGGGATTATGACTGAACGCCTCTAAGTCAGAATCCCGCCCAGGCGAAACGATACGGCAGCGCCGCGGGAGCTCGGTTGGCCTCGGATGCTCGGTTGGCCTCGGATAGCGGGTCCCCCGCCGTCCCCCCCGCCGTCCCCACCGGCGGGCCGTTGCCCGTGTCCCTTGGGGCGCGGCAGAGCGCGCCCCGCCACACGTCGGGACCGGGGTCCGGTGCGGAGGGCCCTTCGTCCCGGGACACGGGGCGCGGCCGGAAAGGTGGCCGCCCCCTCGCCCGTCACGCACCGCACGTTCATGGGGAACCTGGTGCTAAACCATTCGTAGACGACCTGCTTCTGGGTCGGGGTTTCATACGTAGCAGAGCAGCTCCCTCGCTGCGATCTATTGAAAGTCAGCCCTCGACACAAGGGTTTGTAAACAAAGTCTATATTCTCAAAGAGTTTATATTCCATGGGGTAGGGGGAGGTAGATGAAAACAAATAAGGGGGTGAGAAAGATAAACAAGGAAGGCAGGTGTACGAATTTATATAAAGTTGTTAGGGAGGGCCTCTTTGACAAGGTGATCTCCTTTGGACAGAGACCAAAGGAAGTAAGGAAGCAAGTCCTGCTGATAGCTGAGGAAAGAACGTTGCAGACAGAAAGCCTTGGGGTGGGCACATGCCTGGCGTCTTCACCCAGCAACAAGGAGACCCATTTAATGGGGGAGCACAGTGAGCTGGAAAGGGGAGCAGGCCAGATCACACAGCCATGGTGAGGATTTCGGGTTTTACAAATGAGTGAGATGAGAAGCTACTTGAAAGATTTTCATAACAAGAGTGACATGATCTGACTACATTTTCTTATAGAATTACTCTGGTTGTTGTGTGGAAACTGTACTACTGAGGATCGAGGGGTGAGTCAGGGAGACCAGTTGGGAAGCTCTCACTGGGACCCAGGAGAAGATGGTGGTGGCCTAGACTAGGGGAGCTGGTAGAGAAGTAGCAGGATTATTCTGGACATGTCTTATGTGTAGAGCCAACAGGATTTGTTGATGGATTAGATGTGTGATGTGAGAAAAGGAAAGAAGACAAAGATGATGACAAGGTTTATATTCTGAGAAACTAGAAGGCAGAGACTGCCACTTACTGAGATGGGACAACTCCTGGAAGAGCAGGTTCCATGGTGGGTGGGTTTTGTGGGACAGGCCTGAGCAGAGATGTCAAAAGCCACTTGTTCCATGAGCCTAGATTCAAAGGAAAAGTCAGGGCAGGAGAGAAACATTTGAGAGTTATCATTGTGTAAGCAACTAATATTCTCATGTCCCTACAGTCAAGAAATCCTCTACTCTAAAATATGCTTTTTTAAAAACATGAACCTATTAATGCTGAATGATTGAACTGTTACATGAGAACTGTGCCTTTATATCTCAAAAAGCATTCCTTATGAAGACTTTCAAAGTTATATAAGACTGTTTTTCCTCTTTTCTTTTTTAGAACTGAAGCCACGTGGTGTAGCTGTCAATTTGATTCCAGGGTTACCAGCGTATATCCTGTTCATGTGTGTTCGACATGCTGACTACCTGAATGATGATCAGAAAGTAAGGTCGTTGCTAACATCAACAATTAACAGCATCAAAAAAGTATTAAAGGTTAGTTCATGTTCAACAGATTTCTCATAATATTAATGATGACAGGGTCTATACAGAGGTATTTTTCCATCCTTAGACATGAGCTAAGTTGCCAGTTATGGCCACATTTTAGTCTTAACTGGTACCTTCCATTATAGGAAATGTTCATTATGTAATGTGTCTGTGTGCTTTCTTTCAAAACAGGGCTCAGATTGAACAATAATAAAAATTAATTCAATATATTTACATTTAGTTGTGAAGTAAACTGAATTTCTTCATAGAAATAGTCTGCTTTGAGGTCTGTCTCAGAACTAAATTAAAAATACTTAGTGAAGTTCATATATACAGGGAATATGATTCTATAGTTAAAATAGATATTAAAAATGTTTAGGAATACCTAGCCCATTCATATAAAAAGCTTCTGATAAAATATTTAAAATTCTCTTCTGACTTTTCTTCCCATTATTCTCCAGCTCACCCCATAATTTTCCTTGTTTCCTGAAATGCCTGGTTTCATGCGAGCAGCAGCACATAGATACTAATCAGAGAGGAAACACTTGGAAAAGGCAGCGAAGTTACATAATAGAACAGAAAGCCCTACATAACTCAGTAATCACTGAGTCATGTTGCATAATCATCCTTTTGACAACCTAGAAAAACAGTGAACGTTATTCTTAGTTTTAACCGTTTTTCAGTGCACAGTTCTGTGGCATTAAGTACATTCATATTGTTGTATAACCATCACTATCATCGTCTCCAGAACTTTTTCATCTTCCCCAACTGAAGCTCTGCACCCGTTAAACACTCTCCCCCAGCCCCTGGTCATAACTTTTAATGATGGTTCTCAGTCCCTACTGCACAGTTACTCTATGCGGTTACATTCTACAGTGATTACTGAAGTGTTGAATTTCTAAATATTTTAACATTCAAAAATTGATGAATGTCTTCTGAATGGAGCTCATGTAATTTTTGGTATATTGATGGTATATTGCATTTATTAGACTATGAATTTTACTACTTCTGAAGTTAACACCTATGAAGACAACAAAACCAAATCATGAAGTTTTCTGCCTCTCATCTTAATTACAAGAAGAAATATATCTAATTTGACTAATTATTGTACCAGATTGTTTAAAGATTTAAAATGAGTAGATACTTGGGACTTCCCTGGTGGTTAAGACTTCCACTTTCCAATGGTTAAGACTTTGCCTTCCAATGCAGGGGGTGTGGGTTTGATCCCTGGTCAGGGACCGAAGATCCCACATGCCTTGTAGTAGAAAAACCAAAACATAAAATAGAAACAATACTGTAATGAATTCAATAAAGACTTCAGAAAAAAATAATTTTAAAAATGTAAAAAACATAGATTCTTGAACATAACACTGTTGGAACATCCTTTTTTAAAATTGAAGTACATTTGTCTCGTGTCCTGTTTTGATTTAGAGTTGTTGTTTGACATGTGGCCCAGTACTGATGAAAAGCCACACTGTCCAGTGCTCTGCACAGACTCCCTTAATCCCATGTCTGATTCGCTCCTCAGAAATTGTATCTTAATCACTGACAAGATTTTTCACCTAATCTGGGTTTTAGTGCTTCACAGTGTTTGTGATTCTCTTTTGTACCTTTAGTCCTTTCTTATTCCTTCAGTAACCCCCAGGGAAGTAAGTTTGGGTAAGCAAGACTTGGTGAATTGTTTTCTGCCTAAAGGGACTACTAAGCTATTATCAATGGAATGAATGGGCATCACTTTCTAATGGCAAGAAAACAGATGCCAGGCAAGGTAACAACTAATGAATTTAGTGGTTGAATTCTGTAGCAGCAACAAGAGGCTTTACAACTGTAATGTGATTTTTATAATTGTTGTTAATAGTAAGTGAAGGAAACGGGCCTTCTGGTATCTATTCAGTTATTTCAGGCTTTTGTTTCCATAAGGAAAAAACTAATTTAGGCTTATTCTCTCTTTTAGAAAAGAGGTGATGATTTTGAAACCGTCTCCTTTTGGCTTTCTAACACATGCCGATTTTTGCACTGTTTGAAGCAGTACAGTGGAGAAGAGGTGAGAAAACCTTGATTACAAAACCAGCATGCTATACTTTCTCTGAACTTCTTAAGGAAAAAATTTAAAGCACAAAATGTTTATTCATTTGTTAATTTAGAAACCTGAATTCAGAAGTGGCTTGACAGTTTATAGTTCTATTTCACATTCATTATTTATGAAACTGACTTGGGAATTGGCATAGTTTCTTCCCTCTGATAGTTTGTATTATGAGAAAGCACAGCAGAAATAAAATGAGCATTGGTCATTGAATAGTTATCGCACTGAAACTTTTTGTTAAGATGTGAAAATGGGGTTTTCAAGGATTGATATATTGAGCTGTTTAAAGAAACGAATTAATTTTAGCTTTCTATAGTACATTAAAAGTGATCATGTTAAAAGTTATCTCAAGATTTTTCCAAAAATATATTTTGCCTTTGCTTATAGTGATGTGTTCATCTGTTAGTTGATAGACTTCATATTTCAAAACTACATATTTATAATTATTTATTAATGGCTACATAGTATATTGGAGAAGGAAATGGCAACCCACTCCCGTAATCTTACCTGGAGAATTCCATGAACAGAGGAGCCTGGCAGGCTACAGTCCATGGGGTTGCAGAGTCAGGCATGACTGAGCAACTATCGCATACTATATATCAGACAGCACTCACTATATATTACGTTGTTTAATTCTTACATCTCTGTGAGGTAGGAATTCTAACCCAGTTTTACAGTTGAGGAAACTCAAAGAAGTTCATCACTTTGCCCATGCCTTCTCAGCCATAAAGAGCTGAGCTAGGATTTCGGGTCTGCCCACCTTCAAGAGCTTGTGCCCATAAATGCTGCCTTTCATGCCTCCCCATCCTTTGCTGTCAGGACAGGCAGAGAAGCTGAGCAGTGGCCACTTTCTCAGCACTCACAGGCTTGGAGTAGAAGACTGTCCTGACAAATGATGGGAAATGCAGTATGAATAAGACATGGCCCCTGAGCAGGTGGAACTGACAGACCAGAATCCTCCAGAGGGCCTGTTACCTGTCCTGTCAGTCCCCAGTTCTAGACCATGTTGTCAAGTAAGTTGTAGAGAGGCAGATGCTTAGTGTGGCCAGAATCCATCAAGTAGGCAAAAGTACCTGCCTGTACAGTTGGCTTTCCGTTTTACCACTTACCATCAAAAGATTCTGTTCTAAGCTTGGACTGCAAAGCCTGTATGAATACCATAAAATATAATAAAGGAAAATTATTTATTTATTATTTTATTTTATATTTTATTTATACCAGTCTCTGTAGAAATGACCAATTTTAAGAAAATTATGTATGTCCTTCAGGTACGGAATTTGTAAACAAGACTCTATTTAATGAACTGAAGTTAAGAGATTGGTACTTTACATAATTTAATGTTTGGCAGTAAAGCAGCTGTTTCATAAGTGAAAACACTCATTAGCTTTTTTTTCAAATTGAGTTCCCCTATCTTATTTCATTGACATTGATTGTGGAAGGGCTTAAATGCTAGACTGCCAAGTTTAGATATTATTCAAATGCTGGTAAGAAGTGGAAGCAGGGACATAATAGAAACAAACACAAAATTTGGGAAGGATTATCTTGGCACTTATGTGGAGGTTGGATGGGAACTCTTAGGAGAAAGGTAAAAAAGAACATGAGGATATTGATCAAATGAGAGAGTTAAACAGACAGGAGACATTTTATTTCATGTATGTCATTAACTCTGTATTATGGCTCTAGGGCTTTATGAAACACAACACCTCTCGCCAAAATGAACACTGCCTCACCAATTTTGACTTGGCTGAGTACCGGCAGGTGCTCAGTGACTTGGCAATTCAGATCTACCAGCAGCTTGTGCGGGTATTAGAGAACATCCTTCAGCCAATGATTGGTAAGTCCCGGGCATTGCTGACGTCCAGGTCTGTCTCGTGGCACATGTATCAGAGCATGTATTCATATGGAGAAGGTAAAGTAGTAAGACTCAGTCTCAAAATTAGCTGAGAAATCTCAGAACCACAGCCATGACTAACTGGGGCACATCAAAATCCCTGCTTCTACGTGATGGAAATGGCAGGATCTATTAATAGTTTCCCTCTCTAATGTGTAATGCCTCTCTCTTAAGATTGGGTTATGCTTTATATCCAGCAACAGACCTCAGACCTTGTCCAGTTTTCAAAAACAAAAATACTTGAAACTTTCATCAAGGGCACTACTGCAGAGAACTTTCTAGGGACCCAACTAAAACTAAAGAGACTGAGGAGGGTTTGCAGATTACCTGATAGCCTATAGTAACAGGGCTGGGAAGGTACCATGGCAGCAAGAACAGGGCTCAGACAGTCCATGCTGAGTTGTTCATTTCATGGCCCCTGTGAAATCGTTAAAGGCAATTTGGTTTGTTGCAGTTTCTCATTGGATGAGCAACTGATCAGTGTGTGTGTCTATGTATATGAGATTCCATGTACCTCTCTTTATATGTGTGCACTCACTCTGGGTATGTATGTATGTATCATGCTACCTATACTCCTTTGGAAAGTGTAGCAGGTATGAAATTGGAAATAGGGGGCATGTAAAAATTGCAGGCTACTGATTTTGTGCGTAGCTGTTGAGGGAAGCTCAGGTCAAGGAAGGGCCCAGCTCTCCAGCCCCATGTGACTGCCCTCTCCCAAGACCACTGCCTGGTCTCCTGCTTTTCTTACTACTTGAATTGTTTGCTTCTGAGGCTCAACACTACTGGAGAATACTTATCTTCTCCCTAATTGCCTCTCTCTTAAAAACCTCTCTCTCAAAAACCCTTCCAAGAAATTTTACACATGTGCTATTAAGACTATTGTTTCATATTTTAGAAAATAATCCATTAAAATTTCATGGTAAATTTTTACATTTAAGGATAATTCTTTTATTAAAGTTTAAAACCCAGATGCCCTTTTACTTGTAGTTCCTTTTTCCCTCTATTTTGATACTCAAGTCATTTTCCTAAATTGTGTGTGTGTGTGTGTGTGTGTGTGTGCATGTGTGTGTGTTTGCATCATAATCTTCTTCTCTGACGTATGAACTTCTCCTTTAGTCTCCGGAATGCTGGAACATGAAACCATTCAGGGTGTCTCTGGGGTGAAGCCCACAGGGCTAAGAAAGCGAACCTCCAGCATTGCTGACGAGGGTACCTACACCCTGGACTCCATCCTGCGACAGCTCAACTCCTTCCACTCGGTCATGTGTCAGCATGGCATGGACCCCGAGTTGATCAAGCAGGTGGTGAAGCAGATGTTCTACATCGTGGGGGCCGTCACCCTGAACAACCTCCTCTTGCGGAAGGACATGTGCTCCTGGAGTAAAGGCATGCAGATCAGGTGAGCGAACTCCAACACCTTTCCTGGCCTTCTCGGGCTGCCTAGCAGTCTGCTGGGGCTCACGTGCGGCGCGGGCATCCGTCGTCTGAAGCCCCCCAGGTGAGCGGTAAGGGCGGACCGGGCGTGGAGCCGTTTCCTCCTCCTGGCTGGACTTCCTCCACTGCCACGCGTGGTTGCTCCCAGCGTGCCTTCAGCCTCTGCTTGTTGGAACCCGGCTCCGTGTAAAGTTAACTCAATGAGGGGGTAAATCTTTTACTGATGTTTGAAATATGCCCCCGTCAGTTTTAAGGAAAGCTGCACTCAGTTTTGTCCAGCTGCTCCTCAGCATCACCTTGTTAGCATAATATAATTATTTTTTTGGCAAATAATTTATTTTAAAACAGCTAGAAAATTCACCAAGAGAGGGAGAAAGTATTTCTCCTATAAAAGTCTGTAGTTACTCAATCTTAGGAAATTTGACCTTCTTTCCAAATTTTCCATTCTGACTCATGTCCACTGTAGACAGCAGTCAGAAGGCAATGCCTTCCACTCAGATCGTTAAACTTATTTCTCTGCAAGCTCTGTTTACGCCTGCGAAGCCCCTCTTTGCCTGATTACTAAGTCCTGAGCGTGGATCCGTTTACCTGACTCCTGTTTTGCAAACCGCTGTCAGTTGCTTGGCCACCTCTTAAAAACCTCAGCATCTGTGTAGTTTCTGTGTCTCTCTCCATATTTTCCGTTTGCTTCTTCCTCTGCCCCCACTTGCCCTTCTTGCCTACATCCCTAAACTTCCTCAGGCCACTACCTCCATCATCCAGGCTCTTCCCTGAAAAGGGTCAGAGCACAGGGTAGGGATCTTATTATGTCCACTAGCTTGGAGTTTGACATAAGGAACAGAGAGTATTAGAGGATTGTCAATTCTCTCCTCTCAAGTTGTAAAAAGCTGTAACATGTTTTCTGCTCTGCTGTTTAATAAGGACACAACCATATTATGTGTTCTATTTTTTTTTTAGCACACCTTATTTTGTAACTTGCTATTATAGCTACACTTCTGTCTTCCATTAAAGAGAATTATAGTCTCTAGAATTAAACTCACTCTTATATGATTATGATTATTAACCTGATTATTTATAGTGATAAATTTTCAAGCACAGCTAATGATTTAAAAAACAGAATTCAACTGAAATTCCTAACAAAGCCATGCACAGAAAAATTAAGACACTTATGATAACATTCGGTAAATTTGCATCCCCCTCAACCCTTTTTTGACATAGATACAATGTCAGTCAACTAGAAGAATGGCTGCGTGACAAGAATTTGATGAACAGTGGGGCTAAGGAAACCCTGGAGCCTCTCATCCAGGCTGCTCAGCTTCTGCAAGTGAAAAAGAAAACAGATGATGATGCAGAAGCCATTTGTTCCATGTGCAATGCTTTAACTACTGCCCAGGTAAGGCAACTTTCCCTATTATAAAATTCATCAAAGGTAACATTTAGGGAAGTCACGAAGGCTTCTAGTTATTGCTCTTGTCTCTGAGCTAACTTCATCTGTGTCAGAGATGACATATATCAATACTGTAGATCTTGAAGACAGGAGATTTTACCACAAAGTATATTTCAGTACTAGTCACACTCATGCACATTCAACAGTCGGTAAATATTTATCCATTCTCTACACTGTTCTGTGTAACATTCCATCCACTCAGATAAAACCAGGAACAAGGCAAAGTTTCTGTTTTTATAGAGTATACCTTCTGTACACTCTATGGAGCTTTAACTCCAAAGAGTCTTGTATATTATTTGATAACTGAATGATTCTTTAGACTTATCTATTTAAGACAGATAATTCTTTTTTTAATTGAAATGTAGTTGATGTATAATATGATGTTAGTCTCCGGTATACCACTCAGTGGTTTTACATTTGCATACATTATGAAATGATAACCATGATAAGTCTAGCAACCATATGTCCCCATTTAAGGTTGTTACAATATTATAAACCATATATTATATTGTAGATTGTATCCTCATGCTTTATTTACTTGATAACTAGAGGTTTGTACCTCTTAATCCCTTCACCTATTTTGAACACCCCATGTCTCTTGCCTCTGCAACCAACTGTTTATTCTCAGTATCACTTAAGTTGTCCCAGAGGTCTCTTAAAACCATCCTTATTTCTTTTCATTCTTTTTTCTATAAAGTTTCAGTGATTTGATTTACACTACTGTCTTCCATCTCACATCCACTCCTTTGTATCATTTCGTCTACTGTTGATGCCTTCCAGTGTCTTTTTTTTATTTCAGTTATTGTATTATTCAGCTTTTTCTGGTTCTTTATATTTTCTACCTCTTTGTGAGTTCATCCCTACTTCTCCTGAGTACAGTGAGCATCTTTATGATCATAACCTTGTACTCTTTATCAGGTAGATTGCTTATCTCCACTTCATTTAGTACTTCTGAGATTATGTCTCATTCCTTTGATTGAAACATATTCCTGTCTTCTCATTTTTCCCAGTTTGTTTGTTTGTTTTCTATGCATTAAGTCAGCTGGTTACATTTCCCAATCTTAAAGACGTGGCCTTATGTAGGAAACATCCTGTGGGCCTCCGAAGCATGCTGCCCTCTGGTCGCCAGAGCTCTGTGCCCAGGGGTACCCCCTATGTGGGCTGTATAGGCCCTTCTGTTGTGACAGGGCCACAGTAGTTCTACTGTGGGCTCCCTAGTGGGCAGGGTTGGCCCCTGGCCTGGTTGGCTGCCCCACCCTGCTTCCTTTGGTTTCTGCTGCCCCATGTTTTGGTGGGGCCAGCTCCTAGCACAGCTGGCCACAGGGCTAGGGAATCCCAGGGCTGGTGCTAGGCCCTTGGTAGGTAGTTAAGCCCTGAGCACTAATAAGCTAGTGGGAGAACTCCAAATGGTGCTGAGGATCAATAACTAGTCATTCAGGTAGAGTCTTGAATTTAAGGCAGTGAAAATATGGGAATGGCATTGGAGGACAGTGGCCCCAGCGTGAGGCAAGGCATGGGCATAAACATGCCCACTTTTCTTTTGCCTAGTTATTTTTGTGCTGACTTTTGGATTTTTTAAATGTTTATCACTTATCTCAAAACATAGAAATCTTACATAGGTTACACATAGAGTATATATAGAAAGTAATTAGCTGAATACTCAGGACACTGATAACTATTGTTACTTTGAAAGACTGAGAGCATGAGAGTGGGAGTACTTTTACTTTTCATGATTTTTTCAAATTTATATTGCTCCTTAAAATGTATAGATATTATATTAATATACTCTTATTGTAAAAATTTAAATAATAAAGGTAAATGTGCCTTCAGAACAGCTCCCTCTCCCATCTTGTCCTAACCAAGCCCTGAGTAGAATTGAAAGCAATAGGCAGAGATCCTTTTCATTTTCCCGATTAGAGGTACCTGGAATGTATGTATTTGATAATATGCTAAAAATTTTGATCATTTTATTTCTCCCAGATTGTCAAAGTGTTGAATTTGTATACACCGGTTAATGAGTTTGAAGAAAGAGTTTCTGTGTCATTTATTCGTACTATACAGGTAAGATCTCCTAGGCTTCCTTTTGCTTCAGTTTACCAACACAGTCATTTGGATGGAAATTTTATAATTTATTGAAGGATAATGCAGTTTTTGTTATATTATTGTATCATTTTCATAGTGCATTAATTTTTTGATAATAACTTATTGGGGAAATGAAGTGATTTTAAAACAAATATAAACATTTGTCATTCATTGAGGGGTTTTGGTAGAATTTTTTCTAAAAAAATGCTTATAGATTCAAAAAATTGATGTTCTGGTTTTTTTTCTTTTCTCAGATGCGTTTACGAGACAGGAAAGACTCTCCTCAACTACTCATGGATGCAAAGCACATCTTTCCTGTCACCTTTCCTTTTAACCCCTCTTCCCTTGCGCTAGAAACCATCCAGATTCCAGCCAGCCTGGGCCTGGGATTCATATCACGGGTCTGAAAGTGATATCAAGGCAAATATTGACAATACATTTCTTGCCTGAAATAAGAACCCATTATTTCAAGTGAGCTACTGAAAACACATTTTAAAAGATACTACTTATTATCTCCCAAATAAAGGATTATTGACTAGAACTGCCCCTAGAATACTTTTCATCATCTTGGAAAGAAAGATAGGTTCCTTTGTGCCGTGTTACCTTCATAACAACACTTGTCCTTGGTCAGTTAGGTGTCTGCCATTGACGTGCAGGTGAATGACGGAAGAAAAGAAAAAAAAAAATGTGTCTTCAGCTGCCAGCATTTATTTTAAATCCTTATCACTGCATCTAAATGATATAAAAAACCTGATTCCAGATATGAATATGAGCTGTTGTTAAGAAGGCGCCATCAAGGAACCTCATATGTGCTAACCAGAAGCATTGAAAGAAAAATCACCACCGAGTACATATCATACCAGCTTAGGAATCAATTATGTTGATAATGTCAAACTGGAACAAACAAATAAACTGGCATTATGTGAAGTAACTGGACAAGTAACTCCCTTCTATGTGTCACTATGATGTAGAGATATTAAGAGAATGTTGGTTTGCTTAGAGCATGGAAGTCCATTTGTACTGTAGTTTACTGAGCATTTTAAATTGCTGCTACATACTATGTTCTTTAAAATGTAAGCGATATTCATATTAGGCACTACAACAATAAGCTTCTCTTTTATCAATTCTGTTTACAGTCCAATCAGATTAGTTTTAACTGGATTACGTGCACATATCTACAGATTCACCCTCACAAGTAGCAGACACTGGGAAGTCATGTAGTAATATGACACAACGTTTGACATTTAGGGATAGGAGTAGGCAAAGTGGTTAATGTTGATGTCATTTTTTCAGGATGTGTTATGTTGATGTGCTCATTAACTTTCCCTGGGTGATATCACATCAGGGTACAGTGTTCTGTGAAGTGACTTATTTTTAGTTACTAGATCTGATTCCTGCAGTGCATATTTTCAACCCTGACAGGTTTACTTTCTTCTTAATTTATTAAGAATTAATCTCAGTATCTAGAGAGGATTGTCAGAATATTCATGATTCAGGTCTTGAAATCTTGATTCTTTTATAAATTATGCAAAAGAAAGTATATAATAAATAATTGATTCCATTTTTTAGGCTTTGCAACTTCTATAAATGTTCTCAGTACCACTAGGTATTTTCCAGAGTATCATATTAGAAATACTTTGACCTATATAAAACTATAAGGAAATTGCTGAATTTTACAGAGGACTTGGTTTAATAAGACCCAGATTCTATAAGTTTTCATTCTGACATTCTAAGTAAACATACCATTTGTCCCACAAATCTTAAACAATAAATGTTTCAGATTGTGCAAAAGCAAATTCTTAGCTTTCACTAGAAACTCTGGTTTGGAATTACAATCATAGATTTGTAAAAATTAACTGTTAGATGATCTATAAAATATGTGCAATATTATTAATGGAAGTAAAACATTTTCAAATCAGTGATAAAGATTGTTATTAAAAGATAAATACTGTCTGTTAACTTATTTGAGCCTCAAATTCCTCATTTATACAGTAAGGGTGTTAAGACAGCCGGTTCCTAAGGTCCCTTCCACCTCTGAAGTTCTCTCCTCGGAGTGCTTGGACCACAGAGAAGTGAGCTGCAGGTATTCGGTAAGGTTAGCCTAGTGTTTGAAGCACGTTAATTTTGAGGGATTAATAAAATGTAAAATCATAGGTTTATGAAGCTATAATCTTTCTTAAATGTACATGATTTATATTCATGCTTTTAGAAATTTAGTTCAGGTAATTTCTATTGAATTGTGTACTGCTGTATTCAGATTGGATACACTTATTCATTTGCAAAATCAAGCAAAAATGCTACTTCGGATTCTCTCAACTTTCCCTGGTTGTCAATGTGGTTTTCAATAAATTTTGAAACCACCTACTTAGTACTGAATGTGTCAGAGTCTAAGAACATAGATGGGACTTGGGTGGGAGAGATGTCCCCTCAAATGCCACTGTGATTTTAGGCTCCCCTACTGAAACCTGGAAATCCTCCCAGGCCCTTTCCCAGGTTAGTCCTGTGTAGCATGTTCCACACACACCCTGAGTCATGTCGGGTCTTCAGGCTCACGCTCTAGCTTCCACTGCCACTGCAGCCCTTTGTCTTTCCCACAGACAGCTTATATCCTGAGGCATGTCTAGTCTGGGCCTTTCTGTCTTTCCTGCCTCCCATCTTTCTGCTACAAAGAGCCTCTATTCCACACCCGAGCCACAGGCTCTCCTGTTCAGGGATGGCCGCACAAAGATTATGCCATTTTAGGACTCCAACTTCCTCCAGGGCCTATCCAGAACCCCAGATGGGGATCTGAATTAATTTCTCTTAGTGGCCTGAAGATCTTTAGTCAGAACAGAAATACCTTACGACCACAGAACTCCAAATCCTGGTAAGTCATTCTGTGTCCTAGTTTCTTGGAGATGCAACAATATTCTGCTGACTGTGGGTATCCTTGGCCTCTCTGAGGGCTTCTCACCTTTCCCTCTGTCCATTCACACTTTATTACCCAGCCTCAAACAAACCTCTGCCAGCCCTCCACACCATCCACCCACTCACTGATCCATTCATTCTTTCCCTTCCTTCAGCCAGGTATCCCCTCAACTGTCTGCTCCCCTGGTCTGGCCGTGTGGAAGGCTGGGGGTGGGGTCAGTCTTCAGTTGTTCTGCCCGCCTCCCTGAGGACTCCCCTTCAGGCCAGTTCTTACATGAGTTCTTACTGTTCTCACTTCTCTGCAGTACTTCTTAGCTTACTGCTCATATGCTTGTCCATAATTCCTCCATGGCACACTATAGGAACTCAAAGAAAGAGTTCTTTGAGAAAACAATTCACTTGTCTCAATAGCCACTTCTCAGTAGTCTCTTCCCCACTCACCTTACATGGAGACTCAGCTCACACCTTGGAAAGCAAACCTGAAAACTTAGAAGCAGTTTCCCTTCTTGTACCTTCTTTCAGGTTAAGGTTTTGCTCTGCCCGAGAGAAACTATAATGAAGGGGGAAAGATGAGCATGGGGTAAAATCCATGAAGTGTAACTTCATGGTTCCTTCTGAAGTTGTGAAAATTCCCCGTGCACCTGACACTTCTTTCCTCAACTGCAAAAGTACAAAAATATGTATTCCAAAGCCAACTGAGAGAAGATTGGGGTTTGGGCCAGTTTGTCTCATTTGCTTTATTTCATTCATTTCAATGGATAATTGAAAGTTGCCTGTTTCTGGGTAAGTGATTATGTATAACATAGATCAAAGCTTTTAATAACACAGTTTAACTAATTTATTTTATTAGAATTTCAGTATAGTGGTGTTTGTGAGAAATGTCTTCCCTGGTAACCCTAGGTGAAGGGGCACCTGGCACCATCCTGAGATGTCCTCATATTCTCTTTTTCTCTCTGTTTCTCTTCCACACATACACAGTCTTCAGTAACTTAAACTGTTTAACATAAAACAAAGCAAAAATGTCACATGTGGCCCTTCAGTTCTCCTGGTGAAAGGGAGTGTAGAAACAGTACCTTGTGTCTGGCCGTGCTTTACTCCAACTCACTTGCTCTGTTACCTCACTGTGTCCTCACAGCAGCCCTGGAAGGTAGGAGGGTAGCTACTGCCATCCTTGTGTGTGTGAAAATTTGAGACAGAGATAAGTGAGTTGCCTAACTAAGGTTGCCTAGGTTGCCTAAGCTGTGCCATCATTCCACACTCAGCAGTGGCAGTGAGAGCACTTGTGGGGCAGGAGACTTGAGAAAGCCCCCAGGTTCCATTTTGTTCCTCCTGGTACCCGTGGGGTGCCCTGGCCCAGCACAAGGCGCTCTGTTTCTCTATCAGAGTTGGCTACTGGCCTATGGGAGGTGAATAAACGCTGAGTACCAAGTTCTTGGTGCTGATCAGATCGGGTGCCTTGTGGTTTCCTTTTTGTCATAGTTACCAACTATAACTGGGCTTCCCTTGTGGCCCAGCTGGTAAAGAATCTACCTGCAATGCAGGAGACCTGGGTTTGATCCCTGGTTTGGGAAGATACCCTGGATAAGGGAAAAGCTACCCATGCCAGTATTCTGGCCTGGAGAATTCTATGGAGTGTATAGTCCATGGGGTCACAAAGAGTTGGACACGACTGAGCGACTTTCACTTGCACCAACTATAACTAGGTTTGGCTTTTGTAATAGATCAGTGCCCCACCCCCCCACCCCCCCAGAGGGTGCAGGACTCTGTTTTGGTCATTATTTAGTAGCAGGCTGTCCCAGCCTGACAGGAAATGGAGAGAGCCTCCCAACAGTTAGGAAGAAGGCCACTGTCAACACACAGCCCTCAGAGTCACTATGAGAGCCACCGGGTAAGCTAGCTGAGCAGCCTGGAGAGAACCTGAGGGCACAGGCCAAGTTGCTGGGTCCCTTCTGAGGGCTGTCTACCAGGCAGGCCACACACAAGGCTTTGTGTGTTTGAACTTGACAGTGTATACATGCTGCCAGTGTTGGCTTTGGAGCCAAGAGGTTAGGGAGGCACTGTGTATGCATAAGTGCATTGATTTCTTCTCAGGCTGTGCTGTGAGGGCCGCCTTAACCCCTGCTCCCTTCCCTCCTAGAGCTGCCTTAAGTTCTCTGGAACTCCTCCTCTGTAAGGGGAAGTCTTGCCTGGAAAGGTATCTTGCCCTGTTTCACAAGGTGTGAGGGTGTGGGTGGGCGTGGCCTCCTTTCTCCCTTCCCATTCTGCATGCCCCTCCCCTCCTGTTGCTTCTTCCTATGCTCTCATTTCCAAACACGTGTTGGAACTCTGAGGGAGCAACAACCTCGGAGCCAGTGAAACATGATCTTAGTGTTTCCTGACTTCCGGGGGCTCCTGTTACAAGTAAGCAAATGAACGTGTGAAAGAAATATAGACATAATTTAGATTCTTGGTAATTCTTAAATGGCTTGTTTCCCACTGAACTGATGTTTTCTTAGGCTAA